GTTTCATAATACAAAAGGTATTTGAAATTTTTTTTTGTTTATTTGAATTCAAAAAAAGGATTCTTGTGTATTTTTCTTGGTTTGTTGTTTTGTTGTTTTGTTGTTGACATTTAAACATTATCATCATCATTTGAACTACATTAACATTGGCCAGACACATTTACACACACACACACACACACACACACACACAATGCCCTTTTTTTTCTTTGATCATCATCATATCGAGAGATAAACTTTTGTTCTTTTCATATTTTTTTTTCTCTTTGTCGACGGTGGTGTCAATGATGATGATGATGATGATGATGATGGTAGAGATATACAACAGAAAAAGTAGATGATAAAAAAAAAATTAAAATGTCAAAGGATTGGATTCATTCATTCATTCATTTGTTGTTGTTTTCCTGTTTTTTTTTGTCTTCTTTGTTTTCAACATTTGATCCATTCTATTCTTCTTCGTTTTTGTTGTTGTTGTTGTTTTCATTTCTATATATCATGCATTCATCATCATCATCATCATCATCAAAATCTTGAGAAAAAATATCTTCGGCTATATGGTTGATCTAGATTATCATCATCATAGATGATGGACACAATAATATATTTGTTGATGATGATCAAATAACACACATACACACACAAACACACACAAGACATGACATTGAAGCGATATTATCAGCAAATATTCCACAATAGATATCCAAAGTGTGGTGGTGGTGGTGGTATTATATTTCGCCATTGTGTCCACATTGATGATGTGATGATGGTCTACGAATTTTTTTCTTTTTTTCTTAAGAAAAATGATATTTTTTCATTTTTACAATTCTTTTTTTTCTTTTATAATCGAACAAACAGAACAAAACTATTTATATATATATATATTTAGAGTAAGTGATATGGGGATAGATTGACCAAAGCAAATCGGGTATGATAATGAATGAATGACTGAATGAATGAATGAATGAATGACCGTTGAACACGTTCGCCTCATTTTCATAATCATAATCATCATCATCATCATCATCATTTTAATATTTATAGTAGATTTATATATGTAGATTATATAATTGAAGATGACCTCGATCAATAAAAAAAAACCGGTCGAGATATGATAATAACTGAATGACTAACTAACTAACCAACCGACCGACCGACCGATTTATTTATTATTATTACAACTGTGGACATGTGTGGAAGAGTGAATGAGGATTTTTTTTTATTTTTGTTTTTGTTTCATTCACATTCACAACCTTCAATTGTTGTTGTTGTTGTTGTTGTTGAGAATTATCATTTTATTAAATATGACGATGATGATGAATAAACTAGGTGAATTTATTCTGGATATTCATGTGTGTGTGTGTGATCGACCTTTCACTGCAATAATCAAAATTTTTTCTTCCGCATTAAATCATTGTTATTATTATTGAATTGCGAATAAACAAATGAAACAATTTTTTTTTCTGATGAACGTATCAAGAAAGAATTTTTTTTTCTTTTCGTTTCGTTTCTCCAAATGATACGCCCGCCATTCAGTTTTTTTTTTGTTTGAATTGAAAAAAATTTTCGCAACAATTTTACCATATTTATATCCGATATATATATATAATCATCAAGTAAAGAAATGAAAGAGTGCAGGAGAGAGAGAGGGGGTGGTGAAGAAATTTTTTGTTTCATCATGGATGCATGATATATTGATGTTGATGATAGTTGTTGTTGTTGTTGGTTGCGGATGGTCGATGAATGATGGTTATGCCATCAATCAAGTTGTTTTCATTCATTTTCGTTCATCCATTCTTTATAGCCTTAAATTCAAAAATGGCAAACCATTTTGTTGTTGTATATATTTTTATCAAAAAAAAAAATTCGATGTCATTGCGAAATGAATGAATGAGAGAAAAATTAGTAAGGAGAGAGAGAGGGAGAAAATAAAATTATACATTTAATACAACGAAAAATGGATATTTTGTATTCAAATTGACCATTATTATTATTATTGTTGTTGTTGTTGTTGTTGTTATCAACCGTTTTATATTCAACAACAACAACAACAAAAACGGTATTAACAGGTTGTTCATTTTTTTTTCATTCATTCATTCATTCATTCATTCAGAAAATTTTCAATTCAAATTCAATGTATATAATGATGATGATGATGATATCAAATTTTTTTTTATTTTTCTTGTTACATTTTAGTCATTTCACATTCACCTTTTTTTTCATCATTACAATTTTGGTTTATTTTTTTTTTTTTTTTACTACTTGTTACATTTTGTTGCTAATAAAATTTAGCCCAAACAACCAATGTTTTTGTGTGTGTGTGTAAAAGAGATTGAATGAATGAATGAATGACTGAGAGAGCACCAATAAAAAGAGTGGAAATGTTGAACTGATTTTTGATTTGTTCTGTGTGTGTGTGTCCAATGTTTATCCGAGTGTAAATTTTTTTTTTTTTGCTTCTTTTTCAATCACAAGTGTGTACACTGTATACACACACACACAGATGGAAAATGAATTTTTTCCATGTTTTCTAGTAATATACAAAAAAAAAAAATAGAAATGCGAACCAAAAGGAAGGAAGAACAACTGATTGACAATTGTCATCTGTCACCACCAACACCACCACCACCACCACCACTAGTACTATCAATAAAAAAAAAGAATTTCATTTTAAAGTGTTTCGTAACGAGGGAGATTAAATTATTCAATGGAAAAAAATGATATTCAGCATCATCCCTAGATTTTTTTTTTTTTTTTAAATATCAAATATCATGGCTCCATAGAAAATAAATGATGGTCGACTTTTTGTTGTTGGTATTATTATCATGAGAAATTTGATATGATAAATGTCGGGTAAATGACGATATACGGTATTTAAAAAAAAATAGACAAAAAACCGGCCAATTGAAATATGAATCTTTTGCTCATTTCCTTATTGAATGAATGAATGTGTGTGTGTGTGTGTGTCACCGGAACGGGAAAAAAAAATGATAAATTAAATTATCAACACCGCCCCCAGATTGATTCATGGAACAAAAATGCGTCTTTTGTGTGTGTGTGTGTGTGTGTGAGAGAGAAAGAGAATAAAAAAGAATTCTGGAATTCTGGATCATTCTTAAACACACTCTCTCTTTATAATTGTAACCATACGGACACACACATACACAATGAGAGAAATATGTTTTGTATACATTGAAGAGAAAATTCCCTTTCTTCGCCATAAGTTGGACATTTGTTTGTTTTCGTTTTATTTTTGTTGAATAAAAAATTTTTTTTTTTTTTTTTTTTTTGATTTAAAATTAATTACAGATGAAAATAAATTATGTTCATGTTCAAGATAGTTGTTGTTGTTGTTGTTGAAAATGTCAATCGATTTTTTTTTTTTTTTTTTTGGATCATGTGCACTCAGTCTATGTGTGTGTGTGTGTGTGTGTGTCCATTGAATTTTTTTTCTATCCCCTTATATAATCGTGTAATATATGCGTGTGTTTATCTTGTCTGTAGTATCCCTCTGTGTTTGTGTGTGTGTGTAGATCTTTATATTGATGTAGTGGTGGTATTTCTTATACCATATATTCGAATTTCTTTTCATTTTGGTGAATCCAAACAAAAAAAATGTGGTAGATGAAACAAGAAACATCATCATTAGAATCAATAAATACTAAATGACGGCATCATTGTATATGAAACTACCAACCAACCAACCAAAAAACGATAATGATGAGAATTTGACGTCATTTCCTGTTTACGTTTCTAATCACCATTCATTGGATTCATGAATCATAGATTATTATTATATCACATATAGAATATCTGATAAAATATTATATAAGTTAAACAAGAGAAAATTTTCTCATAATATACACGCGTATACGTGTATCATATCATATACAATAAATACTTGCATTTTTACCTAAAGGCTGCCATAAATTTCTAGCAATAATTTTTTTTTTTGTTCCTTATTGTTGTTTGCGCATGTTTCACATGTTGGACCGTTTTCAACATGACATATATATTCTTTTTGTTGTTGTTGTTGTTGTGTCCAATTGAAGAATCTAAACGCAGACACACACAAAGAGATAGATAAACAAGCTGTTGAGAATATAGAAAGTATATACATTACGTCAAATTGGCCAACGTGGAATATTTTTTGTTGTTGTTGTTGTTGTTATATCATCATTCGTTTACATTCATTTATTAATTCATTCTTGGAAAAAAATAACAGTAAATCGGTTGGTTGAATTTATCGAATCGATTTATTTTTTAACCGGGACCCAATGATTTGACTTTATTATGGTTTAGGAAAAATAAACGGAAATTGGATTCGATTCTATTTCAATCCATATTGTCTTGAAAACTATATCCACTTTTTTTCCTATTTTCTTTCTTTATTATAATTATCATATAAAAATGATCACATCGACTGATGTGTTGAAGAAGATGTTTGTTTGTTTTTTTTTTTTATTTTTCTGGAATAACAAACTTTGCATTTTATCCATTTATATTCATTGTTTATTCAATTGTTTTTTTTTCATCCTTTGGGCAAGGTTTATTACAACAACAACAACAACAACAACAACAACAGCAGCAGTATTTGTTCAAATTGAATTTTTTCGATTGAAACATAAACAACAACAACAACAACAACAACCAAAACGACGACGATGTAAACACACACTAAAAAAAACACAAACAGAATGATAAGAAATTTGGATGATGATGATGAAAATAAATTTTGTATTTGCATTAAAACTAATTTCTCAATAACAAATTTTTTTATTTTTATTTTTATTTCAAAACAAAATTAAAAGGTAAAATCGGGTGCCAAATCTATAAATACAACCGGAAATTTAATTTTACCTCATATTCAACAACAACAGCAGCAACAACAACAACAACAACCGGTATTATTAACAAATTCAACATTATCGATCTGTAATAATCCATCATCGATAATTGATCATTATAATAATGAATCAAATGGGAATTATAATCATCAATCATATCAACAACAACAACAACAACAACAACAAAAACAATCATCATTATCGTCATCATCATCATCATCATCACAGAATGGATCGAATAGCGCCGCCTCTGGATCGATTATGGCACTAACTTCATCATCTTTATCGACATCTTTATCGACATCGACATCGACAACAGCAACAACAACAGGAAATGTAGCCACATCATTATCATTACCACTGCTCATTACGCCTCCACCATTATCATTATCATCATCAACGACGATGGTTAACATAACAGCAACAAAAACAAAAACAAAAACAACAACAACAACATCGACGACTATGATGAATCATTGCACCAATTCTAGTTCATTAATAAATCCAAATCATCATCATCATCATCATCATCATCAACAACAACAACAACGTCAATATTTAAATCATAATCGTTTGAATAACCTTGATTTATTGAATGATTCTAATAATAAAAAACATTCGAAAACGAAAACAACACAGACCACTATAGCTTCCGATATGAATCGTACAATATTAAAACTTAACAATACTACTACTAGTAGTAGTGGTGGTAATATTGGTAGTAGCAATGATGGTGCTGATATAAGTAAACGATCAACATCCGATTTATCACCATCATCTTTATCATCATCATCATCGATGTCATCATCATCATCATCATCATCATCATCATCATCATCATCGTCTAGTTCATCAACAAATTCTTCACCAATACATCGAACGTCTAGGTCATCATTGTTGACAACATCTTCGTTGATTACGACGACAACAACAACAACAACGACGACGATGACGACGACAACAACAATGACATCATCATCAAGATGTTCATTATCAACACAGACGAATACGATGACGATGATGACTAAAATGATTCAATCAAATGATCTCAATCAACAGAAACAAAAATCAAATAATCGAAAACAACAAATGTCTGGTAAGTGGTTTTTTTAAAAAAGTATTAACTAAGAAGAAGAGAGATTGACAAAATTCATTTTTCATTCATTCGTTTTCAAATTGTCAAATTGAATTATATTACCTGTCATATTTAACCGACAACAAACATATGATTGGTTTTTCTTCTTTTGATTGTTGTCAAACATTTTTTTTTTTTTCTTTCTCTATTCAATTTGATTAGATTCAAGTTTTATTCGATTCGTGAATTAAATTGCTAATTAGTGCGTGATAAGTGGTTGTTTATTACATCATCATCATCATCATTTATTGCTGTTATATCATAACGTTTACCATTTTTTTTCCCCAGAGATCAATATAGTCAAAAAGGAAATTTATTTTCATTTCATTTCATTTTTTGTCAATTATCAATTTTCAGATTTTTTTGTTTTGTTTTTCGAATGAATTTAAATGAAACGGTGTGAATTTTAAAATTCAATGAAAAAAAAAATTTTGTTTTTCAAAATTAGCAAAGAAACTTGTTGTTGTTGTTGTTGTTGTTACTATTTCACTATTATCGGTTATCATTATAGACGTTGTATTGCTGTTATATGAAAAAAAAAATGAAATAGACACAAACACACACACAGTGGGAAGAGAAAATTGAAGACCACCATGAGAGAGAGAGAGAAGCAGACATGAAGTGCGGTATGATGTTCATCGTTGATGATGATGATGATGATGATGATGACGATGGTGGTGGTGGTGGTGGTTGTTGTTGTTGTTTTTATATTTGACTTCCGCATTCTTATCCGGCATCATCATCATCATCATCATCAACGATGAACAAGTTGTGTGTGCATGTGTGTGTGTGTGTGTGTAATGTGTATGAGATATGGTGAATGAGAAAAAAAAAAAGAAAATCAAAGAAATTGTCGGCATTTTTTTTTCTTTTTCTTCTTATTCAACAATCCACAACCAATTACCACCACATCAGTCTAAACAAAATTCATCATTCGTCGTTATTGTTGTTGTTGTTGTTGTTTTTTCGGTAAACATAATCTTGTTCAAAAAAAAAAAAAAAAAAAAATGTATCCGTCGTCTTCGTCTTCATAGTTTATTTTTTTTTTTTCTTCTGTTTCTGTTGTTGTTGTTTTTGTTGCTGTTCCAATTTTTCTTTTTCTTTTCCTTCATGCTGTTTGTTGTTGTTGTTGTTGTTGTTGCTGTATACATATGATCACTACACACACACAAAATTCATTATTTGTGTGAGATTTTTGTCTGTGTGTGTGTGTGTGTGTATGTATTTCTCACACTTGTATTAAAATTGGAAATTTTTTTTTCTTCATTCATCTTTGTTCATTCATTTTAAAGACAAAATGTCGTCGTCGTCGTCGTCGATCTATCTTTATTTTTTTTTTATTATATAAATAATGAAAATTGTGGCCATTTCGACTTAATAAACTGACAACGTTAACGACGACGACGACGACAAAGGGCGTCATCTTGTTTTCATTTTTTGTGGCTACAATGTATTTTAGTAGTAGTATATATTTGAATTTGAATAAATGTGTCAAATTTTTTTTTTTTAGTGTCTGGAATTTTCAAATTATAATGATCAACATCCTATCATTTATGAATGGCTCCATATTATTGGATAAGCTATTCCGTTCGATATTATGATGATCATCATCATTTTTTTCACTTTAATTATCTAAATATAATAATTTATGATCTATTTTTTTCAGTTTAAAATTATTCAATCAGTGGTGTTGTTGTTAGTTTTTAATGATAAAACTTTTTTTTTCTATTTTATAGTTTATTCAATCCATCCATTTAAACATTAACATTTTCGATTCGATTCACGAATTTTCACTATAGTAACACTATAGGTAACAATTTCAAGTAGCATTATTAGTGAAAATAGTTTATTTGGATTCAATTTTATTGTTGTTGTAGTAGCATTTCATACAGTAATATATGGATGGAGGGAGATGAAAAGTAAGAGAGAGAGAGAGTTAAACTCAATCATCATCATCATATAATACACAAGAAAATATCAACAGAAAATTGGATACCAACTATCATCGTGGATATGAGTTTTTTTTTTCTCTCTTTTTTATAATGGTAGTAGTAGTTCTAATTTGAATATGTTCCTCTTGTTCATCCTCCTCTTTGGACTAAAAAAAAAAAAAAAAAAAATTGAGGAGGATGATAACTTTCTACTTCCTTTTTTTTTTTTTTTTCTCACACACATACATTCATATATATATATATATATACTACTACTCGCCACATGGATTACCAATACGTGTCTATCGTACTGCTAGCGGCTTTGCCTTTGCATTCCATTTCAATTTAAAACATCAAGTTTTATATGCATGCTTTTATGCGTGCTTGTGTGTATGTGTGTGTTTGTTTGTCTGTCTGTCTGTGTGTATATCCTCACAATCTGTTTTTTTTGTGATGACTGTTTTTTTTTCTTTTGCTTGTGATGTTGTATATTGTGTTGAATTGATCTGAATTTCATCAACAATTTTATATCTCTAAATACACATTTTTGATCATCATCAAGAATCCAGAATAAAATATATATATCAATTTTAAGTGAAAAACAACCACAAATAAATGAACCACCAGCAGCAAAACAAAAATAACGACAAAAAATCAAGCTATAGGATAAGTAGTTGTTTTCGGCATATAACATTCAAAACGTAAGTAACGTTATCCTGGTTATATATGTGTTGTGGCCAACTATGTCCCAGAACATCATGATGATGATGATGATAATTTTGTGATATTTTTTTTCCTCCCCTTCACAACAGACACACATTCATAAATACATAGACGACGACGACTCAAACGAATGATTATGATGATGATGATGATGATGAGAATGATAGAAAAAAAAATAACAAAACCTTACTCTCTATACACACACACATAGACAAAACAACAACATTCATTGTGAGTTTGATTGAAAATATATGTTTGTATGTGTGTGTGTTATATATTTCCAATATATTTCATCATCTGTATTATATACAGACTTTATATTCGAATTTTTTTTGTTTTGTTTGCCCCTTTTTCTTCATTTGTGCGTGTGTGTGTGTGTGTAAGTGTAATTTCTTCTTTTTATGGCTACTTCCTTTCTTTGGCTTGTTGTTGTTGTTGCTGCTGCTGCTGTTGTTGTTCTTGAATTGTGTGTGTGTGTGTGTGTGTTGGTTTAATATTTATCCTGGATGGATGATTTGTTTGTTTGTGTTTCTAAGGAATCGAATTTTGGAATATTTTAATTATCCTTCATAGTTTTGCATTTTTTACATGAATTGTCTATTTTTCCTCACTGTTTTCTTGTGAATATTTGTTTTATTTTTTTTTTATTTTTCTGCTCCTGAACACTATAAAAATATTCGATTATCTAACATGGGAAAAAATTGTAAAGTTTTTTTCCCATTATTGTCAATGATGATGATGCACCAACAACAACCACCTTTCAATTGGCTTTGACAAACGATAAAAAAAACAGCTATCTTCAAATCATCAATTCATATATATATATGCATAATCGATTATGATAAAATTTAAGCATTTTATTATTATGATGATGATGATGATGATTTTGTGAATATCAAAAATGAAAAGAATGTATATTCATGAATATTCGATCGACAACAACAACACAACATTGGTGTACTATTGAATTATCGAATTGTAAATGTAATTTGATTCGATAATTAGAATCCTTTTTTTTTCTTTCGTGAATTCGAAATTCGGTTTTATTTTCTTGCTTCTCATTTGTTTCAAAAATTTGACCTTTTTTCATTTTTATCTGTGTGTGTCTGTATATGTATATGTGCACGTTGTTTTTATTTTGTCGTCGTCGTCGTCTTCGTTTTCGTCTACGTTTTTTATCTTTGTTTTTATCATCATCAACTAATATATATATCTGCCGCCATAACTATCATCATTGAATCACCGAGCCTAAAAGAATTTCGATTTTTTTTCAAACTTTCAAATAAACAGTGAAGAGAAAGAGTGAGAGAGAGAGGTGTTTCTTCTAGAATGGGGCGGTGGAGCAATAAAGAAGATAATAGGGGAAGGAAAGAATGATGATGATGATGAACATCTATATTCAGCCAAGTGTTGAACAAAACAGCCACAACAAAAAAACCCCTGCCAAACACACAAACATCCTAAAATCATTGAAATATCTGTGTCATCGTGATCATTCTGCAGACAAAACTTTCATTCTTTCCTTCCTATTATTGCAAATGTATGCCCCCGTATAAATTGTATTGAATTTTACCACATTCTATAATATATTATCATCATCATCATCATTATCATCATGATTTAATGAGAAAAAATAAATACCAACAAATTCATTATACGTTGTCGACTTTGTTTTCGATTTCGTTTGATTTTCCATTACCATTCATTTTCGGGTATTTTTTTCACCATTTTTCTTTTTTATCTGATGATTCGTATCACCGTTTTTTTTTGATATAAATGAAAATTTTTCTGGAATTTTTGTTTTGTTTTTGTTATGTGTGTGTGTGTAATTTTTCTGATTGATTGTTTAGCAAAAACAACTCTATAATTGAAGAAGAAAAAAAGTTTTTAATTTGAATTACCTGTGTGTGTGTGTGTATAATATAAGTGATCATCAAGATCAAGTATCTTTAGAGATATTTTTTTTTTGTTATTGTTGTTGTTGAATATCTGTGCTTGTGTTTGTTTAATCTTTTCTTTCAATTCATCAACAATTTATATATATTTGTTTTTAACGTTAATATTTTTGCCAATTCATGGCATCCCAATCATCATAAACACGTAGCAAAATAATATATCTGATGATGTTGATGATGATGATTTGGCTCCACCTCATCCCACCTTTTAATATTTGAATGGTGGATTCTAGCCACACTTTATTATCATCATTTTTTGTTGATGGCCCCACGACAGGCGACTATGATGATGATGATGATTGTTAGTAACATTATTGTTAATGTGTCGTAATATTGAATGAATGAATTGAATTTAATGTCTATTTGTGTTGATGGATGCATGGATAGCATACACATACATAATAATAATAATAAAGTCTGAACCATACACACACAAACACAATCTCTTATCACTTGTTGTTGTTGTTGTCTTGACTTTTAAAAAAAAGAATTGTGTATATTGTGTATATATATGTTTGATGATTGGCAATAACATATATTGACGCCAGTGTCCATGATTATTTCACTTACCCGCCTTCTCTTTTTTTTATATATATCCCTTTAATAGTAAATCATCCATTCAATCCAATAAATCTCAGTCAAATTTTTTTATTATTATTAATATGATTCATCTGTATTACACACGTTTATTATATATACACGAAATCCATTCTCTTGTCTGTGTGTCTGTTTTCTTTTTTTTTGTAACAATATTTTATTATCATCATAAAATGATGATGATGATGAAGCAAAAGAAAATCTTTGTTTGTATATGTGTTTGTGTTTGTGAATAATTATCCTATATTTTGCATATTTGCGTGTAAGATATTTTTTTCCCTTTTGATTTGTTGTTTTTTTTTAAAGATTTTGATCTTAATCTGAAAAATATTTAGATTAAGAAAAAAAAATTACCGCCCACCTTATTATATAGCCACCCATGCATTAGGTATAAGCTGAGGACACACATTATTATATGATGAAAGTGGGTGTGGTGGTGGTGGTGATTGCTGTTGCGTAACCGGTATACCGGTTCTTTTTTTTGTCACACTGTTAGCCGACAAAAAACGTTCATCTCCAATTTGTTTTTTGTTGTTTTACCTTTTTTTTATTTTGTAAATTTTCCATGATTAAATAATTTTACCTTCATTTTTTTTTCTTTCTTTTTTTTCACCCGTGAAAATATGTGTTTGTCTATGTATGTTTTTGTGTCGCTTACCAACCAACTAGGATTACCATCATCATCATCAAATAGGAGTAATAATCATCATCATAATGATGACATTATTCAAGCTAATCAACAGCAGCAGCAGCAACAACAACAACTTCAAAATTTAACAAAGACCATCAATAATAATGTGAAAAGGTCAAATGTTAATAATGATAATAATGGCCATTTAAAATTATTGATTAATACAAAAAAATCTTTGTTATCTTCATCGTCATCATCATCATCATCATCATTTGAAGAAGAAGAAGAAGAAGAAACAGAAGAATCTAATAACCTTGATAATAATAATAATGAAAATGATTCTAATGGTTACAATAATCGATGTATACCATTGTTAATTCTGTCCACACCTTCATCACCATCAAGTTCATCGTCAACATCTAATCATATTATCGATAGTGGTGGATGTATTAATAAAAAAATTCCAAAGAAAAAATTCCTTTCATTAAATACAAAATTATCCAAAACGAATGAAAATAAAATCATTATTGTGGACAATAACAACATCATTTCTAGTACAAAAGAAAAAGTCACTGAAACGATCGATAATAATATCAGTAGCCATACAGCAACGAATAAGATATTGATCGATAAAACCCATCGTCAACAACAACAACAACAACAACAGCAGAAGGAAAAAATCAAAAAACAACAACAAGAAATAGAAAACTTTGCCGACAAAAGCCAACAACAAGAAAAAATAGTAGTCAACAATAATAAATACATCGTTACGACGGCTGTTGAAAATAGTGGCAATAAAACTATATCTTCTGTAGCTAAGAAACGAAAAAAAGAAATTTCAACATCGACATCTTGTTTATCGGCGGCCAGTGTTGCTGCTGGTCAGCAATCAGACAACGGTAATAACAACAACAACAACAACATTATCGAATCGAATTTCAACAACGGTGTTTGTGTAAAGATAGTGTCTGACACAAATAGTTTGAAAAGTGATTTGAAAAAAATTGAACGAAACGATAATAATAATAATAAAATGGACAATATGGATAATGTTGATTTGATCGCTACATATGATGGCCAAACACATGATGATGATTCAGTTACCAGTTTCAATATGACAAATAGTATGGATGAGTCAATGGATACATTGACTAAAAATATGGCCAATATAGGTAATGAACAAATCTCATCGAATGGTAAGTTTATTTAGCATTTTCTATATATATATAAGTAATGATGTTTATTCACGGATTTAAAATTGATTTCTTTTCTAGATGGTGATAATGAACGTCCAGTCACTCCAAGCCCAGCAAATGTACAAGGCCTTCCATATAAAGAACTCTGTGAACAAATACGTCATCAATTGGAATATTATTTTTCTTATAAAAATCTATCAAAAGATCAATATCTAGTATCACAAATGGATGATGAACAATATGTTGCCATTTCGATTGTAGCCAATTTTGATAAAATACGTCGTCTAACAAATGATTTGGACTTGGTTGTTCAAGTGTTACGATCCAGCACAGAAGTTACTGTCGATGAGACCGGTACAAAAGTGAAACCGAATTCAAAACGACGTGTGGTCATATTACGTGATGTACCAGATGAAGTTACACGAGATATGATATTGAAGATTTTTGATGAATCTAAATGTCCAGTCAAATTGGAAAAATGTGAATCAACACATAATCAATCCTATTATCTTTACTTCCATGGTGATGAAGATGCTCAAAAAGCAATGACTTACCTACGTGATGAATTGGTATACTATCCATCAACACAGATACCGATTTTAGCCCGTATCAAAGCCAAGCCAACTGTTCGTCATACGAATCCAACTAATCCAGTATTGGGACCTAATAATAAGCCCAATTCTGTAGTCCTTGGTGCTCCTATGTCAGTACCGCCACATAATGTGATAAGTCCGATAGGAATTGTGACTGCTCCTAGTCCCGTTGGTTCTACCATATCCAGTCATTCGGCTGCCGTTTCACCCGTATCTAGTATGTCTGGATCGATTATTAATCCAAGTAACCAGCAACCCAATCATTCGACACCAACTGTTTTATTGCCAACAAGTGCTACTATTCCTGGTGGACCATCAGGAACCGCCGAATCGACAATAAATGCAATACCTTATCCAAATACCGCCAGTGTTTATCCTTACAATGTGCCTCCTTTGACAAGAGTAAGTAATCAGTTTTATATTTGAAACTGTATTATTTACTGATCTATTTGATTTCAGGTTTACCCACCATCACCATTCTATGCGACGCCAATAATGACATCTATTTCGAATGCATATGATCTGAGTACAGTGTTTGTTGCAAATGGCTTGGCACCACATTATACACCAAATAGTAATGTAGCCACAACAGGACATTCAGGTGGTCCAACACCACCACCCGGTAGTGTTTGCATTCCTCAGGCAATTTTTATTCCGACGACAACAAATTGTCAAATAGTAAATGGAAATCATGTTATTGGTGCTGCTAATAATGGTCCTGGTTCCGCTACTGGCCCACCTGGTGTTGTTTCAGCCAACGCCAACCCTGAATTTAATACTGTACAAATGGTAGCGCCTATTTTGAATCCATCTGATGGCGGAAATCATCGATATAGTTTTGGCTATACGCCACCATCTTCAAATGTTGGCCAACCATATGCCCACCATAATTCTTCGTATCAATCTTCTTACATGAAATCACATGGATCACAATCCCATCATCGTGGTGGGGGGTATGGTGGCAACAATGGAACAAACATGTCCGGAAGTGGTAAACCGTACCGTGGTGGTAATGGATATAATTCCAACAAATACAACAATTCGGGTGGTAGTGGCGGTGGTCCATCGTATGGCCAACATCATGCCAATTCAACTACTCATCATAATTCCGCCAGTTCTCATCATGGAGGCAACTATGGTGGCCATCATGGATCAAATCATAGTCATTATCATCAACAACAACAACAGCAGCAGCAACAACCACCGCCGCCGCCATCATCATCAACAACAATGACGTCTTCTGTTGGACAAAGTTCATCTGGCAATAACAATAAAGGTAATAACGTTAATAATACGACAACTTCCACCCAATCATCATCAAGTCAATCACATCCGATAACTGGAAATACAATCGATACGACGATGGGCAACAAAATTTCATCATCTGCATCTTCATCATCAAACAAATCTTCAGCTGCCAATCATCATCAAACATCTAAGTCAAATCCATCAATGTCTTCATCGTCGTCGTCGTCGTCGTCAACTTATCCCAATAATAACAATAAGGTGGTGCAATCATCAAATAATCATAATCATTCGAATGCTGCTAGTTCTGAAAATAACAACAACAATTTTACCTCGACTTCCGTGCCACATTCTTCATCATCATCCAACTGGAACAATAAATCAAATGTTGACAAATCTTCAATGAAAGAAGAACAACAAACAACAACACGAAATACACAGACGACAATTCCAAATTCTTCAAACCGTTCGGTTAATCAACAAGCTGTGATCAATAATAATTTGGGTCAAACCTCAACAAATACTTCGAATCGTAACATGTCGTCATCATCATCATCGTCGTCGTCAAATACGAAACAATTATACAATTCTGGAATGACTCAACAAACATCAAATACAAGAGCTAATTCATCGAATCAGAATTCTCCGTATCGTTCAAATTCTAGTGCTTCAAAATCTAATGATCGTAATAGTGGTGGCCCAAATAATGATTCGTCCAACAATCGGCCTGAAAAATCATCGCGATATCCACGTAATAGCTCAGGTGCTGGAACTTCCGGAAAATCTTCCTATAATAATAATCGAGGTGGTGGTGGTGGTGGTTCTGGAAGCTCAAATCGAAGTGGCTCTGGTCATGGCCAACATCAGCATAACCATCATCAACATCAATCAAATTCAACGACAACCACCGAACAACCATTTGATCTGATGGCCAATGCATTTCCACCATTGCCTGGATCAGATGATCAGCAGCAAACAAATATGGCTACCACTGTTCAAACATTAGAAGCGACGAACAAAGATTTGTCTGATATAAATAGAACAACACCGAATGTGCCTAATGTATCTGTTTCCTCTTCATCGGAACATCATTCAACATCAACGAAAAATCAAGAAAGTATGGCTAATATAGTCAAAGGTGATAATGTATTAATAACTGGTGATCAATCTTGTCCTCCTCTTTCTTCATCATCATCTCCATCTATTTTTCATGAACATAATGGTAACGTTGGAGCAGCAACATCATCATCATCGACGACGATTTTAGCCGCAACAACGATAAACAATAGATCCAACACAAATACTAATAATAATAATAATAATAATAATACTGCTACTAGTCACAATAATCGTAAACAGCAACAGACTTCATTTAGCAATATTACAAATGGTGAATCCAAAACGATAAATGGCAATATCGTTACTACAATTAAAGGACCAGGCAAATCATCATTATCTACAACTATCAATAATGATAATGTCCTTAATAATATATTGGCCAAAGATTCTGATTCATGCCATGGATCTTCTGAACAATCTGTGTCCACAACAACAAATACTACAAAGCCATCATCATTAAATAATAGTAAAAAAACAGCTATTCAACTACAGAATAGTACCGAATCGATAAATAATAATAACAATAATTCTATTGATAATGGAACAAATGGATATATCGATATTGAACATTCCCAATCAGCAATGAGTAAATTAACTTATTCACAAATAGCTAAACGTGGTAAATTGGATACTACCAATACGGCCATAATGGGCAATTCCAATGTTTTTGTTGATACAATGAATGATTCAAATAGTAATAATAATAATAATAATTCTCCATTGTGTAACGTTAGTGGTGGTAATATGCAATCATCGTCAGCATCATTGATTGCCACCAATAATAATATTCATCGTTCGGCTACTAATTTGTCAGCTTCCACAAACGCTTTGTCTACTCCCCATGCATTGGTGGTAAGTTTCAATCATATTTGTGAATTACAATGTGTGTGAATAAAAAAAAAATATTTTTTCTTCCGCTTAGAAATGAACGTGACAAATATTTTGGCTTTAATATCTTTATATATACAATACATGTCATCATTGGTTGTGGAATCTATTGGAATCTTTTGCTCATCATCTCAAGAAAATGAAAAAAAAGAAAAAAAATTTTTCAAGAATACCATACATGGTTATTTGTTTTATTTTTTCGTACATTGTTTTGAAAACGATCTCTTTTGATCTTTACACACACACACACACACACACTCATACAATTTTTATCATAGTGTTCGAGATATAAAGAAAAATTTTAATAGCATCATTATCATCATAGTCTACTTGAAAAAAAACAAATTCATTACAAATTTTGAAAATTCTGACAATGACCATCCTCACCTCGTTACCACCCAACCCCAGAAATTGCCCATAAATTTAATTGATAAATAACTTATATCCACCATTTCTTCTGTATATTCAAGATATAAAAAAAAATTGTAATGAATTGAAATGAAACTCAAATATCTTTTCTTTCTTTCTTTTTTGTACTCTCTCGAATTCATTTGAGAAATGATGATGATGATGCATCCTCCATATATTGTGGTATGAAAACCTTGTTTCAACATTATTTTTTTTTCTACATAATCATAATTCTCATTGAACACATCACCACCAATACCACCACCACAATGCAATGCAGATATGTTTGTATAACACTCATCCAGAATTTTTTTTTTTTTGTTCTCAAAGTCTGTCGATATATTATGATGATGATATTTATGCAGCTTTCATCGTTGTTTTTTTCATCATCATCATCATCATTTTTTTTTTGATCATTGATTGACATGAGCATTTTCGCTCAATGATAAACACAACACACACACACACACACACATACACCTACCTACCGGAATATAATTCATATTGTATATGGGTTTTTTTTTGTTCTGGATATAAAAGAAATTTTTTTTTTCTTCATATTGTGATCATCATCAAATACACAAGCTTGTAATATCTATCATTCGAATGTTTTTTTTTTTCATTTTCGATTTTCAATGTATACCTTACTACACACACACACAGACATTACATTTACCATTGTGTTTTTCAAATTCAGTGTGATCATTTATTAATTCTTTTTTGTGTGTGTGTGTGTGTGTGTGTGAAAAAATTCTCTTTTTTATTGTATCAACAATCAACAATACAAACGACATCATGATCAACGATAAAATAAACAAACAAACAAACAACCAGTGACGAAAATCTAGCAGATAAAAGAATTTTTTTTTTATTTTCAAATAATAACAAATGTGACAAAATTTGATTCCAATTTGTTATACACATACAATACACTTCCATCAAGAAAAATCAAATTCTGTGTTCATCATGTGAGGATGGTTGAGAAGAAATGATATATAACTTTTATCAATCAATCAATCAAACACTAAAAACTACATATAATAGGTAAAACAATGAAGAATTTAATCGGAATCAATTTACACATAATTTATAGGTAATTATTATCATATATAAAAAGTATTGATTTATTCGATCCAATCAATCAATCGATCCATCCATATGTCCATCACATTCATATTAGATTTTCACACATATATTTATAATACTAATTTTATCAATAAGCTTTTTAGGTATATATTAGTTTTAGTATCTGGTTTTTTTTTCACTCACTGTTTTTTCTTCCATATTTGTTTTTCCATTTTTCCAATACTTGTGTTTTGTGTGTGTGTGTGTGGATGAAACGTTTTTTTTCCTATCATTATCAATCGATCAATATAGAGACATCATCATTCTATCTGTAATGTATACATCAACATCAACAACAACAACAACAACACTTGGAAATGATGATTGATTTTTAATCATTGTTTACATCAATACATTCATTCGAAAGCAAACAAGAAAAAAAATCAAAATCAAACGGAATTTTTTTTACATATAAAACATAAATATAAATAAAAAAAAAAAAAAAAAAAAAAAAATTTATTTTTTCAACTCGAATATCACCGAAGATGATGATGATCATTGATATTTCATTCACAAACCACCATAATATACCCATCTCTTTCTCATTCTCTCTCTATATGTGGACATAAAATATCCAATCATCATCTGTTTTCCAATAATCAAACACCTACACACACACACATAATGGTTGATGATTGAAAATTTTTTTTTTCTAATTTGTTATCTTTTTTTTGTCTAATATATAATTTAATAATTTATAAAAATCTCATCGCTTATCATATATCTCTTTAAATTCATTTTCATTTTTTTTTCTTGCTTTGCTGTGTTTCGACTGTTATAATTATTTTATTTTATTTTTTTTTTTTTTTCATTGTCAAATGTTATACATACACAGACAAACAATTTCACCCATCACTACCACCACCACCACCACCAGTAAATACAACAAATCATCATTAAACACAGAAGAATATCTCAACAACAAAAAAAAACAAAAAAAAAAAAAAATTTCTTGCTCTGTGTGTGTGTCGGTGTGTGCGATTTTTTTTGTTTCCGATTGATCATTTTGAATTTTTATCATATTACACAAAGCAAAGCAAAGCATATTCTTTGAATATTATATCATTTATATTTACTTTAAATGTTATGTTATTTCGAATATTTATTCTCTCTCTCATTCTCATTCTCACTTTATATATAATATATATATTTTTTTTGTCTTCATTCGAATATGATGGTGATTACATAATATTCGTTTTTTTTTGTTTGTTTGTTTGTTTGTTGAACGTTTGCTTGTTGAATCAAATGAATCATCATCATCATCATCCTCATCATCATTTATCAGAGACAAAATGGCATCATCAGACAACATACACACATACACACACCGACACTGCTAAAGAATTTGGCATTTTTTTTTTTTTAATTTTTGTCAACAATTTTTTTTCTTCTTTCAAATGAATATATATTTATCATCTGTTTTTTTTTTTTTTTTTTGATTTTGATTTTTGATTCTAACAATTTGTAAATGTTTTTATTATTATATACAATGAGAAAATACAAACAAACAAAAAAAAAATTTTCCAAGTCATGTGAACCACACACAGAATTCGAATCTATTGTTTTCTTCTTCTTCTTCAACAACAACGATAATTATTACAAGAATTAATGAATTACAAGAATTAATGAAATTATAAAAAAACAAAAACAAAAAAAAATTAAATCTGTTTTTCCATTCATATATGTGTCATCATTGTTGACATATTTTTTTCTGTCAATTTTTTTTTAAATTATTTTTATTTTTAACCATTTGTATAATTCATTTTTTTCTCTTCTCTTCATTCATTCATTCGAACGTCAATTGTCATGTGTGTTTTTCTTTCGATTATTGAACTTGTTTCGTTTTTTTTTTCTCTCTCATACACTCACATTCATTGTCATCATCACCATCGTCATCGTCATCATTTTCTTCGATAAAACTTTTGATTCACTTATTTTCTGAATGAATGAATGAATGAATTGAAAAAAAATTGTGAAAAAAATTGATTAATAAATAAATTCCATTAAATTATAACCAAAAAAAAAGAATGAATTTCGAATTTTTTTTTTTCGTTGATTTTTGAACGTTTTCCAGTGTGGCAATCAGATCTGTCGATTGGATATGAGAATCATTCATGAATTTTTCACCACCACACATTGCTTCTGTTGTTGTTGTTGTTGATGATTGCAACGTTGGCTGTACATTGTAATGAATTTCCATTCATAGTATCATTACAATATAGACATAATGATGGATGGCAACATTTTTGTGCTGGATCTGTAATCCATAAACAATGGATTCTAACCGCTGCTCATTGTATAATGGATAAATTATTATTTCTTAATCAAACAATTGCTTTAGTGAATCCCAATCGTATTGATCGTATTCAAGAACGACAATCGTATCGATTACATTCTGTTTTCATTCATCAACAATTCGATTTGAATACATTGGATAATGATATCGGTTTATTACAAACGATTAAATCAATAAGGTTGAAAAAAGATTACATAGTACATTTGCCACGATCATTATTACCATCGATACGAATCAATGATATAGCTATTGTTGCTGGTTGGGGATCGACTATTTCAAATCATCTTACACAAAATCATCATCAACAACAACAACAACAACAACAATCTAATCATTTATTAAAAGCAACATTACGATTATGGCCACACGATAATTGTAGTGAATTATATCGTACTCAATTATCATTCATTGTTCCAAATGGAACATTATGCTATTTTTCATCATCGTATCAAGATTCTTGCCAGATAATTATATCTAATTTATTTTTATTTTTTTCATAATATAAACTGCTTATATACTGTCAATTTTGCTAATCTTTTTTCTTTTCTATTATTACAAGGTGATTCTGGTGGACCATTATTTCGTCGATTAAATAATCATTATTATGAAATCATTGGAATTGTTTCGTTTGGCGCATTATCATGCGATGGTTCATTGCCCGGTGTTTATACTAATGTTTTTCAATTTCGTCATTGGATTATTTCGAATATTGAGAAAAATAAATTATGAGAGAGATTGAAAGAATTTTTTTTATGTACAAAAAGTTATTAGGAAAATATACAGAAATTTTTTAAAAAAAAGAATGGTTAAAGATGTAAGAAATGTGATGAAAAAAAGGTGTAAAAAAATCCTCAGGCTACTCATGAATTCTTGACGAATTTCACAAATATTTTTTTTCCTCATTTATTTGTTGTTTGATACAAAAACAAAAACTGAATAAAAAAACGTATAGACACATTATACAACAATGAAATTGTGATTAGATTTTTTTTTTGTTTGTTTGTTTGGAAAATTTTATTGCCTTGATGTTGATGTGTGATTTTGTTGTTGCTGTCGTTGTCTTTGCTGTTGATGATAATTTTGTCGGACAACAACACGAGCACAATCAACACGGCCTATTCTTATCAAAGCATTGCTTAATGTAGCCAATGATGGCGGTCCAGCAATCTCAGTTTCCGTTGATTGTTGTTGTTGTTGTTGTTGATGATGATGATCATCTGGTGATGTAGTCATCTGTGATGACCAATCTAATAATAATAAACGAATAGCTTTGAATGTATCAATCATTTTTAGGCCATTGGTGATAGTCGTTGCTTTTGATTCGAATTGAACGATATGTTTTTCATCATAGCCTATATGGTAATAGAAAATATAAATAAAATGTATCAATACAAATAGATCGATGGCTCATACCTAATTCTCTGGCCAATAAACGCCAAATTTCTGTATCTTTTCCAAGCATATTTTCTAATGCTTGCCGTATTTCAATGGTTAAATGTTCAACATCATCACTGATCAATGGAACCGATTGAATCGATCCATTTGATGTGGATGTCGTCGATGTAGGACTATTTGAACCAATTAATAATTCATTGTAGGTTTTCTGTCCATAATGATTTGTTGTTGTTAATGGTGTCGAACGATTATTATTATTATTATGAATATGGAATTTTCTTTGCGTCGATTCTTTTTGATTTAATGCCGAAAATAATGGCATGACTGAATTATGATGATGATAATGTGGTAATGGTGATTGATATGGTGATATATCAGTAGTTTGACTTGATAACCATGCTGGAATGTTATAGGAATATTGATGTTGTGGACATGTTTGAATTGAAGATGTCAAGATATTATTATTTGCATTATATGGAGGTGGTGGTGGTGGTGGCGGCGGTAAAAGTTTTGTATGATGACCATGATGTGTATGTATACTCGAAGAATCGTTAACACGTTGATGATCAACACGTAACATAAGAGAATTATTACATTTTAATTGAATCAATGCATAAATACAGAATGTAAATACAATGATGACCAACATTGAAATGTATAATGGTAAAAGATGTACACCATTCGTATGGTTTCTAATTCGATCAAAATTTGTTGTGGATGAAGATGATGATGATGATAATGATGATGATGATCCATCTATTGTATTACCATTAGAATATATGGCCAAATCATCCGTTTCAGATGGTTGTTGTCCATCATCAATGGTATTCAGATATGAATCCATTAAAGCTGATCGATCTATAAAATAAAAACAAAATACATTAGTATATATATAAACCAAAATCAAAATGAATAATCATCATAATTCCTATATAATTGCAAATCATTATCGTCAATTTTTTTTATATTTTAAAATTATAATTTACGAGATACAAACATACGCGTGTCAACATTGATTATTTGTATACACAAAAAAAAAAAACACTAAAAGTAAGGTAATAAGGTATTTTGACTAGAAGGAATTTTTTTTCTTTTCCTTTTCATTTGATTCAATCACTTCAAATCACAACCATATTATCTATTTATTAAGATGATGATGATCATCATCATAGATTATTATTATTAGATTTTTTTTTCTTCTTCTTATTCATTCACCGATTTCAGATATGAATGCCTGTTGGTTTTTTTTGCTTTTTTTCAAAGCCGATATAATATCATCAACAAACGAATGGAAAAGTTCGACAAAAGAACAGAAAAAAAATCAAACATAGCTTCTTTGAAAAGATCATTTTTTTCTTCGTTTTTTTTTTGTTTTCTTTCTTCATTATCATCATCATCATCATTTTGATCGCCGACAATGATGATGATTATTATTAGTCTGTATAGGTATTACAGTTCGGTTCGGATCTGATGATGTGTTCAAAAGCAGTGGTGAACAGGAAACGCCTTTTTCTCACCTTTTTTTCTCGTCTCTAGACCATTCATTTTCATTCATCATTCATTCTCCTGTCTTTTTTTTTCTATAGCCTTAAAAAAAATGTTTGAAATCAAAGTGAAAAGAAAGAGAAAACCTTTGACCTTCTTCGTCAAACGATGATGAACGAATAAAATGAATGTGCCATGACCAAATGATAATGGTATTCTGTATGAAATAGCAACAACAACCACCACTGATTGGCCATGGTCAAAGATAACAACAGCAACCACCATCACCGACTTTTTTCTTAATAATAATAATAACTTATAATTTGCCAACCAAAACGCAAACTAACAATAACTTTTAACTTTGAATTTCATATTCTTTAGTAAAAAATTTTGATGATTCAAAGGTCGATAGGTCAAAAATTGGTACCTTTTGGCTTTTTCTTTACAAAAAATACGGCAGCATCAACAATCGAATCGCCGACCAACCGAAAGAACGATGATAATGATGATCAACCATATAGATAAAAGGCGAGGTTTGCAAAAAAAAAAAAAAAATTTCTGTTTGCTTCGAATACTGACTAAGTGTGTGTGTGTGTATATGTGTTGTTCATATATGGTTCAATTAAATCTAAATGACAGCTTTGAGCCCGATAAACAACATTTTTCTTCAGTTGTTTTTTTTTCGCTATAGTTGTGTGTATGGTGTTTGGTTGGTTGATTGATCATTAGTGATCTCACTTTCCTATACGATTGAACTGAAACACGGACAATATGATGGAGAAAAAAAAGAAATTTTTTTCTGAATTTTGCTCGCGAATATCTTTTTTTGTTGTTGCTTTGTTTTCATTACGATACATTTCAAGAAAAAAAAATCAAAAGAAATAACCGAAATATATATTATATATATGAAGCCATTTGACAAATTCAATATGAATGAATGGAAAAGAAAAATGTCTGAATGAATTTGGACAAATTTGTCTGGATGAATGTGGATGACTATTAAAGAAAAATCAATTAAATGTTTACCTTGATGTGTTTTATGCTATATAACTTGTGTGCTGTGTTCAGATCATTATATCATATATTCATAGAAAAGGTAATTAAGGTAAACCTAATGATGATAATGATGGACAACAGCAACAGGTTGTACGAATAAATTTCAAATTCAATTCATTTTTTTTCTGATATAATGAATAAGGTTCTGTGATAAATAAATCTAGATGATATGTTCAAAAGAACTTGGTCAACAGCAATAATAACAAAAGATGAAAATTCGTGACTGAAAAAATTAATCATCAATTTTGGACTGAATATAAGAGTCGAAACAAAAAAAAAGAAAAGAAAAAGATGACTTAGATGAAGGTAAGGTAGATGCTATAATAATGATAATAATGAGGATGTGAATGAATGGTTTTTCTGAGTCTGATAAAATGAACAACAACAATGAGAGAATAATAATGAAAAAAAATTCAAATCGAATATTAGCATGGTGTTGTTGTTGTTGTTGTTGCCCAAAGAGGACAATCAATATGAATATGATGGATCAAAATCAAATCAAAAATGAATGATAATTACTTACCAATACAGATTGTGTCACGGTTACCATCACATCCGGAAATCATTTCTATTTTTAAAAAATCAAAAAAAGAAAAAGGAAAAATGAGTTTTCTCTTTCCCACTGTCACTATCTTGTACTACATTAAAGTTAATTATTTTTAAGTGAATTTTTTTTCTTTCTAAAAAAAATTCAATTATAGATCTTCTTCGTCGTAGTCGTCATTTGATCGACAAATACCAATTAAATTGAATCCAGGTCGATAGTCGATGATTTGATTTGATTGGCATGACGAAACAACGACAACAAAATAGATGATTGAACTGGTTTGGTATTGAACAAAACTACTAACCTTGATTAGGACCACACTTTGAGCATTTTATGCAACCAAGCGTGCCAACTGAAGCACCGGAAAAAGTTCCCGGTTGACATTGTCGACAAACAGTGTTACGAGACCACCTGCATGTACGCCACACACCTAAAATATAAATCAAAAAAAGCAGAAAGAATGGAAAAAAATATAGTGTGTGTTATTATGGTTGATCATTATGATTGTATACGAAAAAAAACTGTTCCAATTGAATTGGGTACAAAACATTTGTTTTGAAGTCAATTCAACATTTTTATGGTCAAAAACGAATGAATGAATTTATGAATGAGAAATCGGAATCATTTGAACATATCGCAAATCTTTATTTTTTTCAGTTGGTGGTGGTGGTGACAATCCTCAATGTAATAAATATCACCCTTGTATCATATCATATATCTATTATATGTTAGCAATACAATTTATCGGATATATACAAAAAGATACCGGCATACAATCATAATCATCATCATCATCATGATTATGATTACATGCATGAATCGAATCAAATTTTTTTGATCTTTTTTTTCCTACACACATTTGTTATTTATTATAATTTTTTTCCAATCCTCAATGGTCAAATCAAAGAGAAGGGTGTTGATGGCAATAATATCAAAATAGATCGAATCGTCAATAAAATCAAAAAAAAGACAGAAATAAATGCTAATAAAATTTGCCGTATGTTTACAATCGTAAAAATCAAATATTTATGACAGTGTTGTTTGTGTGTGTGTGTGTGACTTAGTTATTCAAATACGGTTATGGCAATTTTAGAATATCAAAAATTATATGACCAGAGAATAAAGAGAGAAGGAGAGAGAGGGAAAGAATCATAAAAATTTCAATTCCGATGTTTGATGAACATTCTAAATAACAGACAATTGAAATGGACAAAATTTTTAATGTGAAAAAAAGTGAAAAAAAAAATTCACACAATAATGATTCATTGTTTATGATTCGAAATGAATTTCTGGTTCTAGCATAATAATTCTTTTTATCATTTGAATTATCATCCATCCATAGAATGGACTGTATGTAAAGATGGAACAAAAGATTGTCATTGTCTGTGGGATTCTATTTTTGGTCATCCCACACACACAACACACACACACACATATGGTTTAGTGTTTGTGGATAAAAAATCAAAAAAAAAAATCTTACCATAACCAGATGGACATTCTGAACATGGTTTACATGTTCCATCCAATATTGACATATACCATCCTTGTGTACAAACACATTCCATATTATTTGTACGATTACATTGTCGTAATATGATTGCACCTGATGGACATTTAGATAAACATTCATGACAATGACCGGTACGTTGATTCCAATATGTTTTTCCATCAATACAATCATTTACAGTAATATTATTAGATGATTGATTTTGATTAATTATTGTTGATAATGATAAATTTTTTAGAATCACATGACTAATAAAAATTTTGGAACGATTAGAATTCGAATGTTGTTGTTGTTGTTGTTGTTGTTGTTGATGTTGATGTTGGCCATTGATTTGGGCTATAATATTCAGATCACTAATATTCAATGATTGATTTTGTTGAAGATGATTATTACTATTATTATTATTAACCAAATGGATAAGCCATTTTGGTAGAATCCTTTGTGGATTATCTTTTGTTGTCTTTGTCGTTGTTGTTGTTGTTGTTGAATATATTATTAACGGATTTATCGTTGTAATCACTTCATTATTATCACCGAAAACATTTTGTTGTTGTTGTTGTTGTTGAGAATCAGCTGATATAAATGTTCGATATGAATCGAAAAATGTTAAAAATATTAGAAAAATATTCGAAATACAATGTTTATGATGCATTTTTTTTTTTTTTTTTTTGTTTCTGGTTTTTTACATGAATGAAACATGAAAATTCACATAAAAATTTGATAATAATGATGACAACAAATTAATTTTTTTTTTATTTTTTAAGAACAAGAAAAAAAATTTTAACAAATTGTCAATTATCAAGATGAACAGGAGATCACATGTTTTTTTTTTACTGCCAAAGTTTAACGAAATGACTAACGAACAAGAACATGGGTGAAGTGAATAGTTTGAACATTCGAATGAGAATGATCTAAGATCATTCAAAAACAACATGCATGCAACAGTCAACAAGATGGTCAATCAGATCGGTGTGTGTGTTGAACGATATGTGAAGAACCTCGAATCTCGTGTGATGATGATGATGATAATATTCACTTTTTTTCCACTAACAAAACAACATGTTATTTCATTGTATGGTGAGGTGTTTTTTTTTGTCTGTTTTCAACTTGTTGAATGTTGGCAAACCACCTTTTTTAATACCATCTTTAGTTTATAATACACATATACAACAATGGCAAAAGGATCGTTGTTTTTTTCATTTTTAGTAGATCTTTTTTTTTTGTATGAAGAATTTTACCACCACACCGAGAACTTTGGTTTATTTTTCTGCATTTTACGCGGCATGGTGTGTGTGTGTGTGTGTTTGTATTGATCGATAATACCTCCAAGTACACCACACTCTTTCGTCTGATGATGACCAGTTCTTCTTCTTTTTTGTTGTTGTTGTTGGAAAAGAGAAAAAAAAGCTTTGGTGGTGGTGATTTGGTTGTAAAATGTTGTTTGTTGATTGGTTGGTTGGCTCGGTGTATATACCCGAATATAAAGAGAGAAAGAGAGAGTTTGATTTTTTAGTGAAGAAGAAATTGACACACACACACAAATACATTTACAGACAAACACGATCAATGAACAACAACAACAAAAGTTGTATACAATTCGCCGACGAAATATCCCGAGAAATAATAATAATAATAAATGCCGACACAAGAAGAAGAAAAATTTGGAAAGAGAAAAAAAAACCTAGCTACGATTTTTGCATACACACACACACACACACACCAATCGAAATGACGACAACCAGAAAAAAGCTATCTATCTATCTATCGTTGTACGAATATATTCTTTTCCTCCCCACCCCCCACAAACACACAAAAAAAATAATACTTTATGGTACCACATTTACAAACACGAATATTATTATAAACGAATTATGTAGCCAAAGAAGAAGAAGATAAAAACAACGAATGAATTTATACGGTCGATCCTTGTTTGTATGTTTGTAAAATGTACATTTGATAATCGTCGGCATCGTTCAGAGGTCATTAAGAATGTAATACATACATACACATATTCATACAAACAAACAAACAAATAAACAACCAATAGGACAATAGCCTATAGAATCAAAATCAAAGTTCGAGCTTGGTATAATCAGAACAACGACGACAAGACACACGAATAAATAACAACGAAAATTTGATGATGATGATGATGACCATGAAATATGTTTGTTGGACAAACATAAATATTTTTTTATTTTTACCCGAATCATATTGATGAAACGAAAAAAAAAACAAAGACGACGACGACGACGACAAAAAAATTTTTTTTATTTCATTTCCAAATTCTTATGAAAATATACGATAATGGAAAATTAAAAGACAAAAAATAGAAATCTATCACAAATGAAAAAAAAAGGTTCGATGATCATCATCATAATAATGATGATGATGATAAAAGCAAACAAAACAAAAAAACCAAACCGTCATGTCATCATATACACTTGAAATTTTTTTTTTTTTTTTTTTATGAGACTGGATATATCCAACGAAAGTGAAACGAAAAATGTATAGTGATCAAAGTTTGCCGCAAACCAAAAAAAAAACAGAAAACAGAAACAGAAAACAAAACAAACCAAATCATAGAATAAACAGGAAAAAATATTGAATAAATGATGATAATCATTATTGTGATAGATTTGATAAAAGAATATGCCGATGAAATCATCATCATTTCATTTTAACCAGTCAAGTTTTTTTTTACTTTTCTTTTTTTTTGGTGATGATTGGTTGTCTATTTTTCGTTAAACCACATCATCATCATCATCACACATAGATCAAAAGAACCGCTAGAATTTACATATGGATACACAGGTCTTTTTTTTATTTTTATCATTTTTCAATACAAAAAAAAATCTAGTTTTACTTTGAAATTATTCTATGATGATGATGATGACGACGATTTGGATGTGGATATGAATGTACGTTTCATATCGGAATCTTTACGACGTCTCAATTGTACTACACCACAATCATCAATAAGAGCTTTTTCCGTTTCATCAAACAATTCCTGGCTTATGGATACACAGGTTTTTTTTATTTTTATCATTTTTCAATACAAAAAAAAATCTAGTTTTACTTTGAAATTATTCTATGATGATGATGATGACGACGATTTGGATGTGGATATGAATGTACGTTTCATATCGGAATCTTTACGACGTCTCAATTGTACACCACAATCATCAATAAGAGCTTTTTCCGTTTCATCAAACAATTCCTGGCTATTTAGATCAATTTCATCCAAACCTTTGGATTGTGCCAATTGTAAATATTTAGCGATAAACATTTCACAAACACCCATTTTTGATGCTTTCAAATCGGATGGTTTATCGGATATAAAATCATGGATCATTACTGAATCACCGTATGTTCGAAAGAATCGACTAAAATAGTCATTAAACAAAGAAATTCAGTTTATTTTATTTTTTTTTAATTTCAAAAAGATTATAAAAACTTACGATCGTAGAATATCTTCAGGATAGAAAATCGGCTTAATTTCGATTTCGGGTTCTGGTCGAATGGCTAGCGGTTCAACAGTTGGAGGAAAATGTTGATAAACATCATACCAGATTGGACGATTTTCTTTTAAAACAGCACCGGATTTAATCAAACCTGTATATCTATCAAAATCAATTGATTGAGCATTTGAATTGAAATAATTTTTGCATACCTTTTGAATATTGTGGAAAGTTTTTCAACTCTACTTCCAGCCATTTTTAAAAATCAAATAAACGATTTTCTAAGAATTTTTTGAAATTTTTTCGTCGTTTGAATCACATGTGTTTTATTTTTATATCGTCGTCTATGAACAGAGCTGAAAATCGAAACAAAAACAGAGGACAAGCAGGTTGATTTTTTTTCTGACCATTTTGTTTTTTTTCTATCAGATTATGGGACGTGATCTAATTAGTCGAATTTTCGGTGGTCCCGTTAGTGATACTGGTCCATCGGCTGCACGAAAACCAACACCTGGATTCAATCTACCGCCTGGTGCTTACATACCTGATTATAAAATCTACAAGGTTGAAGATGCACCCGAATTACATACGATTCAACGTCGTTTAGCTGCTCGTGGATTGAAATCCAATTGGTTAAGGTAAATTAAATATTATTCGATGATAAGTTATCGATTTGCTAATCCTTTTATTTGATAAAATTCTTAAAGAAACGAAGTATGGCGTTATAGCCGCAAAGAATGGGGTACGGAAGCCTGGCGTTTGGCAAGTTTGTTTACCTATGGTTGGAAATATGCCATACCATTATTGATTGTTACAGCAATCTATGAAAATTTTTATAATAAAGATAGCCATCATGGTGGTGGTGGACATCACGATGATCATCATGGCCATTCAAGTAGTAGTCATCATTAGTCGATATTTAAAAAAAAATTGTATTTGAAATTCTTTGCTAATTAACAATTCATAAAAATTTAATAAAATTGATGATTGATCAGTCGATTGTACAAATTTTTTTTCATCTATGCAATGAACATGGAAAAATGATATTTTGGTCCTAGAATATTTAAAGATTCGATGATACATATTTGCAAGTTGGACAAACGATCCTCAATCCCACCTTTGTGTAGTGACCATTCAAATTTTGATTTTAAATTTTACATAATAATTTTCATTTTTCTTAATAAATAAATTTTGTCATTATTTATTTTTGATATTCTAAATTTTTGTTGTATGTGAATTTTAAATTAGCAATTTTATTGATAAAATCAGCTGACTGATGATTATAATAAATGGAAAAGTTTCTCTGGGAAAAAAATTGAACAAAAAATTTAAAATATTTCCAGAAATTCATGATTAGTAACGGGCATTTAGAATTTTATAAAAAACAGCACTAATCGAATTTCCGAGCCACTAATTGCATAGGTTTATTGTGTTGTAATTTTTTCCACAAAAATGTGTTCAAATGTAGGTTATTTTTTTCATTTTTCTTTAATTTTTTACTAATTATATTTTGTTTTACAGAAAAATCCTTTAATCAAAATTGATGATGAAATGTGTAATAATAGCAATGATGATGATATTGATGATCGAGTTTTTCGTACAACAAATCTAGTTTTTTGGCCTTTATTACGAAGAATATCCAAAGAATTTCTTCAAAATGTAAAACAATTTCAGATATTTCATAATGGCCAATCGGCTATTTTTCTTCATCAAGATGGTATTTTTGTTTATGGTGATAATTTTAACGGTTGGTTTGGTTTATCCAATCATGTTGATCGTGTCATTGAACATCCATTGCCAATCGATCAAATATTTAAGAATGAAATCAAAACAATACAGATTGGTAGCAATTTTATCATATTGTTAACAAATTCTGGTTATATTTATGGCTGTGGAAGTAATTCACATGGACAGATTGGATTGAAAAACGTTGATATGATGAAACAATTTACATTGATACGTGAACGTATTAAATTCGTCAAAATTGCTTGTGGTTCTCTTCATGTGCTAGCATTAGACATCTTTGGAAACGTCTGGTCCTGGGGTGATAATGAATTCAATCAATGTTCAAGTATGCGATTCAAGTTTCTCATACCTACAAAATTACTATGGCCAAAATTTCAAAATATTCAAACAATTGATATTGCTTGTGGTTACACAAGTTCAATAATATTGAATAGTGATGGAAATGTCTATGTATTGGGTCGAATGGCATCGATTTATTTTATGCGACCAACTCGAATGGAAATCAAATTAAAACCTAATACTTTCATTAAAAAAATTTATGGATGTCGTGATATTTGTGCTCTACAAACAAATCATGGTGAAATTCTTCATTGTTTTAAACGAAATGAATATCTTGAATTTCAAAAAATCGATACAAATATTCAAGCTATTAGCACACATTGGAACAACAATCAAATCATTCTTTATTCAAAATCTGAAAAGAGATGCTATGTTTGGAATTATGATAATCCTGAATCATTTGCAACGAATTCTGATTCAATACCAGATATCACTAATCTCTATGTTCATCCAAACACACCTGGATTAATTAAATTACCATTGGATCTTTCACCTAATACCGATTTCAATGATCCAACCTGTTCAGATCTTGAATTATTAATCACTGACTTTGAATATGGAGAATTACCAAGAACATTATATGTTCAACGAGCTATTATCATGAAACATTGGGAAAATCTGCTGAATTATTCTGTTCAATCACCAACAAACACTGATAGAATAATGATTGACTCTTTTCCTTATTCGTTTCTGTTTCAATATATTTATTTCATTTATAATGGTAATTATCAAACACTTTGGCGAAGCAATCTGGATGATAAAGAATATTTTGAGCAAAAAATGTTATTACAAGATTTACTTGCTCATTACAGTTTAAATGATTCTTTACATGAAACATTGCAAAATATTATACTTGAACGTTTGAATGAGGAAAACTATATTCAAGTAGTATCCCTACAAGCTAAATATCAATCTACTCTATTGTGTCGGCAAAGTGTTTTTCTTTTTCATTATTATGTTTACATGAATATTCAAAATTGTGGAAAATTTTTCGAAGATTCATTACGATATAATCAACCACAATTTATAGAACGAATTTTTCGTCTTTTATATAATTTTATAAATATCAACTATCGTTATTTGGAAGAAAAATTGAATCCCTATTTGTGTAAATATTACAAGCAAGAATTATTCGATGGTAATGATGAACTTTATTATCTGGCCATACGATATGATCCAGAAAAACGTGATTGTATACGTTTTATGAATGACAATGTGGTTACGATATCATTGTTACAGATTTATAAATCTTGTTTCATGTATCGAAGATATGATTTAATACCAGAAGTCTTGAAACGTATAAAGTTCTGTATGCGTAAACATTTGGCCAATGTTTTCTATTTCTATCTATTTTCACTTGATTATAAATCATATGGTGGTTTATTCGATGATCATAACCATCGTTATCTTCATCAGCTTGTTGTAGCATTTATTAAAAATCCAGAAAATTTCGAAATAACTCGTAAAGATATTCTTGAACATGTTTTGGCCGAATCGAATTCGAATGCAAACTTGACATATTTTATCAAGGCTAAATTGTTTCAATTAAATGATGATTTTCGTTGGCTAGAATCTGTCACCAATTTTTCCGGACAAGAAACATTAATGATACCGGCCATTTATTGTCAATTTTATTCACTTGCCAAAAATAAACGAGATGAAAAAATATTGAAAACAATCAAACAACATTTATCCAGTGATCTTTTCGTTAATTTCAACACTTTACCATTAATATTTTTATTGGCATTATTCTATGAAGATGAACAACTTAAATTGGTTATAAATGAACGATTGTCAACTGATCTTGATTCTGAAAACATTTTAATCGTTTATAAAATTGTTCATACATACATCGATGATGATGAATTTTCCAAATATCTTTGTTCATTATTTATCAAACATATCAATATGTTCAATTGCATACAATTATATGAACTTATTCAACAATACAAAGATTCATTGGCCTTAACGATATTACGTCCGAATTTAATCAAAAATTTTGATTCAATCAATTTGAGTAAATTTGCAAAACTTGCTATGAATTTTCATGATCAAATTCTATTGTCTCATATACAGAAATTTATTCTTACTAATTGTAATAAGAAAAATGGAACTGATTTCTATAAATTGATAATGCGAAATTCAACATCATTTTCAAATGATTTTATTCAATCATTTCGAAATGTTATCAGCAAGAATTTATCATCAGAGAACATTATTGATTTCATTATAGCAGCATCGAATCATTTAGATACAGAAATGGTTGAAAAATTATGGAAATTAGCTCATGATTATATATCGGCAACGAATTGTTTACGATTCTATGAAATGATGATTCAAAAAGATTTTTTTGATCAATGTCTTCAATTGAAAATAAGTATGATGCTAGCCAAAACTGTTAATGTTGAAAATTTCGAACGAATCTATGTTCTTGCCATCAAAGCAAATGATGAATCATTGATCAATCAACTCAATTCTTCTATAGTGAAAAAAATAATGAACAAAGAAAATTGTATTCAATTGTATCGATTTGCAATGAAAAATTCTGATCATAAATTGGCAAAAAATATTGGCATGCAATTAAAAAGTTATCTAACGGTGAAAAATTGTCTTCGAATCTATATAATTTCATATGAAAATGATGATTCATTTGTTCGTAAACTATGTGCTCGATTTTTGGCTTCGAATCCAAATGGACGAACATCATTATCGATAATGGATAAACAAGTCAGCTTTCAATTAAAAATGGATTTGGAAAACTTTAATTTCTAGTCTACAATTGTTATTCAATAGATGTCAGTACTATCTCATTGTTTTTTTTTTATGTTATAACACGTGAAAACAGAATCGAATGTTTTTTTGTTGAAATAAAAAAAAATTTATAAAATTAATTTTGATTGTGATTTTATTTATTCGAAGAAAATGGCAGAATTTCCAGATCATGTGCATACAAAATTATTGGCCATCAAATGTGAATCTTGTTTATTTGCACCGGATCCGAATAAACTTGATGATATCAATAGATTCCTTCAGAATCCTAATCTTACCATAAATTTTTTCCAATCAAATTGTGATCGTTTAATATTTATAATTCAAACGATTATGGCTGATATGCCTAGATTGATTTCAAATCCAGAATCTAAATTTAGGTATATTTTTAATATTTTTTTTTTGAATTTACATTTTGACATTAATACAAAGAAAATACATAAATTAATTTCAGTGCTGATCAACTATTCCGAAAATGTCTGGAAATTTATCGAATTTTATTCAAAAAAATCATCATTAATAATCCAAAAGTTTTTGATGCCACTTTCAAAATGTTTTCATTGTTAATCGATAAACAAGCTAATCAGAAAAATAACGATCTTGGCAATAATATAATCGTTCTAAGTGATAATTCCACTGAATTATTGATTGAATGTACAATCAATTTATTAGTGGCCTGTGATCAATCAATGTTCATGGATTTTCTATTTGATCAAATTGAAACAAAAAAATTTGAAATGATATATGGAATGCTTTCAAATTGTCTATTGCAAATTATTGTCAAACATCATTATCAACCATTGAAAAAATTGTCATTAGAATTAATGTCAACAATGTATTTGAAAATTATTGGCCAGCGATTGTCTGAGTTCAATTATGATCTGCCAAATTTTAACGTGGCCGATGACAGATTCTTAAGATTTTCGAAATTTCTTTCATCAATTTCACCCGGATTATTGTCTAGACTTTGGAAACTGTTGCAGCTTTGTTCAAATGGCGATTACCATAAGCTACATTCTGATGTTATTATCGTTTCGTTGAAATTATTGAATATTGTTCTTCTGATGGTTTTTGAAAATTCTGGAAAATGTTCTGAAGATTTATTTAATGATGAGAAATATTCCAGAAATTTATCAACAATGATTTCCGATATCATTGAAACACTAATCGAACATACGGATTCAAACGTACGATTTAATTTATTAAAATTCACCGAAAGTTTGATGTTTAACTGTAATGAAAAATTTATACTGAATCAAATTCTTACCTTATTCAAAGTTCCTTTAAATTATATTGGAGCAAATTCCATCGATGGATTTGAAAACGAACATTACGAGATGAATGAATTATGTAAACATTTTCAAGAAAATTTTCAAACAAAAATCTTGGAAAAATCAATTCGATTTGACGTGACCAACATTTTGCATAAAGAATTATTTGATCATCTCACCCGAATGCCATACTCATTTCGAAACATTGATATTCATCATCATCATCCTAATAAAATTATAACGAAAACAAATTTAAAATCATCATTTCAAATTCTTGTTGGTTTTTTACATACATTAAATCAATATGGAATCAATGATTTTTTGAAATTAGAACAACATAATCATCATTTATTTCGTACATTTATAAATCTGGGAGAATTTGATTTTAAACATTCGAAATTTTTACCTCAAGAATTCGTTGATAATAATGCTGATTTCAGTAATAATGATATGAATCGTCATTATCTGATTGAAAAGGTATTCGCTGCATTTCATTTTGATAAATATCTGAAATACTTGAATGAAAAAGAATTATTTCAATGTTATAAACATTTCATAAGTTATTTATGTGAATTTTCAAATTTTCAAACATTTCAAATCATCACCGATCATTTATCCTATCTTTTGGAATATTCTGATTTCGATCCAACTGTTATTATGATTACGAATATTTTTATGATAAATGTATCAAATTTAGACTATAAAGATCAGTTGGATTATTATCTTCAAGAATTTCTTAATAATTATTCAAAAAATCTACATATGATTGATATTTACGTTGAAGATGATTTAATGATTCAATCAAAACAAATCGATAAATATCTTACAATCGATAGTATTGCACAAATTTGTTCATCAAAAACTACTGCATCAACGAAATCCGATGAATCAATCGATTTGATCAAATTACATCAAAGAAAATTATTTCAACATTGTCTAATAATGCAAGGAACAACATTATTATATACTTTATTTAAACCGGAAAAAATTCGTTCAAAATTTTTCAAATCATTTTTTCTCGATCTTTTACAATCAATTGGTTATCCACGAAGCGATCTTGTTTCTCGTGTAGCTAAATATTGTATGATTTTAATGGGTCATCATCTAAATCCCGAACTAATGAACAATGTTAATGAACCAAAATTCTTATCAAATCAAATGATTATGAATAATTTGGACTATATTTTCAGTTCATTTAGTATCGGTCTTGATTATAGTGTTGTACAGCAAAGAAAATCTGAAATTTCACATGTTTATAAATATGATTCTTATTCAATCAAAACGATTCAAAATTCTTTACTTGCTGTCATTGAATTGATCACTGAATATTATTATCAATCATCATCATCGATTTCATCATTACAAATAGAATATCTTCATCGATTGATTGATCAAATTTTGAATCTAATAAAATATTATTCCATACGTTTAATTGATATTAATTCCGAAGAATTGAATAATTTGATTGAAATTCTATATGCATATGTGAAGCTCATAAAACTGTTATATGATGATGATGGTGATGATGTTCAAGATGAATACACAATCGAGAATAATGCTGACTTTGAAACTGATAAAATGAATACTTTGATTAAAGATGTTGAAAATTTTGTACAAACTTCTTCCATCATACAAAAAGATCTGAATTCAACTCCGAAAACACCGGTGGATTTAAATAGTTTTCAAAATTGTTCTACCATCAATGAAAATGATGATGATGATGAAATGAATGATGATAATTTGAAAATTCTTCAATCTCCAATCATTAAATCTCGTGTGGCCAATATTTTTCATCTATGTCCAATGTTGCTTGGTGATCCAAACATTGCTATTCGTTTGAATGTATTAAAATTATCGTATATTTCAATGAAATTATTACGATCTTATGAAGGCAAGTATTAGGTTCATAAACCTTTGATCTTTGATTCTTATTTTTAAACATTTTTTTTCATTATTTTAGATATACTTCTTCCATATGTTCATCGATTTTGGGATTCATTGGTTCAACTTTTGTCATTGAAATTGGAACATCCTGTTGTGGTAAAAAATGCTTTCGATTGTTTAATGTTGGCCAATAAATTATGTGGTGATTTTTTACTTCGTCGTATGGGCAAAAAAATCATACCTGCATTGATAAATTTTCTACAAATTCGTTTCGATTCACGTATCAATTATTATCGTAAACATGGCCATAATGAAACATTGAAAACAATGGATTATTATATTGAATTAGAATTACTTAGATCATTAGGACGATTAGCTGTAAATGTTAAACTACGATCACAAGATATTTGGAAAATGTTACCAATTTTCATACTTTATACATGTTCCAACGGAATAATAATGGATTTACGACAAAATTCATTACAATCATTAATCATCATATCGGATCGTGCAGATTATTATTCAGTACGATATTTTGTACATATTTTTTTGGAAATATTTTATGAAAATCCTGGACTATCAATTCTACGTCCAAATCAATTGTCTAATCAATGCAAATTTCAATGTATTTGCCATAGAAATCGTGAACATTACAAAAATATTACAAGAAAATATTCAGATTTATTATTACCATTAGATCATAAATATAATCTATTAAATCAATTGATAATACATTTGAATAATTAATAATAAAAAAAAATGTTCACATTTTTTTGTACATATAAATCACATAAATCAAATGAAAAAATATGATTTATTTTTCAATATCACCATCAAATACTTGAATCAGATTTAGATCGATCAATTTTCTGTGAATCATTGGTGGTGGATAATATCTTTGATGAATTGCTTTTACTACTGTTTATAGAATCAACTACCGATTTCAATAATTGTGATCTTGTATATGCGTAATTAATATCTGATGATACTGATGATGTTGATGATGTTGATGATGATGTTGATGATGATGATGATGATGACGATGATGAAGAATTTTTTCTATACGATGATGGTATGATTGACTTGATATCTTGACTACTTTTTAATGTTAATTTTTTTCGATCATCATTATCATTGTTATTAATATCATCATCATCAAATATTTTACTTAAATGTCCAATTCTTGCTGCTGCTTTACGGAATATTGCCTCTTGTTCCATATTGGCTTTAAGTTTTCTATAATCAATCCTGATTGCTGGTATTCTTAATGCACTAGGTAATTTTGGCATATAAACATCAGCATTATTTTTTGTCATTGCTGGTGAATGTTGATGATCTGTTTCCGATTTATGGCTAATTTCTTCTTGGCTATTGATCGATTGTTCTTTGGTTATCGATTCTTGACAATTATTATTTCGTAATTGTTCACCAGTTGTTGATTGACAACATCCCATTTCTAAATAGTGTCCACCATTATTGCCATGTGGAATATCGAAATTTTTATATAAATGATCAAATTCTTAATTCATATTAAATTAAATTATTCAATTATGGTAAATGTGTAAATTGAATTTTTCGTTTTTGTTTCAAATCATGTAACAACAAGCGAATTATTTTATTCACATGTGCACATTGAAAATGATTAATAATTCATGAAATCGGAAATATTGTTTTTTTTGGGAGTTGACCATTTTTTTTTGCATTCATTCATTTTGTTTCTTGTAAATCTATGTCAAGTCAATCAATCAATTTCATAAACATGACCTCGAAAATCTGATTATTGTCAACAAAAGTGAAACAATTTTTGTATACATTGAAATCATTTTATGTAAAAAGTTATTTGTTTAATTGATAGGTGGCGCATCTCTTGTATTTCAAAATTATAAATTGTATAAAGGATAATGACGCCTGGTGTTCCAACACCCAAAAATCACCCGATCATTCGATCCTGATGATAGTCAACTGTGTGTTTATCATCATCATGTGATATATCACAACTAATCAATGGTTGGTATGACAAGTGAAAATAAGAACAGAGAGGAGGAGGAGTAGTAAAAATGAACAGAAATTCCTAGGAATTCTGGAATGGAATAAATATTGGCTGAAATAATAATGTTAATGGTCGTCAAACACACACACACACGCACGTTTAATGTTTGGCATTGAAAACACCCAAATGAAACCATGAGAATAAATGGTGATGATGATGATGATGGGAAATTGGCTCTTGAAACAGAGAAAGAGAAGAAAAAAACTTTGTCACTGTTCGACTTGTAGTTGTCAAATTTTTCCCGAACAAATATACCTGTACAAAAGAATTGGTAATACAAACTTTTGAATGAAATCATTTTTTTACCTTGAATATTTTGTTATATAATTTATTATTCTGAACATATTCTTTTCAATATTTTTGTTTGGTACAGGTTGGAATTATTTATTTGTCCTTGACATTGGACAATATATAATTGCTTGTCTTTTCACGAAAGGATTACATTTTTGATCCGGTGGGTGGGTAGGTTAGTGTTCGATGATAGATATTAATCAAGCAAAGAAAAAACCATTTTCAATAGTGATAATCATTAATTTTTTCGTTGTTTATGAATAGTTAGTTATCAAACATAAAATAATTTCAATAATACGTGAGCAGCAAATACAATTGTTGATTATAATCATTCATTTTTTTTATGATCCACAATATAATTATTGATGATCCGAAATATCGATAAAAAAGTAACAAATTCTAAATGAACAAAAAAATTTTTTTTTTTTTGATTTCCTTTCACCACCTACACATAATTATTGATCTTCGAATCTTTTCATCCGAATATTCTATTGACGTCATCAACGTGTAGTGGTTGGTAGTCGTTTATAAAAAAAACGTTTTCAAATGGAGAAAAAAAAACTATAATCCACACAATAATTCAAAGGAATATTATCTTGTTTCTGCTGCTACAGTATTATAATTGGTTCTTTATTCGTTTATTTTTTCGAATAAAAAACCAATTGATCGGTTGTCATGACAAGAATATTCTTGCATAAAAACCACGCATGTTTAGCATTTTTTTATTATTATTATTATCATTAGAATGTTAATAAATTCATGAAATTTATGCCGGAACCATTGGAATATTCTTTGAGCGTGTATATGTAGTGCAGTGTACTGGTATATATGAATAATCAGTATAATGATGTATCTCAATCATTGTATATGTAATCGTTACATATGATGATTATGAAAATGTTTGCACTTGAATTCTTTTTGTTGTTGTTGTTGTTGTTGTTTTGTTATTGATCGAGTAAATTAGCATTCCGTCATGATAATTGAAGAAAATGAAACAAAAAAATTCGTCCAGAATTTTCAATCGAAAATGTAGAAATTTTTTTTTCAGTTTATTTAACACCTGGATGAAAATCGTATTGAGACGTTTTCGTATTTTTTGGCCTTAAGGCATACAAACATTTTTCTCTTTATGATGAACTGCATATATAATAATAATAATGTTTTATGACCTGAAAAATATTGATTTGTTTGTTCGATGACTCATTCAATAAGAAAACATTGAATAAAAATTTCGATCGAATCAATCAACAGAACAAAAATGAATCAAATTTGAAGTATTCGAAAAAAACCCATTTTTGATTCCAAATTTTTTTCACGATATCAGATACTATATTTTTTCTTTGGTGTTTTATCTGACAAATTCTCTGATGTGATCATCCATTGTGTATTCAATCAAGATGGATGGATAGAGATGGTGGAAGAAAAAAACATTGAACAAGAACCAGTTTTGCATTACCATCGACAATATGAAAATCTACCAAACTTCGACATCAAATCATACACAGAGTAAAACAGTAAGACGATTGATGGTTTTCTCTTCCACGAAAGAAATGTATAGAAACGATGAATATGAGAGAAAGGATAGAGAGAGAGGAAGAAAATATTGAATAATGTGGACGACCAAGTCAGCCAAGAAAATATTACTTCCATCCATTATGAGAAACAGTATCAACAACAATGGTGATGATGACGATTATAATCATCAACTAATTTAAAATACCACCATTATTGCCACGACAAACTAACCAAACCAGTCTTCTACTACCTCTCTCTCCTTTTTTTTTTTTTGTTTAAATTGGCTACTCGTTTGATAATTCCATCAACGAATTGACCACCTTTGAATATTTGTTTTTTATCTTCATTTGTGTGTGACGTTGTAGTGCACCCTCGAGGTATTTCATTTTCATTTTATTATTCTCACCATTCTATAGCTATATCTTGTCACAAGTAGTTTTTTTTTGATATATGAAACAACGACGACAACAACAAAACAGTAGGTGGAATTTGTCTTTGTGTGTATAATCAAGCCATGTATTCGATATACGGTGTGTATATAGAAATTTTTTTTTCTAATTCCTAAAAAGAAACCGCGCCAGTTATTATTTTTATCGTACGTCATACGTTATGAATCGTTGTTGTTGTTAATGTGAATACATAGCAAACAAACAAAGAAAAAAAAAGAAGAAGATCGATCCAACAACAACGAAAATTCGTTTGTGTTTTCAGCACAGCATTCTTCGAGTTTTAGTGTGTGTGTGTATGGGGGGTCTGTTTAGGTTTGATTCTGTCACATTCTCATTGAAGACAATTATTCTTCGTTCGTTCCATGGCTTCATCGTTGTCATAGAGTTTTGATTTTTTATTTCAGTGGTTCATATATGAAAAAAGACGGAACAACAATCACCAACACAAACAAAAAATAAAACTTGATCATTCATTGTTTGTTATCCATTCGTTTCAGAACGTCTGGGAATTTTTTTTTTATTTCACCATATATTCATTGTGTGTGTAGTGATTGTGGTTTGTGTGTGTTGTTTGGCCACACAAACTTATCACACACACACACACACACACACACACACATGGATATTATTTGATTTTTGTGTGTACAGAATTCAAAAACAAAAGAATCGATCATTTATCGTCTGAATTCATTATTGAAAAAAATATCTATCAACTCAATAAAATTTACTGCTCAAAAAATTGAAATGGAAAAATGTAAAATCATCATCATCATCATCACCATCAACACCGAAAAAGGTAAGCAACCTAAATTATAATCAATGACCTGCATCATTTGAAAATTCGTCATCATTAAGATATCCCGTTATACAAGTATGATGATTACATACATAGAGTCAATTTAAACACATAGACACATAGACATTTGTATTCATCATTAGTCAGAATTATTCAATATATGAATATATACCTTTTAAGATAAACGATTTTTTTTCTGAATTTTTCAAACTAAGAAATTTATCTGTTGTTGTCAAACAAAATATTAGACAACAACACAAGGGCATCACAAAAAAAATGTCGCCATTATTTTAACAAAAATATTTTTTGATATATATTCATTCATGTATTCAATACACATGTATATATATTTTTTTATAGGAAGAGAAAAAAATGAGAGACTGTGTATATGTGTGTGTTTGGATCATAATAATAATCATTGGTTCGTTTTTTGTTCATGTATGGCGCCCATTCAAAATATATAGCACACAATATAACATATAAATTACGACATCAACATGCAATACTTGAATGAGAAATATAGAGATAGAATATTAGCCATCGGTTATACCTTTGTATACAGAGAAGCATAGCATAGCATACATTCCTAATGGCCACAGTTAACATACCATACACACACACACAGGTGTATAAATCTAGCATTTTTTTTCAATCGGATCTTGTACTAAGAGAGAGAGAGAGAGAGAGAGAGAAAAACCCTTAAGCTTTGTTTTTCATTTAATCTATTGATCCATTCATCGATACATTGATTCATCATCATTAGATTCATTAGATTTTCATTCATATAAAATAAAATAAAAAATTTTAGCTGGAAATTTTTTTTTTGTCACCACTTTAGAATTAATTAAAATACAATGATCATTATGTGGATATCTCGTATGTTTCCGGTTTACATTTTTCTTTTTTTTGTTTCTTTGCTAATTCAACCTTGATTTATGTCTTCCATTTGGTATTTGTTTGTAAATATCTCATTTACAGGTAATTTGCAAAAAAAAAATTTTATACTTTTCTTTAAAGAAAAAATAATTTGATAGTGAACCAAATAGGATAGCAAAAAAAAAATTTAATCAATTGAGTAAATTTGAGCAGATATATTTTTTTGTTACGATTTTGGAATTTTATCATTATAATTGGATGCAAAAAATCGAGATAATTAATGTTGATGAAAACAACAAAAAAAAAAAAAGATTTTCTAATTGTACACGTCTTTTTGTCTCTTTTTTCTTTGCTCTTAGATATGTACTCAAAGCATAATTTCAATGATTAAGCTAATAAAAATTATCATCCATCGTCATCATCATCCTCATCATCGTCATTAAAGATTGATGATCTACACAGAAACAAAGTATTCATCACATTCTCAGGTCAAAACTTTACAAAGCATCCGTGTCTTTGTTTGTTGGTTTGTTTGTTCAAGCCCATATATATATTTTATTATTACACACTGCACGCAAAGTTTAAAGGCAAATAAAAAAAATGTCAACTTTAAAACGTACTTTAAAACGTGGTGGCCGTGACCGTAATAACATTGGTTCATCAGTGTTGCCTGATGATGATGTACAGGGAATATTTCGTCAACTTGAATCGCCACATTTTTTAAATTATGATGAAAAAAATCAACAACAATCATTATCAACATCACCGAAACTCTCACCGACCAAAGAAACTTCTATTATTCACAATTATAACAATGGCGATTCACCGAGGTTAGTGAACTTTTTATTACATTTTTTTGTGTTTCTATATAAGTTTATCTTTTTCTCAAATATTCTCATTCAATTCTACAGGTGTGATGGTGATACCGATCATTCTCATCATCATCATCATCAGCTTATATTGGATGTAACTCAAGCACCAGTATCATATAGTAAAAATTCAATAGATCATCAACAACGTCTTGATTCCAATAATGATTCATATAATCAACAAGATTCCAGCGGTAATGATAGACCATTTATTCGAGCACATCTATTCCGTAGAAGCTTTTCATTGGATGATATTGTTCAATATCAGAATCGAATATCTTGTGAACATCATGATCATGAAAATATTGATCCAAATATGATGATTGATCATTATGGACAACCATATATCCATCATAATCAAAGTACAATGGATGTTCATCTTCATCATATTCGACATTCACAAAATCCACATGGAAAAATATCTCATCATCAGAATTGGTTAGGCGGTGTATTTGGCTGTTTCAAACCGATCATTGGTATTATAAGCAGTAAAGGATTCAAAGATGGAAAACATAATTGTGAGATTCCATATGAAAATTTGAAAGATATGCAATTTTTGGGCAGTGGTGCACAAGGTTCAGTATATGTGGCCACATTGAATCAAGAATTGGTGGCAGTGAAAAAGATGCGTGATAAATGTGAAACAGAAATCAAACATTTACGAAAATTGAATCATAAAAATATTGTCGCCTTTAAAGGTGTATGTACACAAAGTGCCAATTATTGTATTGTGATGGAATTCTGTCCATATGGACAACTTTATGAATATTTGAAGAAATGTGAATTCATGCCACCAGCTCAAGTGATCGATTGGTCACATCAGATTGCTTCTGGAATGAATTATCTTCATCAACATAAAATAATACATCGTGATCTTAAATCTCCTAATGTTTTAATATCTCATAATAGTGTTTTGAAAATATCGGATTTTGGAACTAGCCGACAATTAAGCGATTGCTCAAAGATCATGTCATTTGCCGGTACGGTTGCTTGGATGGCACCCGAAGTTATTCGTTCTGAATTATGTTCGGAAAAAGTAGATATTTGGAGCTTTGGTGTTGTCATGTGGGAACTTTTAACATTAGAGATTCCTTATCGTGATTTTGAACAATCTTCTATCATCTATGGTGTAGGCAACGCTAATCTTAGTCTTCCATTGCCGGAATCCTTTCCAAAAGGATATAGACTTTTGATGCAAATGAGCTGGAAGAACAAACCACGTAATCGTCCATCATTTCAACAGATTATCGCACATATAGAGATTGCTTCTAGAGAATTTAGCGATTTTAAATTGGAAGAATTTTGTGACAAACAACGACAATGGAAAGAAGAAGTTCGACATGCATTATCACAGACAAGAATTAATTTCAACAATCAACATTCTTTATCGAGTAGTTCACAGGTTGCTGGTTCACCTGTGTCACAATGTTCAGATCATTTAAGATCGAAAAACAAGAAAAAATCATTAAATCATCTTGATCAATTGGATCCAACTGCTCATCTTGATCTGGATGAACCATTACAATCAGCATTACAAAGTGCCATGATACGTAAGACTGCCAGCCTTTATACCGATATGGTAAAAGTGATTGAGTCGTTAGTAGAAAGAGAACGAAAACTATGTGAAAGTGAGAATGGTGGAAGCCAGAATGGTGCAGAATTTTCTGAATCGGCTCGATTACCACGAAAACCATTGACGGAAAAACTTTTGGAAAAAGCACTCAACGATCCAATTTATAAGAGTGCACTAGAACTAAGTCGCGAATCATCAAAGGTGACTAACAATGACTTATGTGATAGTTTGGTACGTTTTCATCTTGATTGTATGATTATCATAATGTTAATAATAATAACTTTTTTGCTTGACAAACATTAGTTTGTCCGAGCTTTAGAAAGTCCAATACGTCAACGTGGTGGATCACAATATGGAAGTGTCAAAGCAAAACTGAGAAGACGTAATCGAAGATTGAATCAATGCTATTCATCATCATCGAAAGATATCAGTTTTAGTATGGCCGATTCTCAGGATACGACAGCACAAGAACCTTCTATCGCATTGGATGATTGTAATGATTTGATTGCTGTTCAGATTGATACAGCAAATAAACCAAATGAACAAGATTTGAGTATCACAAATCAAAGTAACAATCAAGTACCAATGATTCGTGGTGTACCACAACGACGTACATTCGATTCTGGTTATGGTGAAGGACAAAGTTGTGTATCATCACCAATTGCAGAACCAAAGAAAAATGGCTATAATGGTAATGGTGGAAATATTAGTGCTAGTTCAGCAAATACATCAGCTTCACTTTCTGGTCAACGAATGAGAGCTAGATTGCGCCGACAAAAAGCTATCGATCGTGGTTCGTGTCCATCATCCGCACAATCATCAAGTAGATCTCGACCAATGTCATCTAGTTATCATCAACAATTATATACGGCAAATAGCTCAACAGATTATGAAGATAATGATTACGATGATGATCGTAGTTTATATTCAAGACGTTCCAGTTCCGTTGGACGAATACAGGAATTTAGCTGCCATGCATATGGACGATTGAGAAGAAAAACATCAACCACTAGTTCGAGTGATAATAATGATGATGATGATGAAGATATTGATGATGAAGGTAATACAAGTAGCAGTGGTAATGAAGAAAATGATCGAGAAAAAGCACATAATATAGCCATAATTAAACGAAAATTGAAAGCATCATTACCACCACCAGGACGAAGAAGTGCAACAGAACGAAGACCATATAGTGGTGGCCATCACCACCACCACCATCACCATCATCATCATCATGCAACATCAAATAATAAATATTTGACATCAACAGTTAAACAACAACATACAATGACAACATTGAATGATAAAGTGGGTGACTTAAGCCCAAAGATTATTACTTGAAAATAGATTGTATTCTCATTATTTAATCATCATCGATTCATTCATCATCACAATGACGAAAATTCAGAATTGCACTTTGTGTTTCATTGGTTTTTCTTTTCTAGGTACCATTGTTAACATTTCATTTGAATATCGTATATTGTGGAATCCTCAATACTCATCAATTCTTAATTTTGATTTCTGAATTTTTAAGCAATTTTTTTTTACTGCCCTTGATATTTATATAGTAAATGTTTACACAACAATCATTCCATTCTATGCTTCTTATATTCCGCGTTCAAAAAAAAAATGAATTTTTTTATGTACTCATCAAATCACACCACACACACACATGTTTCCTTGTTGATCGAAATTATTTCGAATTCTTATTTAATTTATATTTATTGAAATTATCAAATGTGAAAAATATTTATGAGAATTTTATTTTGAAAACAATCTAAATGCCCGAACATATATATGTTATATTGATGAATAAATTAAAATTCAATCTTTTTTTTTGACAATTTTACCTCGTAAATCGAAATCCTAACATTTTAATGAAAAAAAAATAATGTACGGATAAAGTTTTCATTCAAATTTAAAAAAAACGATTGAAATTGTTCAATTTAACAAAAAAAAAATCTTTGTATTTTTTTTACTTTGAACTTCAATGAATGTGAATATATCATAAAAAATAAAATAATGAAAATCATAATAATAATCAACAAACAAAAAAAAATGTACAATAAATGATCAGGCAAATTGCCTTTCTGTCTGTGTCTTTCTGTCAATCACAATACGGACAGGAGTAGAAAAAAACTTGAAAAAAAACCTTCGAAAAAATAATGGGATAAAATACATGGTATTATAGTGGTAAAAAAAATTAATGATTAAATGTGTGTGTGTGTGTGTGTGGAGGTTGAAAATATTGGGTATGACCATAGTGAATGAAGAGAGGATACAAAATAGTCAAAATCGCCTTGGCCCAATCGCTACAATCATCAATTTTTTCTGATTATTATTATTCGATCTATCGAACATCGATAAATTATAAAGATTGGAGGCTAAAAGATGATAATGATGATGATGTCAATCGAACAACGTATGGCACTTGTCTAATATATTAGGTGTGTTCATTGTGTATAGGAAAAAATCAAGTTGATTGATCGCTCAATGATTTATCCTCTTGATTTCCATTTATTTGTTGTGATGAACTTCTTCCGCTTTTGAAATGTTGTTCGATTTCAATATATTGGCTTATTAAACGAGATATTTCATGAGCCTATTTTTTTTTTTTTTTGGAAAAATGGTCAATATATAATCAGTGAATATTGTTCATTATTATATAATGGATATTTTTCGTGTACCTGATCGGTTTGGATTCGTGTAATTTTTTGTACCATTAGATTACCACATTTCATGTCCAAATATAGTGTTCCATCTTCGGAACGAACTTTTCGTGTGGAAATCACTTCAGAGAATGGATGACGCCAAACTTTTTCCTGAACAACGTGGACAATTTGAGAAAAAAAAACAAAGATTGACAGTTAGAAATTGAAATGAATAATTTCACCGACTAATAATCACTTACATGTGTTGCCATATCAAGAAAATGGACACCATCTTTATTCAGAGCCAATATATGGTCCAAATGAGTGTGAAAATCGTTTTGAATTCGCTGGAAATTTTCATTGAGAGAAACAAAAAAATAAATGTTGTTGTTCAATGAGAAAAAAACAAGATATTTACTTTGACTGCAAAAAAACAAGATCCAAATAATGGCCATTTCTGTAAAATGTCCAAACATTGTGCTTTCGCTTCTATTGGTGACAATGCTGACATATCATTCCAATGATTTTGAACCATTTCTACCCATTGCATTGGTTTTATCGCCCGTAACGCTAGAACAGGTTTAGGTAGTAGATATTTTATCTCATCTTTTGTTGGCATTTGTTCTAATTCAGCAGCTCGATGTAATAATGATGCGATACGAGCAATTTGTTGCATAATATCATCGGATAATTTTTCTCCATGTATCTGTATGAGTAGACCTTCAAGATAATCGGGTGCCACTTGATTGAATACAACTTCAATGTAAAGATGACTATCAAGTCTTAATGGATAATACCATACAGAACGACAAAATATTAGATAAAATAATTGACCATTTTTCAATAGTTCAGTTGTCACATCCAATATATATTCATCTTTATTCAATGGCATTGTGAATGGATCTGAAAGGGAAAAAAATGCCATTATATTATCATTACAGTCAAAAAAAACGAAGAAAACATATTAAATTGTTGAATACAAACCTCCTTCGATGATACAATAAAGTGAAAATTCTTCCATTTCTAATGAATTAGTAACATTGAGCATGAGACAAATTTCTTCAATTATATCATTCACGACTGTCGTACAAGATGTACTTAAAATACGTTCAGTACCACCAGGAAGTCGATACATTTGTCGTTTAGATGTACGGCCAGCTGATATGGCTGCAATCTCTTCAATACTGGGAACATTTTTTCGGCCACCAAATTTAAATGTTTTCTTTAAATTTTTTAATGTTATATTTGCCGTAACATGGAATGCACGACGTTTATCATAAGCGGCCGTTTCGAGGTATTTAAATAGATATGGTCGTAATGTTTCAGAGCAATCAAAATATGCGGTTATGATTGAAAATAATCTCCATCCTCGTTGACAGCTATCACTGTTAATTAGATATATATAAAAAAATAAAGTCCGTAATGTAAATGACTCATCAATTGATTAGCAAAATTTTTTTTTACTACTTACAGTTTTGGACTTTTATTACTTGTTGTCTGCTTCATTAGTTGACAATAAACTTCATCACGAATCTGTGGATAGCGATGACAGTTCTGTAGATTTTTTTTTATTTTTTAACGAAATAGAAATAATATAAATTAGAAAAAGATGTAATTACTAGAACTTTAAAAATAATATAATAACCGGTGACCTATATATACAGAGGTAACACCACAGACAACCAACTTACCAATAGGATTGTATAAACACAATCAACTTCATTCTGATTTTTAAGCATTGGTAAATCTCCCATATAACGCATGATTGCTATAATAGATATGAAACAAAACAAAAAAAAAAATATTTTAAAAAATTAAATGAATAAATGAAATGAATGAATGAATGAATGACAATAATGATCAACATTGCGAAACAAACAAAACAACAGAAAAAAAAATCACACAAATGAATGAACATCAAGGAAAAAAAAAAGGAACTTGTATGATGAATGTAAAAATATACAATACATAAGGGAAACCCTTGTCAAATGTTCTATTTAATGATTAATATTGGCATTATTCATTCATTTTTCTCATTGAGAATTTTTTTTACTGCTTTAATTATACACACAGGCACATCATTAGACATACAATTTTACAATTTTACAACTAGGGTAATAATCACACATTTCATTGCATAAATAGGTTGCTAAACACAATATATTATAGTAATAGTAATATATGAGAAAATAAAAATACAATATTTACCTGAAAAACATTCGACGGAAACTTTGTTTAACTCCGGTGGTAACATTAATAATGAGGATTGAATCGATGTCTGATAATTATAATAATTATATCATGAATGATGAACAAGATGGAAAAAAAACATTGTTGAAAACAAAATTATATATGGTTATTATTGAAAATGGATTCTAGACATATTTACCTTTGAATATTTAACCAGATTGGCAAATTCACTCCACGTCCAATCATTTGTAGAATCGGTATTATTTTTACTTTTAATTTTTGAACTACGTTTTGATTTTAAATTTTCAATCAATTTTATTGAACCACGAATTGAATTGTTATTATCTTTGAGATGACCACGTAAATCATATCTATATATCAAAGTGAAAAAAATAATTGATGATAAAAAAAAATTCGGCAATCATTTTCAAATGATTTACTTACTTATTAAGACTTTCACGAAAATTAAACAATGCAAATTGTAGTAATGAAAAATTTCCATTTGTATCACCATTCAATGACATGGTGCCTGTATTGGGTGTTGAATCACCATTTTTGATTGTTCCACCATTTTCATCGGCAAATTGATCCTATAAATAAAACAATTGTGACATTTTTTTCCATGAATAAATAAAAAAAAAAATTGGTGTGAATGAAAATTTCAGATTGTCACACGAAAGTGAGCTTGATTATATGTAATTGCAAAAAAAAAAAAAAAATACTGACCGCTCTACTTTCGATCCATAAACTATTGAGTTCATTATGATGATGATTATTATTATTATGGCTACCATTCGTTGTTGATGTCGTATTCATTGATGAATGACCATCTTCTTTACTACCATTATAATGATGATGACCATTTAAATGATGGCCATTAACCGTTGTCGAATCCAATGAGGATAATCGATTATTAACATTATTACGTAATGAATCTTCATCCTGGAACAATGAACAAAAATTCAAATGGAAAGAAGATGAATTGAATGAAAATAATTAACAAAAATAGACACACATACCATTTGATGATATTGTTGTTGATGATGATTACGGCTAAGTTGATATGTTTGAATTTGTTGTTGTGTTAATGGTATGACATTTGATAATTGAAATAATCCACTTTCACCAAATTCTAATACACCGAATGCCCAACCTGAAATTGATGACACAAATTAATAAAAAACATGATTTTCGTAACAAAACCGGAAACAAAAAAAAATCTAAAATCAATTATCACACTCACACACACACACACACACCACCAAAATCTAAAATTTATTACAACAAAAAAAATGTTAAATTCAATTCAGGCCAATTACTCCAATCTCCTGGGCTACCAATATACACACACAAACAGTTCATCACTTCATGATGGGATTATTACACCAAACTGAAAATAAAATTGATGATGATGACAAAATGTGCTTCTTATTTGGGAAAAAAAATTAAGAACCAACAACAGCGACAAATTTTTCTCATTATGTTTCAATCAAGGAAACAAACATACATACTACTACCACCACCATTCACCAAAGTATGCACATATTAAACAAAAAAAAAAAAAAAAAATTCAAACCAACAAGCTACAAACGATGGATATTATTATCATCATCAGCAGCGGAAAAAAGGTAAATGATGATGGTGAAATGATTTTTTTTGATTAAAATCTTTGTTGATCACTGAAAGGAAACGATAGATTATTATTATTTTTTTTGAGAAAAAAAACTTGCAAATATGTCATTTGAAAAATGACGACAAAGACGACGACGAAATAAAAAAAAAATCATCAGTAAAAGAAAAAAATAAATTGAAATGAAACAAGAAAATAAACATTCAACAACAACAACAACAACAATATGGAAAAACGTGCACGAGACTTTTTTTTAATTTTCATCATCATCTTCATATGATAGGAAAAAAAATGCAATATGCAACAAGTGTGTGGTCAAACACACAGTTGAAAAAAAAAGATAATTTACTATCTATAACGATGATGATGATAGTGATGATAGGGAATACATACATATTCATTTAAATGACATGATGATAATGATGATGATGATGTCCACAAACCAATAAACACACGAATGTCGGTAGATCGTATTGAATATTAAATGATAGATTGTCCGATACACACACACACACACATACACACAGATTAACATCAAATGAAATTTTTCAATAATGAAAAAATGAATTTTTTTCAAATTACGAATAAAATGACAATTGTGATGATGATGATGCTGATGATGGTGAGACCAATTCAATAATGATGATTATCATTGAAAAAAAAATACGATATGATGATGATGATGAACGACGTGTATCGCTACACTATTCTAATGTTAATGTACAAAAAAAAATAACGTATTCAACAAAAGAAGGGAAACACACAAATTTGTCAACAGAACAGTGCAACCAAAGGAAAAAAAGAGAGAAAGAAAAAAAACGTAAAAGACGAAAGAGACAAACGATGGATCTAATGAAAAATGGTCATAGTATATTATGGCTATAGTTCCATTATGGAATTGAAAAACAATGACCAGAAAAATAAAATAAATTTTTTTTTTTTTGAAGCCAGAAGCTTAGAAGTAAAAAGAAAACAAAAACTCCAATGTAATGTACACAACTACTATAGTGGATATAACGGAGTGACAACTATTAAGTTGCTAAATATTTTAAACCAATCAAACATTTTTTCGACAAATAATAATAATCACCAATTTTCATGGATGGTTGAATAAATAGTGCATTGTTAAGAAACTATGTGTCCAATTTCTATTCTCTTTTCACCATTAATTATTGACTATGACTATATCTCGTTTGGACCAGGATTTTTGGCTTTTTGTATCAGAGACGAATAAAGAAAAAAAATGCAATAACCACCAGTTAACAATTTTTTTTTAGCATTGTACCACCATCAAATTAGTGGACGAAATTCTCGTTGTTTTTTCCATTTGTCAATTGAGACAAACTAATAATTCTATTGTTGACAGAGAAAAAAAAACCACAACCACAACCAAATCGACAAACCAGCTACTACTATATTTCAACTATTCATTTGTGTATGTGTGTTTGCGTGTTGTGACTAATGAAATGAAATGGCCAATTTCATTATGAATGTGTGATGAATCATAAAAATGATGAAATGAGAGAGAAAGAAAGAAAGAAAAAAAAGAATTGGCAATAAAACACAAGAGGATTTTCATGGATTTAATAATGATCATCAATGATATATATTAAAGAAGTGGCTGGATTCAATCCAGATTCTCTTTGTGGTGAACAGAGCAAAAGAAAAACAATTCAATTCGATCAGAGATCATTAAAAAAAATTTGAAACTTTTGTTTTGTGTTTAGAATTAAAATGAAACGAAATTACAGCGATGAAAAAAATGACACATTTTCAAACGAAAAAAGAAATGGGCAAGCATTTTTTTTCGTTCAAGATGACAACATATGCCCATAGCTAATGATGTGTCAATGTGTGTGTGTGTGTATAACCGCGCGCGTAGGTGTGTGTGTGTGTACACGCGTTCACAAACCATTTGAATATTCAAAAAAAAAAATTATAAAAATTTTTTTGTCTTGCTTGTTCCATAATAATCACACATGAATGCATACATTTTTCACACACACACACAACACATATATACAACTTCCTGAATTGAAACCATATTTTCTTTTCGTCAAAATTATAATAACCATTTTTGTCAAAACAAAATGAAAAAAAAAAGATAGGTAATCATTGCACATGTGAGTATATACTAAATGATTATGGTTTGGTTGTTTGTGTGTGTGTGTGAGTTTGAGACCATTTTTTGAATCAGACAAAGAAAAAATGAAAACATACCTTTAGCAAGTTGAAGATGTTTATTACGAACCACACGTATAATCGTATCCTTTTTAAATGAAAGCATAGATGGTTCTTGATTATGGCAATCTTTTATGGCACGTACAAATTCAACATTTGTTTGTTGATATTCATGGATGAATTTTTCCAATAGATTACGAATTTGTATGGCCTGTGTGTGCGTGTGTGTGTGTGTGAAAATTACAAAAGAAAAAAAATAATCAAACAAATTGCATAAAAATGAACATTCACACATACCTTGTTTGAATACAACGTAATCCATTGATCGGTATTGTTTAAAAATATTTGTAAAGTACAATTGTTTGGTATTAGAATTTCTTGAATATCTTCATAGCTAAAAAAAGAGAGAAAAAAAATCAAAATTCAACTAAATTCAAATAAATAATTTAAATACCTGAATTTTTCCACAACTGAAAGATAATCATGTTTGGAATTGGAATTTTTTTCTCTTTTAAATAAATAAACAGCAGCATGTGTGACGCCCAGATAATCAACTTGTGGCAATGTTTTCCCACCATTCACTGAATATAATCGACAAAAATAGCCGGGAAATTCTTTTGTCCTTTCAATGACGATACGTTTGAATTGTGGTTTAGCACTGTATACATTTGGATTATAGCTATGGATGCCTTCGGATTTCAGTAATTTTTGCAATTGTTGACTTTCTTCATCATTCAATCGTATACAATTTGGTAGATAGACATCTTGCACTATTTGCCAGAATATCAGATCCAATAAGATTGGATTTTCAATCGTTTCACTTGGTGTAAACATTTCTTTACGCATCTTTAAACGGAATTTGCATTTCGAGTAGGCATAAAAATTGATTTCATTTTTAAGATATAATTTTGTTTTGATTTGTTTTTCATGATGATCATCACGTGAAAGTGTAGATGAGTCGAAATTATTATTTTTTTCCAAAGATTTCATCGGTGATTGACCAACATCACCATCTGGTGTATCCATTGCAGTGTATGAAAATCCTCCCGGTATTCGATGTTTTTTACCAGATGAAATCAATGAACTTGCTGAACTATGATGATGGCCATTGGCAAGATGATCACCAAAGGATGGTGTATCCGATGATGATGGTGGTGGTGGTGGTGGCATTGATGAATTTCGTTTTGGTGACAGATGATGTTGATGATGGCTATAGGAATGACGATCAGTCGATGTGGATGAATGACGGCCACCTACACCATCTTCACCACTATGAAAATCATCTTTGAAATAACGATCAGGAGTAAACATTGGCCTATCAACAGATGATGATGGATTCGATGATTGTTGTGAACCGGCCGAAAATCGATTAAATGGACCTAATTCTTCTCGTCGTTCACGAAATTCTCGACTACCACTTTTACGAAGCAATTGATGTTGAGATTGATGAGGATTTTGATGATTTTTAATGAATTTTTTCACATTTGATGGTTCATAATTCGAGCTGACTAAACTAACATTATCTGGTGCTTGTTGCAAATGTTGTGACGATGGTGTTGATGGCTGATGTGTATGTGGATCTACTACGGCATGCATACCAACAATATTATCAACAGATTGTTTAATATTCGGTGTGCTAGTAGTCTCCATAAATGATGGCTGTGGACCATTCCGTAATGAACCCATTAATTGTCGTTCAAGTAATGCTTTACGTTGTTCACTCAATTTTTTCACTGAATTCATATTGGCTAGATCATCCATACTTTGACTTTGTATTACACCTTTTTTGCCATCTTTTCGTGAACTTCGTACACTTTGATCAATGGTCAATTGTTCAAGTTTGGCACGCATTTCTACACTGATACGTAGTTTACCAATACTACCAGGCACTTGTTGTTGTTGATTATTATCACTATATTTTCTTGTAACCAATTCTTTATGACCGTAATGTTGTTCTGATGTTACTTTGGTGTTTAGTTTATTTTCATTTAAATTATTACTGCTGTTGTTGTTGTTGTTTTGACTGGAAGATTTACCCGCAATAACATTTTTATTATTATTGACTATTGCTTTGTTTATATTATTCTGTGAGCCATTATTACTATTTGAATGTTCTGGTTCAGCCGTATTCGAACGGATTGATTGAATATCAGTAGATTCACTACCACTTCGTTCATTTTTATTACCGTTACTGCCATTATTACATTGTTTTTCAATTTGTTTTTTACGTTTAAATTCGATAAAATTTGAACCCGATTGTTGATTTTCTTCGGATGGTGGTGGCCATCGCCATTTACCAATACGAACAGTTTTGGCACGTCCAAACACATCCGTGCCGGGTGAAAGTGGTGGAGGAGGTGGTGGCGGCGGTGGTGGTGGTATTGGAAGAATCTTTATACTTGTACCATTTGTTTGTTTATTCATGTCATTGTTAATTGATGATTTGACATTGGCTGATGGTTTTTCCGTTGCAACCGATTTCGCTCGATCATGTCGCATCATATTTGATACATTGGATAAATCTGTTGTAGATTGAGCTTGTATAGGAAATATCGGCGATAATGATGCCAATGGATATGCTAATGAAGACATACTTGTACTACGTGGCATCAATGAATCCTGTCCATTGATAGCCGGTGTCGGTGGTGAACTAACCGTTTGTGCTAGTAAATGTTGTAACTGTTGATTCTGTTGTAATAATTGTTTTTGAATCTCTAGATTCTGTTGTAATGATGATGCCAGAAAGGCTCGTTGCTGCATTTGATACATTTGCTGTTGGATAACCTGTTGTTGTAGTATGTTAGGATCAACAATTTGTCCATTTAATGATGCCAAATTTAATTGTAGTTGACTATTAGACAGGTTGTTTGTACTACCAACAATCGTATTAGCTTGTGAATGATCAAGCGGTGTTAAACTCATTCGTGATGAATTTTGATGTTGCTATAGTAATTTAAATGAAAAAAAATAATTAATTTGTGTTTTTAGTTTTTGAAATCATGACTCACCTCAATTTCATTGGCACCACCTTTAATTGATTGTGCTAATGATCGTGCATCACTCATTGCATCATCTAATTGTGCATCCAATACTGGATTGAAAAGATCATCAAGATATTGATCTAATTCTGAAGTATGTGATGGTATTCCCATATGACGTATATGTGATGCTAATGATGGTGCTTCAGATGTATCGGACATTGCCGATATGCCTTTGATTGAAAGATTATTATAATCAGCTGATTCTTTATAACGATTTGAATTTGATAAAAATTGTTGACTTTTCGAAAGACCCGATTGCTTTTGTGAATACTTTTTATAACGTTTATGATTCTCTTTATTATTATCCGAACAACTTTGTGATTCAGTATCATTCAAACAAGATGATGAATCTGATTCAAATGATGATGATGTTGTGGAAGAATCTGGTCGAATAACATGAGGAGATTTACCACGATGTGCTGGTAAAGGACCTGATCGATTTATTTCTATTCCATCTTTGGTTGTTTGTGATTGTCGTTGAAGATTTTTACGAGAAGATTTACCATTTTCTGAGGATGGTGAGGAATTATTATCTCTTGCAGTAAAATTCATCAATGAATGATGTACAGGTTGATTGTGGAATGAATCAGAATCTTCATTATCACTACCGCCAGTAAGTGAAGCTGTTTTATGTAATTTATCTCGTGAAAAGTATCGTATATTTAGATTCGAATTTGCAGCTAAACCCAATTCTTGCATAGAAATCGAACGATGTTTGAGCAATTTATCTGATTGTTTATCACCTTTTCTTGTGTATAGATTTTTACGATTATTTCGGAGTTCTTTTGATTTTTTCTGATTCGATTGTGAATCCGATGATTTTTGATTAGGATTCGATATGTATCGTTGATTTAGACGACTTTTTTCCGATAATTTTAATTCTTGATCCGATTGTTCTATCGATGGTTCTTCTTCAATCAAATGTGTGAATGCTGCAAATGAACAAGCATTTTTTAGATAACGTTCGTTCAGTTTACTATGGACAGCCAAACCAAAACCAGTACCATCATCATTATCGGTACGAACCAACGTTTCTCCAGACATGGAACGAAGCATTTTTTGATTCAATTGACGTTGAACATTTGATTTCAAGAACATATGCTGCTGATGAGGCACATCTCGTTTATTTGGCAATTTATTTTCGTGATTCTGTTCAAGAATTTCTCGTACATTAAATTTGTTTATTAGATCGGGATTATGAGCTGGATTGATTGTATTTCTAATGCCATTCATTCGGGTTTGACCACTACAGCCAATAAAATAATTTATCGATGCTGGAAAACGTGGACATAATTCCATCTGTGACACCATATCCAAAACATAATCATCACCATTCAATGAATAGATATCACCATAATTATCTTCGAAATCAATACTCCATCCATTGTGATTATTTTGAAATCCAACAGATTTCAATAATTCGGTTGTAACTTGTTCGGCTGTACTCCATGAATCTATTTGGCAAAGTTTTTGATCCCCATTGGCCATATTCAATTCGATAGATGTACCACAATTTTTTGACATTGCTTTCCATTCCAAAAGCGATGGTGGATAAGCTCGACAATTATATTGTTCATGATGATCATTTATAAGCAATAATCGTTGCAAGATTGGACGAATCAAATTCGGTGCATGATCCGATACATATTTCAATAAATATTTATAAAGCAATGCACTTGGTGAAAATGAACTAAGACAATGTATCATCAATGTCCATGCACGATCACATGCATCGACATTATCATTTTGCCATGTTTGATTACATAGTTGGCAAAGAATTTCATCGCGTAGATTTAAATTGGCCAGACCTTTTGTACAATATAATCGGCAAAAAGTTTCTCTTTTTTTCCAGATAATTCTTGATCATATTGAAATCTTAAAATTAAACTAAATAATGAAAGTGATTCATGGAAATCTTCGTCAGAATTTTTCTGTAAAAATGGCGTTTTAATTGGCTCCTGTTTTGCTGACCATTGTTGTGAACGAAAATAAATGTTTGTAAATTTGGCAAATGAATGATGATCAATATCACGTGGAATTTTATTCGGTTGTTTCGATGGTATGACCGCTTTTACTTGTTTAATAATATCACCATATTGATGAACACATTTCCATTGTTCAAGATTATCCAATAAATCGGCTAATTCTGGATCAAAATTTAAATGATTTAATGAACCACTATTATTGGTTGAATCGACAAGACCATTTGATTGTTTTCCAACATTTGATGACAAATTATGTTTAGTAGTAGTAGCTTTATTATTTTCCATTATCATTCGTTCCATTTCATGTTTATGTTTCAATGTACGAAATTGTTCATATTCTTTTTGTTGTTGTCGGGCACGAAACGTTGCTTGCAAACGAACAATACCACGTTTCAGTGTTTGATAATTACGACGTTGACGATATCCGCGATAGGCACGTTGAATGCTGACTGCACCACGTTTCATACTATTATAACGATGTCTAGCTAGATAACCACGAACATATGCTTGAATTTTCGAAACAGCTCTGATCATTATTCTATGTCGTTCTTTTTCCAATATTGTTTCAGTTGATTCTTTCAAAAATATTTTCGAAAATCCTAATCGATAACCTTGGTTCCCGGGTATATACTTTTCCATGATTAATCGTGTAATCTCTTTTGATGGTGTACCACGTGGTAATTGACTAGTATTGATAAAACTATGATAACGTGATACGAATTGTGCGTATTTCATTCGTACTGAATAGCCATCTTTGCGAACATTGATCGTTTCTAATAATGCTGATTGTCGTAGTTGAGCAAAAACAATTTTATCATCAAATTTCATTGGTTCACGATCATTATTTGGTCGAATACAACGTATAAACCAAGGATTTGTTTGTGAAACAATTTCAAATAGATTGATCAATGATTCCTGAAAACGTGCCGAAACAGTTGGTGCACGAGGTTTCATCGTTATAAATCGATTATCGATTCTTTGCGATTGACGGCCATTATCCGTTAATTCACGAGCATAGTAAAAAATCTTGTTCATAATTGGCATCTTGGTCGATTGAAGAACATCAACAATGTCCACTTTCAAAATATTTCGATTCTTTTCAAGAAAACCTTCAATATTATACCAAACTTGTCCTTCAAAATGTTTGATTCCAAATTCTAATGCATTCATTCGTGCACGGCTATAGATTTCATTCAATGCATGATTATAATGACATTTTTCAAGAAATGAATTATCACTAGCTTTTGGGAAATTACTTTCATCTTCCAATAATGGCAATATTCCAATCGGTTTTTTCGATATTAGATTAATAATCAGTTGATTATCTGGATATTCAATATTTTTCCATTCCACTTTTTCCTTCATATATTCAGCATGTTCTAATTTGAATATACATTTAATATAATGATTGAACATCATTTCATTGGCATAATTAATGCACAATTGTTCGAAGCTATTCTCTTTTAGATTCTCAAAACCAAACATATCTAGTACAGCTATTTTAGGTCGCCGTGAAGATAGGTCACTTTTATAGACAATATGATTGATACGATGAACAAGCCATGTGAATAGGCTCATATAAAGTAGTTTCGATATGGCATCACGAATGTCTAATGCTTGATCAATATTTAATGGTGTGAGAATAAGTTCGGTTCGTGTTTCGGTGGCTTTTACGGTCAATATTTTAAATATATCTTCGATGGGAATATGAAGCAAATGTGACACCCATTGAATCTCAGCATCACTACCAATCTCTACGCCTTCTTGCCCGTGACGAAATTGTTTACGATGAAAATAAACGTTGCCTAAATGAAGAATCGATGCTAATATTCGAAAAATTATATCCTGTTCTTCATTGGTAAAACCTAAAACTTGCATAGCACCGATCAAAAAACGAAAATCTTCGGCATCATCTTTGCCATCTATTTCAATACAATTGCCTTGATTGAGGTAAAAATATTTTTCCGCAGCTTGAAGACCATATTTTTCTTTCTCCATATCGCTTAGACCGGCCAATAATTCATAGAAAATATGAAAATTACGTTCATCTTGATTATGTGAAACGATTCGTGATTTCTCATGCAAAAATTCGATTGTACGGGCGCCTCTTATAATGCCATTACTTTATAACGAAAAAAAGAGATATTATCAATGGATTCTGATTGATTGTAATTATTATCTAATTATATAATTGACTTACGTGTTAAAATAGATTTCAATGTATTTACAGTAACGACTTGCATTATTATTACGGCTAGTTTTTGCATTACCAAATGTTTCCAATAATGGTATGGATTCTAAAATCTGTTCAGTTATTATGTTTGATGGTGATTTATTGATGGCAGCAAGATATTGTAACAATAGTTTAGTGTTTTCCGTTTTACCTGAACCGCTTTCACCACTATATTTCAACAATGAATGGAACAAACAAACAAACAAACAGGTTAGAAAAAATGAATTAACCCCTTTTTTTCTAAACAAATGTAACAAACCAGATTAATATGCTTTGGCTTTGATTATCTTTCAACAGCTTTTGATAGGCTAAATCACCAATTTTAAATAAATGCCTGTATAATGGAAAAAAAAGTAGATGACAATAACGTTAATCAATGAATGAAAAAAAAATGGATAATGGCACTTACGGTGGTTGTGATAAACGATGTTGATAATAAAGTTGATTATGATTTTGATATTTTTTCACAATATTTAGACCATAAATTTCAAACATTTTGTATGGATTCAATGATACAAGAATATCTCCAATAAATGTCTGTTGTGTCCAGCAAAATAGAAAAAAAAATTAGTAAAAAAAAAAATCAATGAAAAAAAAAAAAAAAAAAAACTCACATAAATTTTGTTTCGTTCATAACGTTTTTTCAGATTCCAAAACAAAGCCGATTCATGTAAATCACTGGTGGAAAAAAAACAGAAAAAAATTGATCACAATTATTGGATTTTTATTTTTTTTTTTTTTTTTTTTTTGAAAAATTTCACTTCAGCCTATAAATTCAAAGGAGAAAAAAAATGTGTCTAAAAATAGAATCGGAACAAGGTTAATCATATCGAATCTTCCGGCATCTAACCAATTTATTCACTAACGTATACATTTTGAATTCAAATTTCTTTCTTTTCTTGTTGTTAATCGGCAGTTTTTTTTCTATTTTATTTTCTACCGATTACCTATAATCATCAATAACAACAACAGTAACAACAAATTAGATATAGACTTTATTGAATATATATATACAGAGATGGAATTGGTGAATTCGAAATATTAAAGAGAGAGAGAGAGAGAGGGACAACGATAATCACCATTTATTATTGATCTATCTATCGATGTGTGTGTGTGTATGATGGATAAATCAAAATTTGATTCAATAAAAAAAAATAATCTACTTCACAAAATATATATACATTTGTTATTTTGGCTAAATATATAATATAATGGTACGAATGATCATCGAAGATTGTTGTACACACTCACTACTACCTCTTTTCATTTTTTTTCTTCTTCTTCTTGTTATCCATCAATTTTTTTTTCTCTGTTTCCTTTGGTTGATTTGATTATTAGGTTTTTTTTTGTCTAAACTAGCCATGTAATATTTTACTGTATGTATAAAAAAAATCAAAATCATTCAGTCGGGTCAGCTTTGCTGTATGTTTGTTGATTACAAACGAAAAAAAAAAACGGAAAATGAAAAATTTTCCATCATTATTATCCATTGAACGGGTGTGGATAAATTATTCATTTTTTTCTGTTTTCAACATTCTTTCACATTCATTATATTCAAGAGATGATGTTGTTGCTTGTTGTTGTTTTTTTTTGAAGTTTCACATTTAGTAGTATTTCAATTTAAATCCTTCGTATTATGACCATTATACTATATGGGGAATGGATCGGTATTGCATTGAATAACCATAATGGATTATTACAGAGAGAGATTTGTAACTTTTGTTTGTTATTTTGTTTTAAAAAAATCTTCATCTAAGATTCAGAGATTTAAAAATATGATTGAAATGTGAATATGAAATTATCCGTTGGTCGGACCACCAATACGAAGATTGAATTAAAATCAAATATGCAGCAATCGACTTACTTTAAATTAATCATATCATCAATACCATCTTCGCCATTATTTTGATTATTAATATTCGGTAGAAAATCATTTCGTTTTCGTATGTTTTGCGGTTGATTTTGTATATTATATTCTTGAGTCTAGAAAAAAAGAAATCATTGATCATCAATTTTTGAATTGTTTGAAAAACAATTAAATTGAATTTGATCATCATCATCAATATATGAGAATAGAAAAAATTAAAAAAAATATTACCTGATCACTTGGAATCGTACTGTGTACGATAATTATTTGATTTGAATCTGAACATTCTTGCACGATTCCGGGCATCAATGTTTCATTGCTGCCATCGTCAAACCAAACAGGATCACCCTTTTTTACGACGAGAAAAGAATTGAGAAAATTAAAATCAATTGATCAATTGATTATTCAATGAATTTTGTATGTGTTTTGTTTCGATCATCAACATGAGTTATTATAATGTTTAATATAAAAAAAATCCAGACATTTATAATAAAAAAAAATTCACGACATTGAAATCAAAATCGAATCATCAAAACAAAACAGACACAAACACACAGTAGTCGACCTGAACGAATTCATTTGAATCGTGATCATCAACAAGTATAGAAAAAAAAAATTGTAAAAAAAAATTGAACTTAAACAAACACACATGAGCGTATCGAAATGAATCAAAGACAAAAAAAATGATGATGATCATCATCATCATCATCGAAGTACATTTAGTCCATTATTTGTTCATCAACAGCAACAACAAAAAAACATTGTGACGAAGAATCAAAAAATAACCATAGAAAAAACAATATGTAAGTAGTAGACTTTAAATTGAACAAAATTTTCATGCGATCATCATCATCATCATTCACAATGTCGAATGACAATCAATGAATGAAAAACAAAACAAAACAAAACAAAAAAACGTGAAAAATTTTGTCTATGATGATATGATTCAATCATAATCAATTTGTGTGACTAACAATACAAATATTGATTTATTATATACCCGGCCCATATATATATATTTGGCCGGTCGATTATATTCCATAGTTATGGTATGCCAAAAACCTTAAAGATTTTTTTTTCACATTATATCAATATATATGAATAATACAAAAACAGTAGGAGATGGCAGAGAAAAGAGAAATTTGAAAGAAAAAGTGAAAAAAAAATAAAAAGTTTTCCGTTTAGAAATTTGGTTTTTTACCACCACCACCACCACACACACATAACGTCATTGTAAACTGTTACAGATTATGTCATTATTCTTCTTCTTCTTTTTCGGCTTCTCCATATAACAATCGAAACCTGATTATTTCATCATCATCAATCGATGTGTACAACAACAACAACAACAACTGTAGAACAATCATCAATTCAAATGTTGAAAATGAAACGGATTTTTTTGTTTCTGTACAATGATCCACAATTGTGTACCACATAACAGGCAATGACAATAAACAATAATTATTCATTCACAATGAATTCGACAATGATTCACATACACACACACACACACACACAAACACACAGAGCTAATTACAATCAAATCTATGGTATAAAAAAAATGATGATGATGAAAACAAGAGAGAAAGTGGGAAAATATTTCACAATCAAATGAATTTTTTTTCGTCACTTTTTTTCTTAATCTAATTCTCAACAATTATTGTTGTTGTTGTTGTTGTTGTTGTTTTATTTTCATTTTCATGCTGTTTTTTTTCACATTCATTATACTAATTTGTGGACTAAATTTTTTTTTCTCTTGAAAATTTGTTTCACATGTTCATTCACACATTCATTCAATTCAATTACTACCAATTGATCATCATCATCATCATCATCATCAGCATCATGTCGCGATTTTTATTGCTATATAACCAATTGGACAATAATTTATTCAAACAATTGGTCATCATTGTTTTTGGCTAAAATTCAATTCAATCAATCACATTTTACATAAATTAAATAAATGTTCCATTCTATCAATATACTGGCTGGTTCCAGAAACAAAACAAAACAAAAAATAGGATACGCCCAGAGAAAAACAAATTGCATTCCATATGTGTGTGTGTGTGTGTGTGATTGATACACACCCGACACGATTTTTCGATTGATAATTTGGAACTGGAACTGGAACAAACGAATAGATGAACATGAGACACACACAAAAGGCGTTAACGTTTGTTTGTCATCTTAAGTATCATTTTGATGATGATGATGATGATGATGGCAAAAGAAGAAAAAAAAATTTCAAATCTGTTTAAGTAAATATGTTTCATTTTTTTTTAAACAGATGACAATCAGATGATTTCTATCTTTGTCATTTCCATTTATTCTGATGATCTAAATGAAAATGTTTTTTTTTATTTATTTATTATCATTGTTGTTGTGGTTGTGGTTGTTCGAGTGAAAAAGAAAAAAATATTAATAATTTTCTATAAATAACCCTTTCTTGACATTCGACTATTTGTTTCAAAAAAAAAACAACAAAATGAAATGAAATGAAATTCTCTCTTTTTTTTATCGTTCATTTTTCGTCTTCATCTAAATCGATAATAACGAATGACAATAATAATGTATTGTGTGTGTGTGTGTGTGTGTGTGTGTATGTGTTGCATTATTCCATTTTATCGTCAGTTAAAAATCTCACTAACCTCTTTCTATATTCTATTCATCTATATTCCTCCCTATTCATCAACAATATATATGTTATTAAGGGTTGGTGAAAGTTCAAAATAATGATGACAATGATGATGATGATAAAAATAAAAAAAAAAATTGTCAAACATTTGGTTTTGTTTGTGTGTGAACCTTGTGTGCTAAAATGATCCATCTTTGTTGTTGGTTGTCAACATATATGTTGTCTCACTCATCTCAGACATTGCCGTTTTGTTAGTATAATGATGATTGTTGACGAGAAAAAAAAATTGAAAATTTTTCGTTTTCTTCACCATCATCATCATCATCACCAAAAAAAAACCTATTTTTTTTTGCTGTTGTTGTTTTCTGATTATCAAGATGAACATTATTATTATGTATGTCATCATAATCAGAATATTGTTCACATTATCAATCAGAACTTTTTTTTTCAACAGCAACAAAAAAAAACACACACACACACACACACACACACATGACATAATAAATTGAATCAATCAAACAACAACAACAACAACAAAAAAGTATTCTGTGTGTAATTTTGATTGTAATGAATGATAATTCTTTATAAAAATAAAACGTTTACGAGTGCAAAAAAATGATGATGATAAATGAATGGATTAGATTTAGATAGTTTGTATCGAAATTGAAAATGGGATATAAATGTACGTGATTAGCATGAAAAGAAATGTTAAATTTTTAAACTTTTCAAACAATTAACAAGCAAATAAAATAAATTGCAAAAATTAAATGATGATGATGATGATGATAACCATGTTTTTTTTCAATCAATCCAGTTTGATTGATTCAAAATCAAATGGGGAAATAAACAAGCTCATCATTTCTTCTATAGAAACAAGCCAATTAATATCCATCATCATCATCATCATCATCATTTACATTCAAATTGATTATTATTCACTTTTACATTTTTGAAAAAAAGAGGCTTCGAATGAAAGCGCGAGCATAGAAAAAAAAACACGTTTTCGTTATATAACTGTATATATTGCCTTGTTATATGTGAAACATCAATAAATACAATATACTACCACCGATGAATGGATGAATAATAAATTCATTCCATTTTATTTCATAATCATCATCGTTAAACATGGACACGATATATTAATTGATTTAATCTGTTAGATGAAAACAAAACAAAACGAAAATGATGAGAAAAAAAACAAGAAAATTATTTTCAATGCTTGAATGTTTTGAATGCAATTATTTTCTTGTTGTTGTTTGTTGTTGTTGTTGCGTTGTATTCCGACAAACTCGAATTGAACTCGAGTTGATCTATCGTCGTTATTTTCATTGAATGAATGATAAATGTCTAAATGGAAATGAACATTTCTTGTCTTCAATCCAATATGTACGGGATTTATTATCAATTTTCCCGTCCTATGTAATAGGAATAGATGGGAATTTTTTTTCAGTTGTAACTGGAAAGTGCTATAATGTTTCGATATGTTCGTTCACATCGGAATTATCATTATTCCAGGGAAAAAAATTATTTGTTTTTTTTCTGTATTTTGTTTTCGTTTGATAAATTAAAATGTCGATGGATTTGGAAAAAATCATGGACAAAAACGTGCAAACAATATGCACGTAGGTGATGTTTATATGGATATAAAATTATCATGATGATCATCCCAAATGGATATTTTTTTTTGTTCCAATCGCTCATGACAAATCGATCCACGAACTTCCTACATTTTTTTCCCTCTCCCACACACTTAAAATTCAACTAATTAAGTTGAGTAAGCTGATTTATGGTGAGAAAAGATCAATGAAAAAAAATGTCATCGAATTTTACATAAATCAATAATTGCTGTAATGGTATTGATGATTGGCCACAAAATTCAAGCTACCGGAACAAAAATTCTAACAATAATCAATAAAATTCAATCATTCAAACTATTGAATCCATTATTGTATAGGTCATAATTGTCATTTTATCAATTATAGATCATTTAATCATTTGACAATAATAATGATGATTATTATCTTCTTTCTCAATGATTAAATAAATCCAATAATCACCAATCCAAATGTAAAAAAACGACGACTATGAATAATAATAATGAAAAAAATGGAAAGTATGTCGATGTGAAAATTTCAAGAGAACTTGTTGTTGTCAAATAACAAAAAACAACAACAACAACAAACTAATATCTGCAAAAAACAGTCCATATATCTGATCAACCATGGGCGATTTTTGTTGTTGTTGTTGTTGGACCCACACAAATGAACGGAACAGTGTTTAAACAGGAGAGAAAGAAAAAAAACAAACGAAAATTCCCACATTCCACGCTAACAACTACATTTTTTTTCTATAAATATATTATCGCTTGGAATGGCAACAAACAAACAAACAAAACAAAACAAAAATCAAAACAACACTGATGGAAAATGAAAAAAAAAATTTCACACGAACAATTCCATTATTGAAACGAACCGATCAATCGTCGAATATGTATTTGTTCAATCATCATCATCATCATCATCACCTGTGACTTTTACCTGTCGCCAATCGAACAATAACAACAACAACAACAAAAACAATCTATTCACACTTGTTCATCATCAATTCCAAGTTTTTTTTTGGAGAATTTGTTCAATTTTTTTTTTTGTCAAATGATCGAAAAAAAATTGAACATTTGAGATTTCTATTAATAGAAATCTGATGGATAAAATACCAAAGAAAAAAAAATCACCAATCTCTCCCTCACCCATCTCTCTCAAATGTTTCTCATGGAAAAAAAACATTCGAATAAAAAAAAATTTAATTTAAAATTTACATTAAAAAAAATATCAAATCCATGTCTATATGCACACACCAGGGGCCAACTGTACTATTATCATCATCATCATTATAATTTGATATGGTAAATGTTTTGTATGAAAAGATGGTAAACCTAACCAACCTGACCAAAATGTTACCATTTACATATACGAATTATAAATTGTCATCATCATCTCATTCATCATGTATTGTCAATGTCGATATGCTATAATTATGTTTTGGCTCGATCATGATCATCATTGTGATGAAGAGAATAAAACGACCACATCATTTGATGAAAATTTTTACCAATTTGGTTAAAAAAAAGATGCTCATTTTTTTTCTATTTCATTTCTCTCAACAATGACACTCATTGCTCAATGATCATCATAGTCATCATTGCCATAGTAGGTAGGTAGGATTCGTCTTTTTTTCAATCATCATCATTAACGGTGATGATGATGATGATGATGATGATGATAACAATGAAAATCGTGAAAAAAAACGGAAATTTAAAATCTCTTCTGCTTTTTTATTCACATTTTTCAATTTTGATTATCATTTAATTGATTACCGGAATCGATATTTTTTACCGGGAGAGAAATATATATGTCATCATTATTAAAATGAATGATACATGAATCACCAATAACACAGACAAAAAAAAACGAAACAGAACGGTCATTGTACTGGACGGAAACTCGTTGTTGCTGTTGATCATGATTATGTCATAGATTTATTTAGTTGTTTTTTTTTGGCTTCTGACATTCAACAATGAAAATTACTATTATTAACCATTACACATATATATATGCACATACATGCACACAGACACAGAGAAAAGGTTAAATTTTTTTTTTTTTTTAGTTTGAAAGTTGAAGTTTTTTTTATAAATTATTACCATTTTTTGAATGTATTCTGTGTGTGTGTGTGTGTTTGCCGCTACAACATGTGTCATTTACTTCCTAACATTGTCATTATCAATGAAATTTTTTTTTTGGAATTACAAAACTGTATAAAGAGTTAAATCCAATCATTATCATTATTTTGTTAGTCACTTGAATCAGAAATTTTCAAATTAGAAAAAAAATAGTCATGTTCATTTTAGGATGGAAAAAAATAATTAATTCATTTCAAGCAACGAAAACGACGACAACAACAAAAATTTCTTGAATTTGAATTTTTTTTTATTTTGCTTCTTGTGAATTTCCAATGAATCACCTGTAGGTTATACAGACTACATATACAAAAAATAGATAGGATTGATTGACAGATAGACAGGCAATTTGAAATTGTCAAATTTAGGCAAAAAAACAACAACAACAACATGAATATTATAGTCATATAGACATCATGAAAGTGATTCATTAGATAGATCAAAAAAAAAAAAAGAAATATAAAATGACAACAACCTGTTGCGTGGTTTGTGGTTTGTTAACAATACTGGTGATAGATAGATCATATGTATGTGGATATTGAATAACAATGAAAAATATTATCATCTTATCATTATCATCATCATATGGAAAAAAAATTCACTAAATGCCTGAATGAAGATTGTAAAAAAAAAAACATTTGTCAAATGTAAATAATAGTGGTGTAGGTTGTCAATATTTTTTTTCTTCTCAGTGAATGAATGACATTTACAATTTATTTAGAAAAAAAAACCGATTCAATCTATTGTATAGTATATTATATTGTATTTATGAATGACAATAAAATAAATGCATATATATCGATGAATGAACAACAAACAAAGTGTTGAGAAGCAAAAAAAAAAAAAATAAATCCTGTCCATATGATTAATAACAATAACAATAACAATAAATAAATAAATAACCGATAAATATTTTTTTTTCTTTTTGAAATTTGATTGATTCATTGCGAGAAAAAAAACTGAATGAATGAATGAATGGATGGATGGAAAATTCAAATTTATCGGATAATAATAATAATAATTTTTTTCCAAGTTTTACATTCAATCACATTTGCAATATGGCAGCAACATGAAAAAAAAAACAAGAAAAGAGAGAGATCCATTCAAAGATTTTGCTAACTGATTAAATGAATAATGTAAATAAATAAATAAACAGAAAGATGGTAGAAAATTTTCAACGGGTACACACACACACACAGACAGACACAATTTCCGTCATTTTACATCATCATCATCATCATCATCAAGAAAAAAAATTTTCAGGTAAATAATCAAATGATTGGCCTATTTTTTTCATCAAAAATTTTTTTGGTGACTATGTATTTATCAAAAAAAAAAAAAAAAATTATGAATGAATCACTCACTCACTCATTCATTTCATTTTTCATTTTTTTACGATTTTACCTTGCCATTCATTCGATGCATTTCTATAATGAATAAATACATCGAACAATAAATCAAAGATTGACAAGACAACAACAACGACGAAAAAAATTGGGCCAAAAAAAAATTCAAATTTAAAAAAAAAAAATCTAGATTATCAAAAATTCTATTTTTTTTCTCTCGAACCAGAGAAAAATAGATATCAAATGGAAAGAAATGATCAACAATTTTTTTTTCAATTATCATTTGAAAAATGATCGACTGAACACGAAACTAAACGACTAAACAAAACGAAATGGAAAAAAACCACCACCACCAAAAAAAATGAGACAATGAATTGAAATTTTAAAATTAGAAACATCTAAACCAAAAAATAATAATAATTTGAATACACCACCATTTTTTTTTTCTGTAATGGATATTTCAGATATTCAAAAAAAAAAAAAATCCAAATCGACAACAATCAAAAACAATTGATAGAGAAAGAAAGAAAATGTGTTTGTAAAAGTTTTTGAATTCAAAATAAAAATGTTGGAAAATTTTTATATTTACAATTTTAAACGATTCGATCGGTTTTGGTGTCGATGGCCGAGCCATTTGGTCATCGGCATTTGTTGATGATGTTGATGTTTGATCGATTTCGGTGGCTGTGGTTGTCATTGGTGGAGATGTTGCCGTTGTTGTTGTTGTTGTTGTTGCTGTTGTTGTTGATTGTGGCCCAATGGCCGATGTTAATGGCTGTGCCGAAATGACGGGCATTTTGAATGAATTTAGATTAACAACAACAAAAACAACAACGGTAGTAAGCCAAAATTATGGTTATGGCCAAACAAATTATTATCTATTTTATTTATTTAATCAAGAAAAAAAATGGCCACAAACATAGACACAGACACAAAAACACAAGGATGGCAAAAAAAAAAAATATCTAGACTTAATAATGTAGAATTTTAATTGGTTATCAATCATCAAGCGTTTTTTTATCCTAATCATCGATATGAACATGAACTGATGGTGATGATGATGATCGATGATTGATAATTTTTCTGTTTCTCTTATTTTCGATGCCAAGTTTTAATCGAGTAATAAGAATCGGGCCATTAATATATGATGATGGCGGTGGTGGTGAATTTTTGCCACGACCACAAAAAAAACAGACAAAGACACAGTTAAATTTGGCGGTAATTTTTTTTTTTGTTGTTGTTGTTGTTATTCGGTAATCGATTCTTTGATGATTTTGATAATGATGATAAGGATTTGAACTAGAAATTTTCGTTGTTGTTGATGATGATATTTAAAGTGTAGATTGAAAAACAAGAAATTTGCACATGAACAAAAGGAACTTTGGGAATGAAAAAAATTTTTTTTCTTGAATAAATCTTGTTGATGTCGATTGAATTCAATTAGAGAAAGAGAGAAAAAAAATAGGAACAAAATGATTTAAATTGCACTGAAAAACAATGACAAAAAAACATTGATATTATGTGATTGGCGAGTACATTCGATTATTCGAATGGATGCTCATCAATCGACAGATGTTATCAGTGATGAAGAATATTTATTCATGCCATTATCATCTATTCAAAATAATAATAAATGATTTTTTATAAAGAATCATACGTTTCAATTTCCATTTTCAACCATCATCAACCATCACCACACCACCACCACAACAACAACAAAACAACAACAACAATCACCACCACGTTCAATGGCCATATCTCGTCGTATATGCATATTAATATGCTACATGTCGATGATGATGATGATGATGATGATGTTGTCGATATTTGATGGAGATTTCACACAAACATCATGATGATGATCTTTTTTTTGCAGGTAAACTTTTCTGCTTCTTCTTTTTCTTCTTGTGGAGCTACATTAATAATAATCTAAAGGTAAGAAGAGCATCAGCAACAAGAAGAAGAGTAAAATAACACAAAACAAATGTGAATCAGAAGAAAAATCACCACCACCACCACCACCACCATCATCATCATTATCATCATCATCAACAGCAGCAGTGAATTCATTTTTTAAAGTTAAAATGAAAAAAAAACGAATGAACAAACGAACAGATCTCGTTGTAGTTGTTGTTGAGAATGTGATATTCGCTTCTAAAATGAAAAAAAATGTTCTCGCAACTTGTTGTTATTGTCGGGAAAGCATTCATATACACAGACACATAGTGCCATGGCATTCTCATTTGAACTTTTTCTTCTTCTTCTTCTTCTTCTTAATCGAAGTCATCAAGCAACAACAGGTAGTGTTTGTCGAAATATTTGTGTTTCGGCGGCCAAAGGCAAGAAAAAAAAAAAAATACCTGTTCGTTCCTCTCTTCTTCATACAAATCAATGAGCTCTCTTTTAAGTTGAAATCACTTCATTCATCAAGGAATCTTCATCATCATCATCAGTCTATAATGGTGGTGGTCTTGTATTTATACAACAAACACATACCACCACTACTGCCACCATACATAATAACCGACCATGGTTATGATGATGATGATGATGATGAAGACCACGTCGACCGTCGTCGTCGATCATCTTGATAGGCCAAATACCTGGTCCATGATCACCATCGATATATCTTCTTCTTATTGCCTTACAATATTTTCGGACCTGTTGCAATCGTTTTTTTTCCAAAATTACAACTACAACTACAACAGAAGATACTACGATTAACGAATAAACAAGAACTTCTATGTATAATATTTACCGTGAACTAATGGACATTGGGAATGTCGTCTACCTTTTTTTTATAAATTTTTTTTTTTTTTTCGTCGTCGTCGATCTTGTCATGATCAATAGCATCATCATCATCATCATCATCATCATCATCATCATCATCATCATTGGACAACAAATGTTGTTGTTAGTGTCCGTCCTTCTTATGTACTAAAAATTCGACAACTTTGTTATATGTTGCATATGTTAAATAGTTTTTCCTTTTCTTCATTCGTTGAATCACATGAGTATGAGTTTCGGTGGGGAACGAGAAAAAAAAAAGATTTAGTTTAAATCAAAGTTGCAATTGACAAAATTGGATTATACTATGATAACGATAATGATGATAAAAGGAAATGAAAAACGGAAAAAGTGACCGCTAACGGCTAAATCACACATAAATAAATCTATATGAGCGGTCAACGATCAAGTCTATACACACACAGAGAGAGAGACCAAGATTATAGCATTATAAACATTGATGGCAATCATGATTATGATAATGATGATGATGATGATGAGATATTGAAAGACATAGATTTAAACAGATGAAAAAATAAGGTGTGCCATGGTTAATCTTCGGGTTTCTGTTGATTTTTCATTATAAGGAATATGCACGAGTTCGAATTCGAATGGGGGGTGTAAGAAATCTGGTTCGGCTATATCGACATTCGAATGTGTGTGTGTGTGTGTGTAATTATATATGATGATGAATTAGTTGGTACAAATTTTTACTACCTCTAAATCATCATCATCATAAATTGATTAAGAATTTATGCGTGTTTGCCCATGGAACAAAAAACCGGTTCGATATTTGTAATATTAAAAAACAGATGATGAAATTTCGAATCGAATTTAACGATCTGGTTGGTTTTACAAAGTTTTTGTCCGTTTTTTTTCGACAACGGTAAATAGGGATGTCCGTGTGTGTGTGTGTGTATGTGTGGATTTTAGCATTTGAAATATTCAAGTATATGTCGATGATGATGATGATGATGTGTTGTTTTTTTTTTTTTTGTTTAAAGCAAAGGAATTTGCCTCGAAGCTTCACATCCACCAATCGATCGACAAGAGTTATATATAAATGTATGTATAAATCGAACATCATTTTTTTTTCTTTTACTTATTTGATTTTTCTTCTCCACACCGGTTCGAACAATAAATAATCGGCACATATCTCTTGTTCTTGTTATTGTTGCTGATATTTGATTTCTTGACTGGATTTTTTTTTACCGTTTTCCGTCTTCTTTGATTATTATTTGTTGTCGATTGTCGATGATGCTAAGTCATGTGTTTACCTAGCCATTTATATATAATATAAGTATATTATTTACCCAATTTTTTCGGGTATGTACCCGTGTGTGTGTGTGTGTATGTGCCTGAATAAAGTAAAAAAAAACCGGGCAAAAAATAAAATACTTCAGACACAATGATGAATAAATACATATATACAGGTCATATATTGTAGCAAAAAAAAAAAAAAAAAAAATTTACATATGTTCTTGAGAATTATTTTTGTTTTTTAGAATTATTTCCAATATATATGTTTTTTTTCTTGCTTGCTGGCATTCGAAGATGTTTCTTTGTGATTTGTGGTAAAAAAAATACGAAAAAAAAGGTCATTTGTTGTTGTTGTTGATTCACAAATTTACAAATTTTTGCCCATTGTTTTTGTAAATTTAACACACACACACACACACATAATTCAAGGCTGAAAGCATTGTTTTTGAAACAAATCAAATTTATTTTTATTTTTTTAAAAAAATTTTAAAAAAAGAATTTGTTTATTTATAACGAGTGTGTGTGTGTATGAAAATCAATTTGAAATGAAATTTTTCGAATGTTTATTTTTTGTTAATTTTCATAGCCATTAGCGACATCTGATGGTGGTGATAAAAATTTTTTTTAACAAATCGAACCAAATACATATGATGATGATATTGTACCATTTAATGTTTCTGGTAGAAAGCTACGAAATTTTCGTTCCAATTGTTTTATTCGTTCATCAAGCCATATTTCGGTTATTTCATTTTGATCAACATCAATAAATCCATCCAATTCATCCATTAATGATTGTAATTGTGATCGATATTGTTTATTTTTAGCAATTTCATCCAAAAGAAAATCCAATTCAATTTCATTGATTTTTTCATTACCAATCATTGATAGTTTTTCTGATCCATCCAATTTTTGTAATTCTTCATTCAATTTTTCAATATTTTCACGTTTTTCTTGTGCTATTTTTTCATCATCGAAATGTTCCATTTTTGATTTTAATTTCATTAATTTTTCAATCATTTTATCACAATCGTTGGATTGTTTTTCCAATTTTTCAATTTCATCACTATAGGTTGTTTGTCCCAATGTACAATATAGTTTATCCAGTTGTTTCAGAATGTCTTCACTGAAACCAAAGAAAAGTTAAAAAAATATCACTGCCAAAAATGAAAATAACATACCTGACATTTGGATCAAATGGTTTAGATTGATCTAAATCGATACCCAATCTAGCTAGATTCCATGCCAATTTGGTTGCTTCTTTCACCAATGAATGATCAAAACATTTTAGAAATGCTGCTGATAATGAAGTTTTTTCACCAAATTCATCGATTATTTTTTGCTCCATCGTTTTGTTTGTTTGAACAAATCGAGTAAAATTGACAGTTGCAACGGTTTGAATTTTTATCATTCAGACTCAATAAATTGCGATTGCGTACAATAAACACATGTGTGAGATGCTTGGTTTATACAATGCATGTATACGCGCTCGAAATTGTTGTTTTATTTCAATATTGTTTTTCAAATTACGAAATACAATTTGACAAACAAATCAATCATTCAATCGAAATATATAGAAAACATGTCTGAACACGATTCTGGAGTTGATTCTGGCAATGAAGATTCTAATAATGATTTAATTCATAGAACTGATGATGAAATGAATTATGAAGATGATGATGATGATGATGATGACGACGATGACGATGATGAAATTGATAATAATCGAAATGACCAAATAATAAATGAAATCAATCCTCCTATTGTGATCGGATCAAATCATCATCATCATGATGATGATGGTGATGAATCATCTAATCCTACAAATGGTACAATTAGATCGAATATACAACCTATTGATCAACGGATAATGGCTACATCATCATCATCATCATCAGACACTTTATCATATAAACAAGAGTCAATGAACATTAATCAACCATTACCATCAACATCATCTTCATCTATCTCAATACCATATACAAATATGTTTCGAATGCGTTCCATTTCCATAAACGAACATACAATGGATAATGATCCAGATGGTTCATTATCACCACCATCATCATCAACATCATCACAATGTTCATCATATTCATCGATAAATTCGGCCACTACAATGATAACAAATATAAATCTTTGTGGTTTAAATTTCACCGTCAATAAACAGGATCTAAATAAATTATGGAATTTTTACAATGGTCAACAACAACATAATTTTATACCAAAAATGAAATGTGCCAAAACAATACGTTATCGTAATCAACATTATCCTCAATATAATGCCAATCAACATGGTATGATAATTATTTGGTTGAAATATTTTTTTTTCTTTTGAATCAAAAGTAATCTAATTTAATTTTTTTTTTAATTTCATTCGAATCAAAAAGAAGAAAAATCATTACGAAATGCCGCCAATTGTGGTAATGTAGATATGATAAAACAATTGTTACAACAATCACAACATATCAATGTTAATGCAAGTGATGAACGTAAACGAACTGCCTTACATTTTGCATCTGTACGTGGTTATAATGATATTGGTTAGTAATTGATTGAAAATTTTTTTTTTCTAAAAAATTCCTAATATTTTATATTCTGTAATAATGGTAAATTATTCACAGCCTGGCTATTATTGATTAATGGTGCCGATCCAAATACACGTGATGTTGTTGGCAATACTCCATTACATTTGGCTGTTTGTGCATCTAGATTAGATATGGTCATTTTATTATTGAAAAATGGTGCCATTTGTACATCATACGATAATAATGGCCGTACACCAATAAATCTTGCACATTCAAAATTATTATATCTATCAAAATCATTGGAAAAACGTCGAATTATTCTATCGTCGTCTTCAGAGCAATCATCATCGACAGGAGAATCATTGGAAAAATTAAAACTAGAAATAATGAAAATATCTATAATGTTGCAAATATATTTTGAAAAATGTAAATCCGATGCTGAAAAATGTATAAATATGGATATTATAAAGAATCGTGTTGAACAAAGTCAAACATCACAAGAAATTGAAAATGATGTTAATGATCTATTGAAATGTTTACAGGATTGGTCATTGTAATTTGTTTGTTTTTTTTTATTTGCATTTTTTCACCTTTTTTCTATGTCATATTTATCGAAAAAAAAATCATTTTTTTTTAATAAAATCAATTTTCATTTATGTAACACTTTTTTTCGATGTTGTCATATTATTGCTACTACTTTTACTACTACTAGTTTGACTGCTGCTATGGCTACTATATGAAATTGGTTTAGCTTGATCGGCTTGTTCTTCCGGTGCTGAACTTTCCTGTGCCGTTGATTCATATGTCATTTCATCAGCTGGAATTTCATGACCAACTCGACCACCCTCTACACCTGTTGCACTATCATCACCAATTTCTTCATCATTTGTGGTCTTCGTTGTTGTTGTTGTTGTTTGTTGCTGTAGTCGATGCTGCCGTTGTTTTCGATGTTGATGATTTTGATGATGATCCACCACCCATTGATGATGAAGAATTTGAACTTTTAGCACTACTTTTCATTTGTGACGATGATCCTTTATTGGCCGATGATGAATAATTATTACTAGTAGTGGCTGATGATGATTTAGACCATGATGTGGTAGTTGTTGTTGCATTGGATTCACTGGTCGCACCTGACTGGCTATTAGCGCCACTAACTACTGCAGTTGTTGAAACATGATAAGATAATTCTTCTGGCATATTTGGATCATATTTAGGATCTTCGGTTGTTTTCAATACTTTTGATTTAATATTTGAATTCGGTGTATTGAAATATGGATGATTAAGAAAATCTGTTGGTCTTGCTCTACGTTTTGGATCAATGAAAAATGTTTGATTACATGCAGCGCGTACATAACGATTCATTTCATGTTTCACAACGAATTGACGCCATTGTGCCGAAAATTTTGATGTCGAATTCACATTGAATGGATAAGATCGTGTTTGAAGACACACCATAATCACACCTAATGACCACATATCTACTTTGGATGGATCATAAACACCACGAAATGATTCTGGTGGTAGATGACAATTTTTTCTGGACCGTCTTTCGCCATTCTGCAATAATGGACAATCATTATTTGAATCCCAGAATAAAACCGATTTACTCCAGCCAGCAATTTTAACATTTTGATTACTATCAAATAAAATGTGTTGTAATTTAAGAAATCGATGTGCAATACCATATTCTTGCATTTTTGCAATTCCTTTCACAATCTGTACTGTCCATCGGCGTTCATCTTCAGGTAAATAATTATCATGATCAATTAACATAAGATACATTGATTTGTTTGGACAATTTTCCATGAACATGAAGACATGTGAACCGAGCTATATTTAGAGAAATTATTATTATTATTATTAATCAACGATAATAATAATTTTATTACTACACCATCATCATACCCGGAAAATTTCCATAATATCGATGAAATGTTTACTTATCGGTGGTGAACCATTTGTTCCGCCAATAAATCTTGCAATTTTTAAAGAATTTTTCAATATATTCTCTCGATAACGTGGTGTACATTTGTCTAGAATCATTTTTTTGCAAATGATTTCATTTGAATTTTTTTCAGCAGAATAATATTTATAACAATCATCTGCAACGATAAAATTTTTGATCTTAAAACCACCATTAGATTGAATTTCATTTTCATTATCAATTTTGATATATGGTTCAATATGATTAATTTCATCCAATTTTTCACAAAGTTTTGGCCGTCCTGGAATGGATGATGGTTCGATGGAAATATTGATTGCCGATGATGCCATCGATTTGGATGCTTTAGTTCCTGATTTGGATAATTTAGTACCTGATTTGGAAGTTTTATTTGAACCATAACTTGAACTTGCTTTCGATGACAATGAAACATTACTTAATCCCGATACAAAAGAAGTTGATTGATAAGAGCTAACCGAACTTTTGGAATTTGATGAAATTGTTGTTTGACCTGATTTATTTTGACTTGCACCAATTGTACTGGCTGTTATACTGCCACTGCTTTGTTGTTGGGAAGTTTTTGCTGATGATTTTGTTTTGGATTCACCGCTTGTAACCGATTTTTCACTAACACCTGATGAAGAGGTGGATGATACGTTATCAGTTGAGAAATAAGATTTTGACATATTTGATGATGATATTGATTGGCTACTATATGATGATGAATGGCTAACAGATGAATCTTTACTCTTGCTACTCATGCTTTTGCTTTTTGACGAAGACATTTTGCCAAATAGAAAAAAAAAGATTTAAACACCAATTATTTGCGATTATAATAACAACATTTAAATCCATTCGAATGTACCATTGTTTGAATAAAATTCGAAATTGCCGCTTTAATTTCCATATCAACTTTACCAGGTTTGTTGGTTTGAAATAGGCAAACCAAAACTTGTTCGTTTGTGACATGTTGTTACGCATATTCTGAAAATTCTTTACACTTTGACTTTTATTTTTTTCTTTTTTTTTTGATCACATCAAATTTAACGTCTGCTCTGTTTAGCATCGACACATTAAAAGCTGCTTCTGTAATACATAACAGAATGGATACCGATTACGTACCAGAAGATGACGATATTAATAATAATGAAGATGATGATGTGGAATTTCAAGAGCAAGATGAAGATGATGAATCTTGGAGCGACAGTTCTAGTGTAGAGAAAAATAAACGAAAATCTAGTTCGAAAAAGACAAAAACAAACAAGTCAACCTCAATTAAATCATCATCATCAACATCAACAGGCCAAAATCATCGTAAAAATTCGAAAAAAATGTCCACTTCATCGATCAATCCTGAATATATTGCCGATATTAAACAAACATTTGAACGTTTCGATACGGAAAACAAAGGACAATTTGAAATTAAACAACTAAAATTTGCTATGCGTGCATTAGGATTTGAGCCGAAAAAAGAAGAAGTAAAACGTATATCTGAAGAATATAATAAAGATGGTTTCATACTTTACAATGATTTTGAACAATTAATGATCAAAAGAATAACGGAAAAAACTGTCAACGATGAAATAATGAAAGCTTTTCAATTGTTTGATACAAATCAAACCGGAAAAATTACATTCGAAGATTTGAAACGTGTGGCCGAAGAATTGGGTGAAAAAATTACCGACGATGAACTAATGGAAATGATACAGGAAGCTGATCTGGATGGTGATAAAGCTGTTGATTGTCAAGAATTTCTTCGTATAATGAAAAAAACATTTCTTTATTGATCTCTAATTGTTTCTGTTTTTTTTTAAATTTCATTAAATTCGATCAGTATTTCAATAAACAATTGTTTGTGTTTATATGTGTGTTTGAATATGACTAAAGTTTTACAAAATTTATACACCAAACCATCCGGGAACATTGTGACGATTCTCCGAAAATGTACGACGTTTTTCACGTTTTTTAATGAATTCAAATTGTTTTTCAATTTTTTCGATTTCATCCTCTAATTTAACTCGTTCACCACCATATAGATCAGGATATTCGAATTGAACATGTTTTGGCTGAATAACACAATATGGAAAAAATAATTTTCAATTTAAATTTTGTATTTAAAAAATACTATAATCATTACCAGATCAACGATTGCTTCTCTGTAATCATCTTCTTTTATCAGATATGGTTTAGTAGATTTAGCTCTCTTTATTTCACCACAAACAACACGTGTTTTCACTTGCATTACCGGTATTTTGTAGATTTTTTCCAAATAATTTTTAACATCATATCCAGTCATTCTATTTGGGCAATCAAGATTTTTAAAATTAGTTTTTTCTCAATCAAAAAAAAAATTCATCGATAATATTGAATATTGAACATACTGGACAGGTACTTTAAACAAAACTTTATTCGCTGGTAATGGTTGTTCGGGTTTTTTTACAATCATCCAAAAATCTGGTAAAAATATTCGCAACTGAGGATTACCTCGAACATATCGGGGATACCTTTATGTGAATATACAGATATATTTTAATTTAAATTTTTCCAATTCAAAATATTCAATAAACAAACCATCTGGTCGACATCTGGTTGAGAGATAATGATGAAAAATTTAACAAAAAAATTGAAAAAAAATCCAAAAAAAAATCACATGAGAAATTCAAGTCTATTTAAACATTAACAATCATTGAATGTTTGAATAGATGTAACAACGAAAATCGACTTGAAGCGCCTTTTTACAATTGTTAGCTGAAGCTTATGTGGATCATCACACTCTGTCAGGTTATAGGTTAAATAGTAGACGATTATTGACAATTGAACGTACCACAAAAAATTTTTTTTTTATTGTTTGTTCTCTAACTGTCAACCATTGAATACAAAGATTTTTTTTGTCAATCTTTTTTGTTGTATTGTTTTTGCACACCAACACATATCAAATCATTTCGATCAAAATATGGCTGAATCTATTCCATTAAAGGTTGGTATTGTCGTATTTTGACACATAAATTTAATCAAAATTTAAATTTTCGAATTTATAGATTGATGATAAAATCGATGGCTGTGTTATTACGAAAACCAAAGAATTAGATGATGAAACTAAAAAGATTATTTTTGTCGATGATAATCATAATCATCAACAGCAAGATCAAACTAATAATAATGGTGATGATTGTCCATCATCAAAACATGATGAAAATGGCGATTATGAAAACTACTACTACTACTAAAACTGAAGATAATGATGATAATTATGAACCAGTTTATTCACCAAAAATTAGTCTTCCATTGACCGAAACTAAAACATTGGAAGATGATGAAGAAGTTATTGTTAATTTGTGAGTTGATTGTTTTTCAAATGTTTTTTTATCATTCTCATTTTTTCTTCATTCTCTCTCTTTTGGCAAAAAAAAAGACGAGCTCGAATTTATCGTTATATTACTGTGGATGAAGAGCCTGAATTCAAAGAACGTGGTACGGGTACAGTAAAAATTCTTCAACATAAACAAACTGGAATGTATCGGGTATTGATGCGTAGAGAAAAAACATTTAAAATCTGTGCCAATCATTATAGTAAGTTCATGATGATTCTTGAATGAAATCAGATTTTCATTTTTGTACTTTTCCTATTAGTAACTGGATCGATGAAATTGAATAAACATAATAATAGTGAAAAAGTTTTTCTCTATTCTACATTGGCCGATTTTTATGAAAATGAAACCAATCCAGAAACATTTGCCATTCGTTTTTCTAATGCTGAAAGTAAGTTTAAATCAAATTCTTGAATTGTGATTCAATGTGATTTTTCTACAACAACAACAAAAAATAGATGCTGCCATCTTCAAAGAAGCATTTGATGAAGCTGTTGAATTTATGATTGAAAAAGAAACCATAGAAAAAGAAGAAACAACCGAGCTTGCTAACGAAATGGAAAAGATTCAACTTAATCAGGAACAACCATCATCAACAACCAATGAAACAAATGGTGATGACACGAAAAAGGAATGAGCAAAAAATCGATTCAAATATAACTGAACATTCATTCATATTACCATTTCTGTCTTTGTTTTTGATATTGCTCAAAAATAAATTTAATTTTTCTTTTAAAAATTCAATTTGTTTAATTGATGCACATTTATTTTGATCATTTAAACATCCACATTTGTGCATCAACATTTTTACATGGTTGTAGATGAAATTTTGGACAACGTTCTTTCAAATTACAGTATGTTGTACGCCAAAAATAACATTCTTGTGTATTGATTGGTGGATAATTTGGTCGAAAATATTTCAATTCAATTTGATGATCAGTTGGTGCAAAATATAAACGTAATGATTTATATTGTTTATCATCATTGATTTGACATAATTCTTTGAATGTTTTACCTTGAAAATATGCTATAGTAAACATTGGTGTCACTGGATTATAATAATAGATGAATAATGGTGATGATGATGATGATGATGATGTTGGTGATAGTGATGAACGGTTAAAAATCGATTTGATTATGATAATTATCATCATCATAATAGCAATATGCTCGTTTTATAAATTCAATATTGCCAAATAATGAAAAATATTCATTTATCAATTTGATTGGCACATCATATCGGATATTTTCCACACGAATTCCATTATAATTCCAAATATTTGTTGGTAAATCACGTGCTTTGATTAGATGAAAATTCACTTTAATCTTGTAATAAGTTTTATCATTCAAATTGTATGATTTTAATTTTTCATTAAAGAAACATAATTCACGTTCACTTTGTTCATTTATACGTTGAGATTCTTCACGAATAATTTCACAATTTGGACAAATTTTCATGGCAATTTTAAGATCATTTTGAGCCAATTCATGGCGTTTTAATTTTCGTAACACACGACTTCTAATATAATAACATTTAACATTCTGTGGTGATAATCGTACAGCTTGATTAGCATCGAAAAGAGCTAGATAGGAAAAATCCATTTTCAGTAAACATAATGCACGATTAAGATAGAAACTGAAAATGGCATGTTCACCACAATGATCAATAGCTTGTGTATAATATTTAACTGCATCGATATAATCACCATTTAATGCAAAATCATTTGCACGTATAGCTAAACGTGCAGCCTGTCGAAGTAATAATTCTTTATGATCGGTGGACATTTCCTATAATCATGAACGAATTTTTATTGATTAAAATTAATCGTTTTATATCAATTTTGAAAAAATTATTGAATAAATCAAATTTTTAAATTTTTCTTTAATCGCCATCTGGTGAACAATACGATAAGCTTAAAAATTTCAGATGATCGTGCTCGATTGTTTTTGTTTTTGTAAATAAATAAATAAACACGATCCAGATCCATATATATAATGAGATAATCTAGTTCATTAGAAATGTTATCTTTTCTATTATTTTTAACAATTTTATTCATTTCATGGCTCATTTTGAAACATCGAATAATCAAAATTAATATTAATCATAATGTTTTATTGGTCACTGCACATCCAGATGATGAATTAATGTTTTTCGGTCCAACATTATTAAATGAAATTCGTTCAAGAATTGAAAATTATGACGAAAAACGACCAACAAAAATCCATCTACTTTGTCTTTGTACCGGTGATTATTATGGTGATGGTGAAAAACGTAAACAAGAATTAAACGATGCTTTGAATGAATTATTTCGATCAACATTCGATAATTCATCTGTGATTAATTCGAAAAAATCAATGCAAGATTTATTGAATGAATTGTTCATCTGGGAAATTCGTGATGATCCTGAATTGATAGATTCACCTGTGGCCGATTGGCAACCATATTATATAATGAAAATTATTCAAGAATATTGTCAACGAAATGCAATCACAAAAATCATTACATTCGATCAATATGGTGTTAGTGGTCATTCAAATCATTCAGCCATATATGAAGCTGTCAATAAGCTAACTGAATTCAAAAATTTAAACATAGAGATTTGGTTCCTAAAATCTGTATCAATCATACGAAAATATCTAGCCATATTTGATATCGTATTCACTGTATTATCATCATCATTTCAAAATAATTGGAACATTTATTTGATATCATCATTAAAAGATTATCTAATCATTGTACATTCATTACGAAAACATTATAGTCAAATGGTTTGGTTTCGACGGCTACTATATGCATCTACATCACGTTATTTATTCATCAATTCATATCATCAAGTGATATTCAATCAAACAGATAAAAAATTCCAATAATTGATCCATTTTATTCGGTGAAATCAATCAATCAATTAATCAATCAAAAAATTAAAATCGACAACGAAAACAAATAATAATTGAAACAATAATATATATGTTTCATGTTTAGATATATAAAATAAAATATATAAATAATTTTTCTTCTCTTAATACACAATATATATTATCAATAAATTACAACAATAAAGTGATAAACATTATGAAATATTGACAAATATAATAATATTCTTTTTTTCTTTGCCAATGTGATGAAATGTGTGTGTGTGTGTGTGGGCGTAAAACAAACATCAACAACAACAACAACAACAACAACAAAATAGGAATCATATGCAAGTGAATAGCTGAAAAACTAAATAAATAAATTCTTTATCAGTGGAATTTTATATTCTTGTTTATGTAAAAAAAAATAACTAGATCATGATGATGATGATGATGATGATGATGATGACTTGATGACTAGATCAGCATGCTGACGATGGTCATATGTGTATATTATATTAAATTAAAATAAAAAGATTTGTCCGTTTTTTTTTCTCTTTTTTGATTTGAATGAATTCAACCTAAAATAAATTGGTGGTAGGAACAAAATGATAGTCTGTCGATAATAATCTGATGAATGGCGATGATTTACAATGAATAAATCAAGGCAGTGTTTAGAGATCGGTGCTTTTTTTCATTTACGATAATTGGTGATTAACAAACAAAAAGAGGAAGTGTTTTTCTTAAATCAATCGTTTAGTGGTGAGGTATCTGTTATCGGAACACACACACACACACACAAAAAACACAGTGAGAGATTATATAAATTTTTGGAACTAAATAAATTTTCAGCCTGATATTTTGAAGATTTGAAGATTTGAATTTGAATTTTTATTTTTCAACAACATCTGGCCAATCTTTAAACAATGATGCTATAAGCTTGAGTGACAAGTTGACTTGGTTTCTGCAGCAAGACGTAGATAGCACCAGCAAAGAATGCCTATCATTGTGTCAAACACGAACATCCCATAGAAGGCAGGTTCACATTCATGACCACACAAGCCATGTGTATATCAAAAGATATGCAAATGCGAAATTATTCTCGAATTCACCTCAGACATACGACACAAAAGATTTGTCAGCGAAATCGAAGCAATTCATTTCTCATTTTTCAACAGAGTCATCATTTGAATGAATTCAACGAAGAGATGGAATCATACCGAACAGAATTTGGTCCACGTATCAAACTATACAAATCGATGATCAACTAATACACGTGATGACAAATCCCTCAATCCGACCAGTCATACCATCATCTCCATAAGAGAATCTTTCATTTATGCCATGGACACGATCATAAATCAGCCAACAAACACGACAAATTGCAGCTGATCGTTGTTTCCGGATGAATGCAGATATCTGTCGAACATGTAATTGTCAAAATCATGATGAATCGGATTTTCACACATCAACATCGATGATTTTGGAAACAATATGCAATCATCTTCAGCTGAACCTGGTTTATGGATTCTTCCAAATCAATAACGATGATGAATTGCCGGCACATGAGTTCGTCCGTATGGTGAGCTGCAGCAAAAATCAGTATCACGCTGTTCCAGATGATCAGGAATACGTGTTTCTTCTGGAAGGAAAATCGCCGAACTTTAGAACACACACAGGTCCAAGTCATCAATCGTCGCGACAAAGTGAGAGCCCTCCATTACATTGAGCGGGATGATCAAAATTACCAAGGAAGAGAGAGGCAGACCAGCTAAGAAAGTAAATCTTGTAGAAAATGCAAACAAACCACATGTTCAACCAGCCACAATCAAACAAAGAGAGGAAGGCCCAGGAAAGTTCAATCATCGTAATCATCATCATATTTTGATTCATGTCCACATTTCTGTAACATACACAAAATTTTTTTTATAACATGGACATTCATACTTGCGCGGAAGTTTTTATTTTTCTAATCTCTTCCTATTTCGACGAGAATGTCTGAGAGAAACGAGCATGTTTCCAACCGCCAATTCAATTGAACACATTACACACCACTCGAACACACAGTGATTTCGTTTCACAAAATTCAAATTCGATTCAATAAAAATCTTGTATATCGAAATCGAAATCTAATGATTGATTTGTTGTTGTTGCCATTGCTGTTGTTGTTGTTGTTGCTGTTGTTATTGGTGTCATAGTAATCGTTGCTGTGGTTGTTGATAAATTATCACAATAACTAATTAAATCACACAAATTTGCGGTGGTTATTATATTGGACAATTGTTGCTGTTGTTGTTGTTGTTGTTGATTACAACTATTGATTGGTGAGATCTTTCGTTCCAATTCGATGATATCAGAAAGTTTACTTATATTGCTTGTAGATGATAATGATAACGATATGATGATGATGATGATGATGATGATGATAGTTGTCGTATTTTTTTCATTATTATTCGATGACCAAATTCTCCAATAGTACGTAATTCAGATAATTTATTCAATATTCTTGAAAAATAATTTGGTTTCTTTTGTGCATCATTATTATAAATAGTATGATCACGTAATGAATTAATGATTTTATTTTCAATCTGTTCAATTTGATTTGAATCTTTTATACAATCACGTGCTATAATCAAAGACAAAACATATTCATTAGATTATGAATTTTGGGTGCCAAGAGAAAAAAAAAATAAAATAACCACTTACCAGTAATAACGGTCAAAGCACAAAGACAAACAAATGCATTTATATCCAAATTCATTGAACGTAATTGTATGCTTAGCTCTTCAATCATTGGCAACCATTCACCAAGTGTAAACATGAATTGATTTCGATGTAATACGACATTATTACACAATATTAATAGATCATTTTCAGTTCCTATTAATCTATAAATTTTGACGAAATGATTATCATCATCATTGAATGAATGAATGAAATTAATTTACCTGTAAGCCAAACGTAATGCAAATAATTCTAAACAGGAATTTTGAAACAGATTTTTTCTATCCACATCGTTAAGATCATGAAAACCAGGTATTCTTTTTACGAATGACCAAAGACTGTCCAATGATGTGGACAATAGCGATAGAATTTCATGATCAAATAAATCCTGTTGAAATTGATTGCCAATTCGTTCTTCAATGTTATCACTGAACTACAATGATGAAATTGATTTAATTTAATTTTTTTTTCTCAATTTGAATAAAATTACTTACTCTACTGAAATCAAGATTAGCTTTATCGACCGAGGTTTCTTCATGTGCTTTCAGCAATGAAGCAATTGTTGAAATAGGCGGTGATTTTTGTACACCCAGTTGATCATTTTGATGCGGAGATTTTGGTTTCGATGGCAAACGTCCACGTCGTCCTTTTAAGCTATCTGTTCGGACAACCTCTTTGACCATACCGACAGTCAAACATTTTTGAAATCGACAAAATTGACATCGATTACGGCGTCGTTTATCTACCGTACAATCTTTATTACCTAAACAGGTATATTTGGATCCTTTTTGTACGGTACGTTTAAAAAATCCTTTACAACCTAAAAATAATTAATTATGGAAATTATTTTCAAATTTTTAAAGAAATAAAAACAAATTTACCTTCACAGGTGAGAACACCATAATGTTGACAAGCTGCAACATCACCACAAACAGCACATGACTGTAATGTTGTTGATTTAGCTTTATGTCCACGCCCACCACCACTGGTTGTTTTGGTCATTTGTGATTGATGATTTCGATACGTCGATGATGATGATGATGATGATGTTAAACTTGAACCAATATTGGTTGTTATCGGTACTGTTATTGCAATATTTGGCTGATGATATTGAATCGTATTGGCCGGCATCAGATCCAATTTCAACTGGCCAGATGATGATGATGATGATGATGGAATTGTCGATGTTTGTTGTTGTTGGGCTGATGTTTCAGTATTAGTAATAAATGATTGCGGCTGATATGATGAATTTATTGATGATCCCTGACACTGTGAAATTGATGATGCTGATGATGTCGATTGAGAAGCTATAGTCGGATTGTTCAAAACATTCAATGAAAGATTATGCAAATGAAGACTCATAGTTTTGGCCGTTTCAGGTGAAACCATCATTGATGGTGATGTTGTCGATGTTGATGATGGTGATGATAATGTAGGTGTCGATGTAATCATTGGCGAAGAGAATAGAAAATCTGCTGCCGTAAGAATTTTTTCATCTAATTCATCATCGCCAATTTCTTCATCATTATCATCATTATCATCATCATCATCATCATCATCATCTTCTATTTTGCCAACAATCATTGATGATGTTGATTGTTGTAATTGACCGGATGATGTTGTTGTTGATGATGATGCTGGTGAAGTAGTCATTAAGTTCTGTGGATTAAATTGCATTGAAGTTGTCGATATTGAACTAGTGTTGGACATTATTGGTGAATTGAATTGTTGTTCATCTTCAAATGTGTCCATCGATTCTTCTTTAATTTTAATAGGTGAATCTATTGTTGTTGTTGTTGCTGTTGTAGCGACAAATTTTTCCGATGTAGATGGAAATAGTATACCGTTACTATCTAGATCGGTATCACTTTCAGAAATATAATCTTCAAATTTGAAATAATCCGCTACAAATTGATCGAAATTCAATTCAGTCTGTGATTGTTGATTCGATGGATTAATCGGATTTATTGATTCGGATTGTTGTTGTTGTTGTTGTTGGACAAGATTTGTCACCGTTGATGATGATGTTTGTGTGGACAATCCAAATCTTGGTGGTGAATAAATTTCACTAAAACTTGGCAATGATAATCCAATTGGATTGTTGGTCGATGTTGATGCTGAAATTAATGTCGATGCTGATGATGAAGATGATGATGATGATCCCGCTACCTGCTGCTGCTGCTGTTGTTGTTGTTGTTGTTGTTGTTGTTGCGGTGGCAATGATGCCACCGTTATTGAAACGCCACCAATTATACTTGATGGTGTTGATGGTGTCGATGATGATGTTGATGAACTACCGCCACTACCGTAATTACTAACAGAATCAAATGTTGATGTATTTGTATTACTTGTACTACTACAACAACTACCACCAAATAAAAGTGAATGAGAATTTTGTCGAATCAATTGATGTGATGGTTGATGTCGTCGATGAATATTTGTTGCGGTTAATATATTTGATGATGATTGCTGCTGCTGTTGCTGTTGTTGTTGTTGTTGTTGTTGTTGAGGCTGTTGTTGACTAATTATTGTTTGTTGTTGCTGTTGTTGTTGAATTGAATTATTAACCAGATTCTGTTGTTTAATATTCGATACTAATGTTGATGAATCTAAAAAATTCTGATTATTGCTGCTGCTGTTGTTGTTGTTGTTGTTGTTTATTCGGATTAAAGCCCGACATTGAAATCTGACTATTAAATAATCGTTGTACCGATGACGGTGTCAATGATGAATGGAATGAATCGATCTCTAAATTTTCACCAAACAAATTTTGATTTTGTAATGGAAATTGATCGAAAAATTCCAAATCACCAACATTCAGATTACAACCGTTGCTTTCGATCAACCCGATTGGGCTTTCCGTCGATTGATCACTTAATAGATCCAGTTCTAAAAGTTTTAAATCTTCGTTATCGTAGTCGTCGCAGTCGATTATATTGCTACGTAATTGTTGTTGATTTTTATTTTTATCTCCACTATAGAAATTGTATTCGGCAAAATTTGTTTGCAAATAATTTTGACTAGCACAATTGAATGATGAATTTTTCGATAATAATTTAGTCAAATCTTGTTGTTGTTGTTGTTGTTGTTGTTGATTATTATTGTCAGTTTTGTTGATTGTTGAATTTTCTTTCGAAAGAAATTGTTCAATATCGTCTAATAATAAATTCTTTGATGTGTCTAATAAATCAAATGAAAATTCTGTATCAAACAATGTATGTGAATTGGATCGACTAATTTGTTGATGATGATGATTATTAAGATGAGGTGCTGGTGTCGATGATGATGATGATGTAGTCGATGTTGATTGTGTTGATGATGATGAAGATGAAGATGACGATGATGATGATGATGATGATGATGATGATGACGATGATGACGATGATGATGATGATGATGGATTGGATGATGTTAACCCAAAAGATAAATTCTATTCATCAAATTGTTAAATACAAAAATAAAAACCAAAGAAAAAAAATTGATTAAATGGGCAAGGTTCAAAGTAAATTGTGAAATGGGCAATGAAATTTTCATAGGAAGAAAAAAAAATGAAACAATAATAGAATATATAATTGAACGCGCTCATACCTCAACTAAAATCATGGTCAATTGAAAAATGATTTAAACAAATGGAATTTTTGTTTGGTTTTTTCTCTAAAGATGAATATGATATTCGCGATGCATGGCAATTTATATTCATTTAGTTTCATTTTTTTTTTTTTTTTTTTTTTGGTCGGATCACACATAGTTACAAGTGCGTAAAACACACACACACACACATAAAGAACACAGTTGAATACAGTTGAATTTAGTTTTTTTGGATTAACGTAAATAAAACAAGAAGATGTGAAGAACAAGGTGTTAGAAGAAAGATAGACATAGAGAGAGAGAGAGAGAGAAAGAAGAGAATTGGAAGAAAAAGAATGAAAAAAAAATAGAAAGAAAGATGAAAATTGGATTAAAATAATTTGGAAAAAAAAATTAAAAAAAAAAAAAAATGTTGATCAGAATTGTTAGAATCAAATCTGAAGAAATGGATTAAAAGAAAAATATACAAAGACCAGAAAATACAAATGGATCCACCAAAAAAAAAAAAAAAAAAAAATTGCAACCATTATTTCCTATGAGCAAATTTCCTTTTCCGATTTGTTTTTTATTTATCGATCAAATGATCGATTTTCCCACACATGCATATGTGTGTGTGTGTGTTTGTAAGTGCAATTTGATTCATTATTTCATGATCATGGCTAAAAAGAACATGTGTGTGTGTGTGTATGTGTGTGTATGTGTCTTGTGAATAAAATTCTTTATATATAGAATGAATAATATACTGATGGTTGTAGTGGAAAACCTATTTTTTTATAATCATCATCATCATCATGGATCATCTTCATCATAGAGAATTTAGCTTATATATGATTCATATGATTCCGGTGACGTCAATTCGGCAGCCAGCCAGCCAGCCATCCAGCTAACCATTCTAAACTATCCCAAGAACATGAAAGGAAATGAGAATCTACCATACAATTTTGATTCTCGTTTTCACATGTGTATCTGTATAGCGAATATTTTGTTTTTTTTCCAATCTTCTCATTTATTATTCTCTATTTTTCTTTTTTTTTATTTCATTCACAACAATTACGTCATCAATATTATCATTATATGAATGACGTCAGAATTCTACTACATTTTTGGAATGTTTCATATATAGATATGGATACAAATTCAAAGTAACAATGCACAGAATCATTGAATTTGTTGAGAAAATACTTTTTGTTGTTGGAGTTTGCTCAGAATTTTTTCTTTCTAAATGTATTTAATACTACAACATCATCATCATCATCACCATCATCATGATCAGAATGACCATGAAATAATACAGAATGGAACGAACGAATGTATGGGAAAGAGAAAAAAAATGTTGGTTAAATGTAATCGTCATCATTGACGTCATGAACATTATTTTTGGACAATAATGATAAGAATATTCTGTTGTTGTTCGATTCTTTTCATATCCATCTATAGTAATCGTCATCATCATCATCATCATCATCAGCAACTACACATGATTCTGATGATGATGATGATTGTGCATTTTTTTGGCTATCCCTAGATTTCTTGCGTATCATGACAATTGACGTCATTCGTCCGACCATCGACCGAACATTACAAAATACAAATACTATGAATTCTTGGAAGAATGAAAGAAAAAAAATGATTCTTGGTGTGTAGCGTGTGTAGTGTGTGTGTAAATGTATTTGACTTATTTTTTTGTTGTTGTTGTTTTTGTTATTGTAGTTTTTTTTTGTTTGGACGATTTCATTCATCTATCTGTATGTCTGTATGTAGAATTTATTGTATTAATCAATGAAGGAAAACACCTTAAAAACAAGAAAAAAACAAATTCTACACCACAGAAACAACAACAAAATTCATTTGAATTTTTTTTTTGGAACCCTGAAATTTTTTTTTTTTTTTTTTGGGTGGATCATTAACATCATCAGCTATTTCTGGTTAATAATAATAATAATAATAATAATAATGGCCGATTACAAGGAATTTTTATTGATTGACAAAAGTTTCAAGCTCATGATCAGATTGAAAAAATTGATTTGAAAAAAAAATTGGAAAAAAAAATTCTGGGAAACGGTGATTGAATATAAAAACACAGACACACATAGACAAGCAATAGGAGAAAGAAAATGAGAAAAAACGTACCGATAATTCTCGAATCCTCGAATGATAAATGATGATGATTCGATCCAGGATTCATAAATCACAGTATTCTTATTGCTTCTATTCAATTATTGTAATTGATTGATTGATTTATTGATTCAACAATGACTGTGAATGATTTTTCTTTACTAGTGAATTCAATTACATTATTTATTCATCATTGGATTATGATCAATAATCACCAAATAATAATCGTTAATCGGATAATATGGAGATTATTCTGATTCAGAATTGAATATGAAAATTTTTTCACATGAATAATGTAAGTTCAATAGCCCAAAACTTAAAACATCATTTAACACACACACAAACACACCAAAGACACAATGACACAATTTTTTTTTTTGATGAATATATTCACATTAAAAATATTGGCAATAGAATATTTAAAAATTTTTCTTTGAAATAATTTTTTTTTTCAAGATTCTTGCTTCTATTTGATGCTTTTGCTGTCTTCGTCGTCAATGTTCGGAAAAGAATGCGATCATTTCGTTTTTATATGCCGGCTGCTTGTTGATGACGTTGTGTTGATGATGATGATGATGATGATCAGTCAGCCGCATTCATTCAACATAATAATAATTCAACCATAATACACACGCATACAAGCACACGATATACAAAAATATATTGCTCTAGCGTTCAATCTATTGGTTTTTTTTTCATTTCACTACTATATATACTATGATGATGACGATTTCGACGACAACGACGACGTCGCCGTAGTAACATGGATTCTTTGTCTCCTTCAATGGTCGTATTGAGAATTTTAACCAAGATTTTTCAAAAAAAAAAAAATATCTGTGTATGTGTGTGTGTGTGTGTGGATGTTACGTCATGATGATGATGATGATATAGAAATACAAAATCGATTTACAATTCATGTGTATATGTACAATATGCATATATATATATTGAGTACAGTATTCGTCATCAATTATTTAGTATGATTATTCCGAATTGAAAGAATTTACCCAATTTTTTTTTGTATACATGTACAGAGATACCTTACATAACTGTAAATTTTTTTTTATTTTATTACAGAATAGATTCGGTGCAAGCTAAACATATCTATACCCAAAAAAACAACAACAACTACAACCACATATATTTGACATTGACAATGACTGAATTTTTTATTTCATTTTCTCTCTCTCTCTTTCTCTTTCACTCTACTGGAATAAATCCGATAAATTCTACGTAATAATAAAACGTGTGTGTTTGTGATGTAACACAAATCGTACATTGATGATGATTACGAAAAAAAAGGGAAATTTTTTTTCTTTGCTGCTGCTGTTTGTTTTTCCTATTTTATTTCTATTCTTGCTGATTCATTCATTCAGTTATTTTTATTTCACATATTTTTATTTTTAATACAAGCCGGATTTGATTGCTAAAATATAATAAGTAGTGTATAGAAGAACATGATGATTGGATATATAAACTTCATATATATTATATATATATATATATATATATGAAGTTGTGTAATGTAACGGTATGTATGATTTTTTTTTCTCTGAATAATAATAAAATTATTATTATTGCATAGTTTCATAACAAATACGATGATTTATACACACGATGCTTCCTTTGATTGTTGCTGTTTGTTTTTTTTTGGTCTTGGTGGTGTTTCACAAGATGATGATTTTTGATTTTTAAATTTAAATTGAATCATCATCATCATACATAATACATTGTAATCGTCGTCGTAGTCGTCGTAGTCGTTGTCGTCGTCATAACCTGATTCGTCATCAATTGATTCTGTATGTTACAGTCGTGTAAACAACGTCATCATTTGAAATTTTTTTTTAAAAAAAAAACCAATCAATACTCCGGTAGTAGTTGGCCAATATTGTTCATCTGTGTGTCTGTTTGTCTGTTTTTTTTTTTTTGTTTCATATACACACACACACCACTACTTTAAGCACAAAATCAAGATCATTGCAATTTTTATTCGAATAAATTGAATGAATGAATGAATGACTATGCATATCTCGGATGTGCATTAACCAATGAATTATTATTATTATCATCAAATTGCATTGACTAATCCATTCATTAACACGTTTCAAACGGATATGGAAAGAAACGTAAAAAAAAATTTGCAACCAAAAAAAAAAAAAAAACAGGAAAATCCTTTATTCGATGATTTATTCGTCATAATCATCATCATGAATTGAAATGAACGGAAACGGATCAGACTAGAACAAACTCTTATTTAATTTTCTCAAATTTTTTTCTGTTTTGCAATGCAATCAGAAAAAAAAAATACAATGTAATATATGATATGTAGGAAATGAAATTTGAAATTTGCAAAAAAAAACAAAAATCCATTTACATCAAGGTAGAACAAACATTTTTTTTTCTAATTAATTCATTCAATTCAATCATCAAATGACATCATCCATTACATCTTTTGATGTCATTTGTATGGGATTCTGTTTTCATTTTTTTGGTTCATATCTATAATCTGGGATCAAATTTCCACCAAAAAAAAAAATCTTTATCCATACGTCATTTTTATTTTGCTGAAAGTTTACAGGGCGTTCATTTGTTTTGGTTTGGTCGGATCTTGAGATTTTTTTTTTTTAAATTTAATGGGAAATTTTTTTTTTTCGTTGATTGTTTTTGATTGTTTTTTTCTTGGTGTTAAATTCAATCATGATGATCATATATTTCTTGGAAGACGAAGCGATGATGATTCTTGTTGTTTGTTAGTTGGTTGATTTGGCGCAATAGCCAAAATCAAATAGAAGAATTTTTTTGCTATATAATTCCAGATTCAAAGTAAAAAAGAATACATAAAATGACTCAATGATGATTTGGGCATCTTCCCCCACACACACACACATATATATACACAAACATAATTCTATGATCATATCCGATAGGAACTGATTCCATTCATTCATTCATTCTTGATTCTTGTCCAATTGACGTCACACACATACCAAAAAAAAAAAATTGTGAAAAGAAAAAAGTACGTTTTTTTCACATACATACACACTCACTAACATGCATAGACAATGATGATGTAACCCAGAATCATTATCATCATCATCATCATCGAAAACGTAATAATAGTAAAAATAAAATAACCATCGTCATCATTGTTTTCCGCTATGATGATGATGATGATGATGATGATGACGAATAGAAAACAAAAAACAATAGATTCTTTATTTAGTACAGAATTTTATTTGGTCTGGTAATTTTGCCTATGAATTTCGATTTTTTTTTAATATATAGAATTTATTCGTATGTCAGTCAGTGATATCATCAAAAAAAAAGTACAGAATTCTCTCATTTCTGATGTTGAATAATTTTCAGCCATGTCATTATCATATGAACGCCCTCGATATATGCAAGAATTTTGAGAAAAAAAAAATTGCATGAGAAAAAAATTAAAATTATCCAGAAAAAAATGTGGATAAAGAATTATGAGGAAAAAAAATAAATCACTAGCCTAGATTTTTTTTTTTGATTGTTGCGACCACAGAATGATGATTCTGTTGAAATAATTCATGATCGAGAGAAAAAAAATGGATCATAATTTAACCATCATCATCAGTGAGTGAGATAGATAAATAAAACACACACACACAATGGTATTTGTCCCAAAAAAAAATAAATGGTGCAATTCTGTGTGTGTGTGTTTGTTTATTAGTCAGTTAGTTGGTCAGATTGATTATTCCATTACTGTGATTATAATTACTGAATAATTGATAAAATTGACTCTATGTCAGTTTTTTTTATATTTTTGTTGTTGTTGTTGTTGTTCCAAAAAATTATTTTGCTGCTGCTGCTGCTGCTAGTGATGGTTGTGTTGCTATTGGTGATTCATTTTGCTGACCGCAAAAAAATGAGATTTTTTTTTTTTAGTCATAAAAAAACATGACCTGATTCATTTGTTTGCACTCAAAATATTACTTGGCAATATGAATGTTTAGTGATGATGAACAACTTGTCCACCAATCACCATAATAATTGGTTTTGAATTTTTATTTTTCATCATCATCAATTGATCCAAAAAGTAAACAATAAATAAAAGTGATATGATTGCGATAAATTTGTTTCGAAAATTTTCAACCATCATTCATCATCATCATCATCATTGTTATTTGAATATTGTATTGATCATTATTTTTACAAATTGTTTGTCCAATCTGATATTGTTTGTATGTTCACATAATCCTAATGATAATGGTAAAATTGATTGCCTAGTCAACATGACCATTGGTTATTCGGATCCTAAAAATGTCTATCAATGTCGTCATCCAATGAATTGTTGTTTTGAATATACAAAACCATCTTGTTGTGGCCGTAAACCATCCATACAGATCATGTAAGTGTTATTTTATTGATTTTTTTCCCATTATCATAATCGTAATAATCGTCATAACCGTTATCATATATTTAGTAAAGAACAATTAACATTATGGGGTGGATTATTTGCAATACTATTCTGTTTAGCATCAATTGTTTATTGTCGAAAAAAAGATGTCAATTTACCGGCATGTACTGTATTTAAAAATTTTCTAGTTCGTTTATGTTGTGGTAACAATAATAGCGGCAATAATGATGATGATGATGATGATAATGTAGGAAATCAATCAACAAAAACGATAATGCGAAAACAACGGAATTCAACTTTAAACTATGAAGACGATGATGATGATGATAATAATAATTACGGACAAGAGATGAAATCAAATAATAATAATGATAATTATGGCCAATCAAAGCAGAAAAAGCATCATCATTTCAATAATAAAAATGATTCTGTTGTCATTAAAACACAACCATCAATGATGAATAATAATAATAATCATCATGAACCGCATCAATCGCAACAAACAAACAATGTTATTAAAAATCAACAGCAAACACCTTCATCATTATTATGGTATCATCATCGTAATCATACAAAAATCAATCCATTACCTCAACATTATCAGACGTTCACACAACCATCATCATCATCATCATCATCAATGATACAAATGAGCCAAGTATGATGACCTATTATTATTGCAATCAAAATATATAGAACAAACAAACGATTAATGATATGGATTTCAATGTGTTAATCAAATTGACTTGAAAGAACAAAAATAAAAAAAAATTTCAATCAAATGTAAAATTTAGATTATCGTTTGTTGTTTGTTGGAAACAAAAATGAACAAAAATTAAATCGACCATAATCGATTGTCGATTGTTCGTTGTCTGCAATCCAACCCAATTTGTCTATTTGAACGTCATCATCATCATCATGCTGTTTATATTTGATCCTTTGGAAATAATTTTTTTTGATTTTGATTTTGCTTGTAAATCCGAATTAATCATTCGAATTTTTTTTTATCTATTTTGTTTGATTTTTGTTTTTTATTTTGATGATAATATATATGGATCAAATAAATAATCATTGATTGATTTTGATTTTGTTTTTTTTTTCGTTGTCGTTAATTAAATTTGAATGAATTACAATTGAATTGACATTTTTGGATTTGTCGATGATAGTGTACCGAATTGTGGTTGTTGTTGTTGTTGTTGTTGCTGATGTTGTAATTGTTGCGATAAAAATGACGATTTTGATGGTTGAGGTGATCTGTTTGTTGTTGTCATCATCGATTTACTATTATTATTATTATTATTGTAGCCATAGCGGCAGACGACAATGATGATGATGATTCGATTCCGGATAATTTATTTTTAGTAGTAACCATATTATCATCATGATCATCATCATTTTGATTATTATTTCTAACATTTATAATATCATTGTTTTCGTCTTTAAGTTTTTGTGGATAAAACCAAAAATACAATATGAATAACGTCAATATTATCATAATGATTGTAATGAATACATTCATGATCATTATTGCTAAATTTGTTTTCATTTTCTTTCCCCATCCATATTCGGCAATTTTTTCCTATTTTTATTAAAAAACCAGTAATTAATTAATTGAATGATAACAAAAAAATCAGGTTTTTTTTTTTGACTTACCCAAATAGACATATGATCATCATGACCCATGTGGTTGTTGTTGTAATGTGGACACCATTCTTCATTCATTGAATCAATTATATCAAATGATGTAATGGTAAAATTTTGATCCAATAATTGTAGAATTTTTTCAAATTTTGGCCGTTTATTCGTTAAATCAATTCGATATAAAATATGACCCATTGATAAGAAATAGACATATTTTCCATCATCAACAACTTTTATTTTATTCGTAATGAATCTTGCATCTTCCAATACTCGATTCATTTGTCCATTACTTGATGATAATTTATAAAGACTATTACGATCATTCCAATAAAGGCAATCACCATCAATATCCATTGGACGTGAATCCAATTTTTGTGTTAATTGTATGAAACCAAATTTATGAACCAATTCAACATGTTCACCATCATCGATATTACATTTGATGATTTGATTTTCATCACCCCATAATAATTTCTGATTAATATTATCGACAAATAAAAATTGCACCGATTCATGTTTATAATCATCATGATTGTGATTATTATTATTATTATTCATATGTGGCACTATTTTGCCACCGAAACGTATCAGTGGACAGAGATAAATATAGCCAATATCGCCTTGTTCATTGAGAAAAAATAATCGTTTCGATTTGAAATCCAAAGACAAATCCGTCAAATCTGGTGCATATTTATTATCATAAATGATTTTAAATTCATCATAAATACCCAATGGATTATAGAATTTGGATTTAATCGCCGTTATATAGATACGTCGTTCATCGCATACAAATATAAATGGACCATATTGTACGAATGCAATGAATGGTTTTATCGATGAATGTTGTAATAAAAGACTTATTCGTCGTTGTTGATCATCGATAATAATTTTGATTAAATTATCATCAACACTTGGAAATGGTGGTAATTTTTTTATTCGTTTATCATCATCATTGTTTTGAAATAATTCTATATTCATTTTAAACATTGGATTATAAATCCGATGATGATGATGATCATCATCATCATCATTATCGATGTCAATATTTTGGCCATTATGATATGAATAGCTAAAATAATTATTGACAGAATTTGAAATATCAATAATAATGGCCAACAATAAGAATGTGATGATTGTAGATTTTATTGTTTTGGCCATAACACTATTTGTATTTGTTGTAGTAGTAGTAGTTATAGAATCATAACCAAAGTTTGATGATGAAACCGAAAACTAAAAAACAAACTACAACCACAACAACCGCGGTGATTGATGGTTTTGTATTTGAAAAAAAAAATTTTTTATTTCATTTTTTTTCACATTTTTCTCATCATTCATCAATCCATCGGTTTGGGTTTACCATGAATTGATCACGCAAACCTGTGTGTGTGTGTGTGTGTGTGTGTGTGTGGCTGTGTTTAATGTTCAAAATGTTGATGACTAATTTTTTTTCAATTTTTTCCATTCACATTCATCAAATTAAATATCCGTTAATCACAGAAATAAAAAAAAACAGTTTTTTTTTCTCCACATCCAAAATGACAGATCGACAGATAGTTTGGTTGTTTTGACAAAACATGAAAACAAAACAACAAAAATCAAAATCAATAGATATTGTCGTTTGTTTGTGTTTGTGCGCGCAACTAATTATAATTCAAAAAAAAAAAAAAAATGATGATGATGATGATAATCATTATCAAAACACACATACCACTACATCAAAGGTAGCCAGGTTTTTCCCACAGGTGTTTTTTGTTTCATCCCCCGCATTGAAAAGTAAAAGTAATTAACACTATGTGTGTGTGTGTGTGTGTGTGTGTGTGTATGATGACGATTAATAAATTAATATTTTTTGCCGATGCTCTAAATTTAATCATTATCAACCTTTGTAATCGATAATCGATGATGATGATGATGATGATGATGATTTGAACAAATTTCACATAGAGAGAAAAAAAATCTAGGTTAATGATGATGTAATTGCAATAATGGATGAAGCAATCATTGCGCAATTGGACAACAAATGTTTATTCCGATCATAAACAAAAAAAAAATTCTAAATAAAGAAAAACGAAAATAGATAAAAAATATGACTTGCGTTATATTTTTTTTCCATTTCACCATCATCATTGATTCATTTTTTCTTTCTTCATCACCTTTTTCATCCATTACGTAGAATGTTTTTCTGAATTTACGTCCAATGATTAGGTTTGGCTTTCAATGATCAAACAAACAAACATCAACATCCAGAGTGAGAAAAAAAAATGAAAAACAAAAACAACATAGAATCTATGCGAACGAATAAAAACAACGGTTCAAGGCGTTTATGAGAGCGGAAAAAAAATATTCTCGGATATCTAAAAAAAGCACAGAAAAAAATCATTCATTATTAAATCATTTTTTTTTCTCTGTTTGCTTTCTTATTTGTTTTATTTGGTAATCTCCATATATTTTTTTTTGCTGGTGGTTTGAGATTGCTGCAATGTTTGATTGACTGACGTACTCGCTTTGTTTATTTTTCTTATTGTCTCTATCGTATCCATTATTCAATCTTTTGGTCTCTAGGTGTTCAATTACGTCTCTTATTTGTTGTAGTTGTCGTATACGAGAGATTTAAATTTAAAGAAACGTGTGCGTACACAAGCAATCAGTCTAGAAAAAAAATGAATGAATGAATGAATGGCGGGAAATAAAATAAAATGAGGAAATGGTTCTTTTGATTATGGAATTTTTTTTTTTTCTGTTTTCTAATAAAATTCATATATCAATACCAGATCCAATACTAATCTGCGGGAGTGATTAAAAAAATAGACCATAAGCAACACTCAATGTGATTCAATGGTAGCAACAAAATAAATGAACAAACAGAAAACAGATAAACAAAACCAAAACAACCAAGTAACCGACCAGGATACAAATTGTTTCTGTGTGTGTGTGTGCGTATGGTTTCAATTTGGGATCGTAGGCAATTAGAATCGTTTTTTTTTGTTTTCGTTGATGATGATGATGATGATTAGATTGAATGTGGATTTTGGATCAAAATCTAATTGGAAAATACCACGTTTGTGTGTGTGCGTGCGTGTGTGTGTGTGTGTGGGTAGATCAAACAAATTCAAAATGAAATGAAATGAAATTCTCTCTCTTTCTCTCATTATTTTTCATTCAGTTTCATTTTCTTATTCTTTTGATTCATCCATTCTGGTTCATGTTACACGAATGATCATAATGATGATGATGATGATGATGAGAGGAAAATTTTCACTATCATTGTAAATGACAATTATTCGGTGTCATAGTGTTTGTATGTGTGTGTGTGTGTGTGTGTTTATTTGTGTGGCCAGTTTTCCTTTCCAATTCATTTAGAGTGTATTTGTTTGTTTGTTTATTCAACGTTCAAATTCAAAACAAGTAATCATCTTTTCTTCTTCTTCTTCTTCTTTTTTTTTTTTTTGGTTAGAAAAAACAAATATTTTTCTGTTTCCTTTTGTTATTGTTTTCCAATTAGAAAATCACGAAAATCAAAATGTTGAATGTGACTTTCAAACAAAACAAAATTCATCATTCAAAGTAATGGTCAATCATCATTTGTGATAGTTCCGTTGAAAGCTAAACATCAATCAAAATAAAAATTTCTTTTGTTTTGTGTTTTGTGTGTGTGTGTGTGTGTCTTACAAGCTATTGTTTTTTTCCAGCATCATTGATGGGTGCAAGTGTTTGTCGAAATCTTCATATACCTGTGTCGAACACAGTACAACGTCGTCATGATTTGAAAGGTTCACGTTTTGAAGATGAATATCGTCGTAATCATAAACGTCTAAATATTGGCATTGGTAATAAAAATAAAAAAAATAAAAATAAAAATGGTATTAAACAACGTGTACAAGTACAACCAATTGGTGAACGTTTAGCCGAAGTGAATTCATCATATTTAAATCATAATAAATCACAAATATCATTGGATCAAACAAATGGTTTCATTGAAGAATTGAATTGTGAATATTGTGAAAAGAATACATTAATTGGTGATAATAAATCAGATGTTCTAAATAAAAATAATCACCAAAAGCATCGTAATAATCAACAACATCAACATCATCGTACACCATTGCCGGATCAACGTTTTGAAGCAATAACTGTAGTACCAAACAATAAAATGAATAAACCATTGGTAATGGATAAAATTATGAATACACCAACATCGATGTTATCAGGTGATGATAATCGTAATGATGATGAAAGTAATCCAGAAAAATCCGAAGAAAATTCATTATCGGATCCATCATCATCATCATCATCACCACCACCAGCAAATGAAGATTCATTTCCAGTAATATCTGAACATGATGATGATGAACGTTTACCCGGTTCGATTAGTCCAATTCTTTATCAATCAATATCGACTATTCCAATGTGTATTGAAGAAGAAGAAGACGAAGATGATGACAATGATGAAGTTAACGATGATGAAAATGATGATAATATCAATGATTTACCGGGGAAAAATATCGATGAAAACAATCGTAAAGAAATGTTAAACAATCAATTTATGGCTATAAGTAATCATAAATTTCCACGTAAAAAATGCCGCAGTCTACCACGATTGGATAGTAAATTTAATCTTCTCATACAAAATTGGAGTGATCTTGATTTATTACCAAATGAATCGGAAGATAATATTGAAAACAATCATGATGAAAATAAATATTGTGAATTTTGTGATTATATTAATGGTACGGATAAAACACCTACATGGACTGATCTTGATAAAGATGTATCAATGTTGATGAACATGGCCGATCGTCTTGGTATGATGATAATGGAAAAAGAGAAAGATAAAGAAGGCAGAGTACAAAAAATCACCAATAAATCTGTCATCTATAAAAAAGAAGATATTGTTGAAGAGAAAAAAATTTCACTTTCATATCTGGAAAAATTGAACAATTCAATGGATCTGAAACAAAAAGTACATTTTTTACGCCGTAAACGACAAGTTGGCATATCGGTAATGAAAACATCCGGTGGAAAATGTTTGATGGATTTTAATGATGGTCAAAATACCTATCAAATACAAAGTAGGTGTCTGTCAATTTTTTTTTCTTTAAAATTCGAATAATAATAATATTCACATTGAATAGTGCGACATCTAGTGGCACATATTGAAAATGGTTGAAGTTTTTAAATTTTCATTTTCAAAAAAATTTTTTAAATTAGTAGTAGCATGGTGTTCGACAACTAATGATTCAAATTAAAAAAAAATTTTGTTTTCTCAAATATTCGGTAATCAAAAATCATGATGATTTTCAATCACATTCATTCGTGCAATGCTAACACATCAATCGACAATTATGTATTCATTGCACATACACGTACACACACACACACACAGAATCTTAACGAATGATGATGATCACCTACAGTGAATAATTATTATTATTATTATTATCATCTCAGCAACAATAAGGACAGATAATAATAATAATAATGAAAACTGGTGTAATATAAAACCAAAACCAGAACAGAACAGAAAAAAAACATGAAATCGTTTTATTATTAATTAATTAATTTTCAGTCACTCTCTCCTATAAACCGTGTTTTCATTTTTCTTTTTGTGTTCATTTTACGCCGCTTCTTTGCCTCCTTGAAGATGAATTCTAAAGAATTTTTTTCAAATAATCGACCAGATTATATATGTTCATGATGATGATAATGATGATTATAGAATCAGAAAAAAAGGAAAAAGTTTCTGTAAAATTTTGTCACAAATTTTTTTCCCCCCATATTCTAACCAACCATCAAAAATAGAAAACTTTCTTTATTGCTTTTTTTGTTGTTGTTGTTGTTGTCGTCATTGTAATTTCATTTGGAATTATTATCATTTTCATCATTTTGCTATTTCAATTTCAACCAGATTTCATGAATACAAGAATACAAGAAATCTGGAATCATTATATTTTGTACGACGAAATTCAAATTTTCATACCCTTCTTCTATTCACCACCATCATCATCATCATTATTCAGGGATTTTTTTTCTCTTTTTTTTGGATGCAATTTATTCTGTTCTGTTGTATTGTTATGTGGTGGTGGTGGTGATGGTGGTTACACGTATAGAAAACTATGATGATGGCGCCAAATGGTGCCCAATAAGTTTTTTGTGTGTTTGTGCGTATTTTTTTTTCTGTTGAAAATTCAATTATGTAGAAAAAAAAAATTGTTTTTTCCTAAAGGTAGAAGCATGTGGATAAATTAAATTCTTGAATGAATCGTCAATATGAAATGAAATAAAATGAATGATTAGCGCATATAGAAATGATAATAATCTTAAATGAATTGCTATTGAATGATAATCAAAAATGATGCGCTGATTATCATATTCTACAGATTCTTTTCTTTTCTTTTTTTTTCTCTTCGCAATAATTATTGTTACACTATTTTTTTTGTTTGCCATTCTTTTCAATTACATCATCGTCGAAACAACAACAACAACAAAACAAAACAAACTGCATAACAAATACAGAATAAATACGAACAAAACAACGAAACAACAACAACAACAACAACGAAAAAAATTCACCAGCATCCATTCAACATTCATTTCTTACTATATAACAATAATAATAATATATTGATATTGATTGGTAAAACTTTTTGGGTTGAATTTTGATGATGGCTGATTATATAAATGATGATGAATTCTATCTATATAGAATACCTAACAGAATTTTTTTTTTTTTTACTTTCTCTGGTGGAACCACTTGTAGTTGAATCCTGTTAGTATTGGTTTTTTTATGTGTGTGTGTGTGTGTGTGTGTTTTGTCGAATTCAATTTTTTTTTTTTTTTTTACAGTAGAGAATTTATTTGCGCCGTCGTATATATTTATTATAATATATAACCGTATCTTGTTCATTGTTTGTACATATATAACAAACGTATGCGGTATTATACGAATGGAATGGCAAGGAAAGTAGGAAAAAAAATTTTTTTTTGGTCTATGACAACGACAAACGGCAATAATAATAATGATGATGATGATGATGATGATGATGATAAGCACGACGTGTGCTCAAAAGAGGTTTATTTTCATTTTTTCTTCTTCTGGATCAAATTCTGGATAAAAGCAATACAGAGTTTGCGTTGAAAATTACAATGATGATGATGATGATGATATATACACATATTTACCATGAAGAAAGACAGAAGGCTTTTTTTTCCTACATCATTTTGTCGACCGAATGGTACCAATGGCAATTCGCAGTCGCATCGATTGTTGGTTTGCTTCTTTTATAATAATAATATTTTATTTTTCGTTTTCATTTCGTTGATTCTCGATTATTATACAATATTCACCATTCATTCATTCATTCATTCATTGTTCAGTTAGTTGTTGGCTGATTTGGTGGTTTTCAACAGCACCAGCAGCAGCAGCAGCAGTGTGTCTATGTTGTTGTTTCGGGGGTCAGTCACACACATTGCACCATATATACATACAACCGGTGTTTGTGTGTGTGTTATTTGGCGCGGGCTTTTACAAAAAAAAAAAAACAAAACAAGAAAATTCGTTTTTTATATTCTTTACTTGTCGACAATCAAATTTTTTTTTCATTCGATTATCAGTTGTATAATTTTTTTTACGATTGATTCTTCTTCTTCTTCTTCTTCACCATCTTCGTCATCAGCATTCAACTACATATAAATATATACTAGCAGCAAACCAACAATGTTCATATGAAATTTGATGATGTAAGGTTTGGCGATTTGAAAATTCTATTTTTCCATTTAAATTGGTTATAATTTTTTTTTATTTTTCATTCGATTTGTTTCTTATTCTGTATGTGGTGTGTATGTGTGTCTTGGTTTTCAATTTTTTTTTGTGCTTTTTTTTCATTCGAATGTGATCACAAACGAACGAATCGAAAGAATTTCATTTTCTTCATTTCAGTGAATTTTTTTTTATTTTGCTTCAATTGAGTATTGTACGAAAATCAAATTAAATTGAAAACTTATTGAGCTTCATCATCATCATCATCAGACAGACAGTCAGTCAGTCAGAAATGTTGCAAAATAATCGATCAATTCGTGTATGAAAGTCAAAAAACAAAACAAAAATTCAAAAAAATTTCAATTCTCAACATGATCATGGTCAATTTTCTATAAAAATTTTTTTTCCTTTTTTTAATTTCATCATTTTGTTTATTAACGGACTATTGAATTTCGTCATCTTTCCGTCCGTGATTTTTATTTATTCTAGAATTTTTTTTTCTGTTCATTTCACAATGTGATCCTCGATATCTTTGATATTCTGGTTGTTGCTGTTGCTGTTGTTGTTGTTTTTACCATCGATAAAAATACCATCTGTACCAAATGGAAAGAAGTGTTTGTTTTTCCTATCCCCCTTCACACACACACACACACACAATAGTTTTCCATCATCATCATCACATCACTGACATCATCGTTTATATAATTGATTAAAAGCAACAACAAACAACAACAAAAAAAAGGAGTGAAAGAAACCAAACAAATGAAGAGAGAAAAAAAAATTAACCAAGAATTTCCAAATAACTCATTCATTCATCATTCATCTTGTTTTGCACTTGTATATATATTTATTTATATTTATTCTTCTATGTGAAAGTAAACCAGTGGAAAAACATTCTCTTTTTTTCATTTCATCTCATTACAATTTGGCATATGGTATATTGGTTGATGAACGATGCACACAAGAGTGTAAAAAAAAACATTACTGAATCGAAATGAAACTTAACCAACACACACACAAACAACAACAACAATAAAAGAATTCGTTACCATAATCATCATCATCGTAGTCGTTTTTTCAGAATTGATTTGAATGTTAATTCCGTAATAATAATAATAACTAACCAACTCTGATCGATACAAATGAGAGAATCCAGCTGACTTTTTTTTTGATTCTTTTTTTTTTGTTTTGTTTTCGTTTTCGTCTTGGTTTGGGTGTTTTTTGTTGTTGTTGTTGTTATCTTTACTTGACATTAAGTTTTTTTTTCTTCACTTTCTTTCTTTACTTTTTTGTTTTGTTTTTGTTTAATTCTGATGAACTTTTTACGTTTCCGTATTTATTATGTTCTGCATTTATTTTTCTTCTTTTTCTACTACTTCAGCTATTAGTTTGGTTGGTTGAATTTATTCTGTGTGCATACACACACACACACACATTAAGACCCAAGTTTAATTTTTTTCTCTGTGTGTGTGTAATAGTGAATGGTGCTACTTATTTTCTATTATATGTCTGGTGTGCGTACCAAGTGTTTGGACATAGAAATTCCAACTACCAAAATTTATTATTTTTTTTTTTGAATAAACCGAAAAACAACTTGAAATATTATGACCATTCTGTGTTGTTGTTGTTGTTGTTGTTGTTGTTGTTGCTGTTGATCATGATGATGATGACATAATACATCATCAGTGCAAAGAAGTGAGAAATAGACGAAAAAAAAAATTCCACTTTTTGGCTCATTTTATATTGGTGTCTGTGTGTGTGTGTGAATGATAATAGCATACCATCCCGTCGTTTTTCTGTCATCATCATCATCATCATCATTGTCGTGCCATATCCGCGTGAAAAAAAAACAAAACAAAACAGCAAGAATCAAACAAATTTATATCCGCTATATTTATATACAACATTGTCATTGTCACCATCAACATTACCATTAACATTATCGTTTATCTTATTGATGATGTCTTTCTAACAATGACAATTATGTAATGGTGGGAAAAAAAAGAAATAAAATTCTAGACATTTGAATTTTCAATGATAAAATAAAACAAAACAAAACGAAACGAAACGAAAAATTGACAATCGAAAGAATCCTTTTTCACGCACACACACACACATGTGCTCGTTATCGTTATCTATCGAAGAATGGTCCAAGAATATATGTGAATGGAATTCATGATTAAAATGAAAATGAAATGAAATAAATAAATGATCAGCAAAAAAAAAAACAATAAAAATGACCATACTACATATATAAATAAATAAATGGATGGATGGATGAATGAATGAAAAAACTTTAAATTCAAATGGACA